TTCATCATCACAATAAGACTAATTCGAAATATAAAACCATTTTATAATCACCATAGCAGACTAATAAAAGCCAATGATTCTTTAAAATTTTAAGTTCACACCTTTAAGTGCATTTTCTTCTCATTGAAAAAATACTAGTAACATATATATGAGTAAGTTCTTCCATTTTAATATAAATGTCAGTACTAAGAAAATTATGGGCGAAGTATACTCTTGTAAGCTATAAAATCCCAGTGACTTTTATGAACTAGAATCAACAACTGTCAAAAAGTTGTAATTTCGATGACTTTTAAAGTAATGCTGCACCCATTACTTGAAACATGATCACAAAACAATGACTTTTTGGTTTTCTTCTAGGAAATAGTAAATATGGCACCTTTGTTCCCTGTAATAGTAAAAGCATCAAAAACCGAACGATGCTTTTGCTGTTGAGGGTACAGTGATTCATCCAGCGCTACTTTCTTTGTTTCTGCAGACACAGATGGAGAATATGGAATGAATGAATCCACACATGTATGATTTGGTACAGGCACTGATGCCATAGGCTGTGAATTAATTACCGCATTAGGTGTTCCTTGACCTGACGGTGCAAATGAAACTAATGTTGGATTAAAAGTCGACAATGGTGTTTGAGGTGAAAAAACTGGTTGCAATGAGTTCGAAAGTACAACTTGATTGCTTGATGCCTACAATCGTTAATGAAGTATGAACTTTGGCACCATAAAAAGTATTTAAAGTGCAATACTTAATTTATTAAGTTGTTTTAGAAATAATTAAGTACAGTTTAAAATATTAAATGGAAACTAAATCATACAGATAAAATGCTGAATAATACAGAAATCTATTCGGCACTGCAAATAACTAACTTTGGAGATAATAACTTTTTTAAATTGGTTTGGAATAAATAAAAATTTGACTGATCTAAGTATTAAATTATATTAAACATTGAAATAAAAAACATATTTTCGTTGTAAAAGAAAATCGAATCAAATATTATATAAGTAGTACTTTTGTCAGGTTTTAGCAGATTGAACAATTAACTATTAGGATAAAGTCTTAAAGCAAACAAGTCTAGCAACTGTGATACATCCTTACAAGAAATAATTTTGTGTCACATGGAGCACATAACAGTACCTGAATTGAAGGATGCACCGGACGGCGATGTTTGTTAATCAATGCACCGCTTCCTGAAGATGAAGTTTTTTTGCTGTGATCAATTACTGTTGGCGGGTCATTCCATCCAGGACTTGAACATGATGACAACGGTGACAAATAGGACATCAAATGATTCCACCTTCTGAATACTTACAAATGAAATTACAACCGTAATTTATAAAACATACTTTCTAAATTAGCAATCACTTTTTCTACTTTTTTCATAAGTAATATATCCACGCGATTTTTAGCAGTTTAAAAGTCTGCAGCTAAAAAGAATCTAAACATTTTTGGTCTCACAAATTTAATAACAAAAATTTAGCATTAAAAAACTGCGTAGCTTTACTATCCGCACCGCTGTAATAACAGATGCGTGATACTTCAACTTGTATACTGTATTATAATCTTTAGCACATAGTACTTCAATTCTTTAGATATTTGTCAGTGTAAATAAGATTACTTCGAGCACAATGTCACGACATATTCGTCCAGTTAACAAACAGATAGCTGAATGTGAAGAAAGCTTGTAGAGTAAAATGTAAAACTTATGACTCCTTCAACCTTTGCAAAATGATGCACACTTCTTTTACAAAACATTTGCTATATGTAACACAGAGTGAATTTTTGCTACGTGCATGTGCATGTGCATGTGCATGCAGACGCACAAGTAGCGAAATTATTAAAATCGATAATTAAGTTATTGATAAACGTATGCTAACAAATCGAAGTACGTAACGCAGATTAAGAATGAAAATTTTTGGCTCAAATTAGAATTCAAATGGCTGAGCTGTAAGAAAAATGACTGATTCAAACAAACAGTGTGAGTTAATTTTTAGGTTGAGTTGGATTCGTGTGGTTTGTTTGAAGTAGATTTAGTGATCTTATTTATTTGAAAAGATCAATTGGAGTTTATTTACAAAGTGATTTATCTTGAAATGGACTTATCTACAAATTCACGTCTTCACTATCGCAGCTGACTTCTATAATGTTTTTGTATTCATTATGAAAAGCCATAATAGAATAACTTTAGCCTTTGACGTCAAGTAAATAACACCACTTTGGAAGATAAACAGATTAAGTTCACATTGTAAATTTGTGAGTCAAAATGAAATAAAAATATAAGAATTACTCGAGAATACTTGAAGTAAGAATCTGATTCTTCACAGACAAAACTTGAAGTATTAAGGGAAAGTACTGTGCATAAAACATGAATATATCAATTTTCAATTTAAAGTTGTTCAGTGTTGCATATTGTCACTCTTTTCACATCTACAAGAAGTGGCTTTAAGTGTTTGAAAAACTGAAGTGAATTTTGACGTAATTTTGATTTTGTGAAAATTACCGTCAAGTTATAGCAAGTAGAGTTATGTATCGTTTCTGTGCTCTTGCAAGGACAACGATTCCAAAGTCAGTTAAATATGGGTAGAGTAAGTAATGCAGGCAAGCGAAAACAGAAGTTTATCTTCGATGGCAAAAGGTGATTAATTTTTGAAGTAGAAAAATGTGTAAATAAAAAATGCTTGCTTGTGCGTCATTCTTGCATATGTACATAATCAAGTGACCTCATGCACGTCTTGCGTGTTTGTACGAGTGTGACTGCTTTCCAGCTTCATTTTTTACCTTAAAGCAACCCTTCTAAGAAATTTCGATAATAGTGCTTTTTCTTATTAAAAAAATAAATTCATTGTTTTTGACAAAATAGTTGATTATATTATATCACAACAAAAAAAATACGTATATTTTTTGATACGCAGAGTTTTCACGTCCAATTTTTGAAATATGATAATCAGCCGATTAGTTACGCAATCATTACTTCTAAGAATACAATAATTTTTTTGTATTAAACCAAATAAAATTTGCATACAAAACAGTATAATTTTCCAACGCGCATTCATATTCTATTTCATGATTTGTCTTATTTAATCATTTAAACAAATTTCATTTTGTTAAATTTTTCACAGAATTAATTATTTTATATCCTTTCATTACTACTACAGTGATGATATTTGTATATATCATTGTGTATTTCACAGATTTTTAGCGAAAATTCACATTGCTACAGAATTCATGTTGTTACAGAATTCACGTTGCTACAGAATTCACGTTGCTATATAATTCACGTTATAAGTAAAGACAGAGCAAAATTAAATAATTACTGACATTAATATACACATTTCAAATAGTATTTTTAAATAGTAACATATCACTACTACTCAAGAATGGAATTAAATTTTCATAGTGATTGTCAAGGAATAAAAGTAAGTAACAGTTTTTGAACTGACTTATGACCTTTGATGGATTAAGAGATGTGGAGAATTTCAGGCAATTAATGAAGACAAAGTGTCAGCAAAAGCATTTGATTGACTTTTAAATAATACTTTTATAGCAAAATTAAAAGTGATTAATTAGAGTAAAAGTTTAATTGCATTATAGCTAACAAATATGCACTTTGTCTACAAATTAGCAAGTATAAAAGTGTAATAAACGAAAAAGAATGAAAAAGGCGAAGAGTTTTGGTCGCTAATTCATTCTGTGCGAGCGAAACACTTTCTCAAATATTTTCTTCATTGCAACAGCCATCAGAATGCATCAGAATGCTTCTGCTCGATTAGCAATCGTGTGAAAACGAAAAAATAAAAGCAATCACTGAAAAAGTAAAGAAACTTTGCTACTAATATAACTTTTGGACGTGGTTCGAACCGTTTGTGAAAGATTGATATCGGTTGAGATGTGGTTTTCGATAACAACCAAATTCCGCACACAACCACCACTACTGCACCATGCACACACTCATATAATATATATATAAATACATGCCAAACAGGCAACATATACCAGGACAACTCTTGAATGTTGTCAATAAAACTTTCATTTATAAGTGTGTGTGATTGCTTTTTTACCATTCATTCATTCATTCATTCATTCGTTCATTCATTCGTTCGTTCATTCGTTCATTCACTCATTCATTCAATCATTAATTCGTTCATTCATTAATTCGTTTATTAATTTTACCTTTATTACAATTTAACAAGATAATTTTTACTGCAAAAAAAAGTAAAAATTATTGCACATTCATTTTCAACGTTATTGAAAGTCAGTTCACGTGAATGATCTGACTTAATGGATCATCAGGGTTATCATACTTCTAATTTTGTATATTAGTTAGTTTTCAAAACAAATGATGAGTAATTACGTTAAATGTAGTACAAAGCATTACAAGCAAACTTAAAATAGATTAGTTTTAGCGGCAAAAAAATGCGCTAAAAATTTTATGCAAATAAAATTGTACACATTAATGTGTATGTGTAATTTATATGTAAACATATATAAATTACACATACAAAAATTGAAACGTGCTAATATTTTTATTTGTACATTGTTTGTCTTCTTTAAATTTAAATAATTCTAACAAAATTGTGAACAATATTGCAATTGAACACTTTGCTTTTGTCATTAGTTGTAGTATAAGTAAAGTATTAGTAGGCAAAAGGAAGCATTTTTTGAACTGAAACTGTTTAGCTGAGAATTGTTATCGACAAAGTGTACTGATCTGCTTGTTATCTGAATTTCATCGTAAATCAGATCAGATCAGTTTACAAGATTTGCTTCACTGTAGTAAAAATAACTACTCTTTTGCTATTGCTTTGTTGATATTTTCAATAATTTGAAGGATGAAAGAATGGAAATGGAAGAGATCTGATATGATAGTAAGAGAAGATAAGCAATAGCGGATGTTTCGACTTGATCCATCCGATAAGGCCTGGCTGACTTGACTTGTGGGCCTTCCTCCCCTGCCACTTCTGGCTTTGTGCCTTTGCTTCATATCAATGTTTGCTATCATTTTTGCCATCGAAATAGCTAATTCTTCTTTTTTCATCCTTCATTTTGCTCTCTTCTTCATTTCTCACTTTATTTTTAACGAAAATATTCATGGCATCAAAACAATAACAGTATAATGAAGATAATAATTATTGTTATAATTATAATTATAATAACAATTATTATTACAATAATTATAATTATGACGAAGCAATAACGATAATAATAATAATAATAATAATGATAATAATAATAATGATAATAATAATACTGATAGTGATTCCTAGCACAAATAGTTGTAGTTTTTTTATTATTTTATAAAATTCAGAAAAAGCAGTTTTTTTGATTCTAATTAGAAATTAAGAAGCAGTTTTGAGCAAAAGCAATTTATTTTTTATAAATACATGAATTATTATTGCGTCTAAATCATCAGTTCGCTATAATAGAATTATTCATTTTGCGAAAAAAAAGAATGAATCAGTATGTTTGATGTATTTCATCAAGAAATACCAAATTAAAGATCAAGTTTATAGGCTGCATAAATTTTTTGTAGTCATGTGTGATGTGAGTAATACAAGAAGATCACGGCGGAAACAGCACGCGCCATCACGTCATTTCAATACTAGTACCACGATGACAAGTCACGTTTTCCACGTAGACAACAATATGACTATTAATAATCAAGCCAGCAACACTGAAGCGACTCATGTACTTAATCAATACTTGTATTAATAATTATTTAATTTTTTATAATTTATAATTTTTATTGTAAAATTCAAAACTGAAATGTCAATTAAAATTTTTAATTTAACTGGACGAATAATTATTTTGATTACTTTTGGATAGCATTTTGTATTATCGTTGTATGATAACAGAATGGCGAGATGATTCTTTTTTACTACATCAAAAGCTGCGCAAATTATATCATTTATGCATTCACACATTGATGTGTATATATATATATATATATATATATATCTTCAATTTGTTTGCTGCCTTCAATTGCGGAAATTAAATTACACAAATTAGTTGCAAGATATGTACATGTTAATGGTAGACAACAATCTGTGATACCGCAGAACCTTTTCTTGAAGGTCACTGACGGACGAATTCGCAATAAATGTCTGAGAGATTTTAATTATACTCAGCGAAGAGTAGTAGTTATCATTTGTATGAAATAATGGAACGATTGCAGTTGAGTAGTTACCATGAAAGTCAATTTTTACTTTGACTTAACTTAAAAAAGTATCCAAAGTTTGATAAATTTGACGCAATAGAAGTTCACCTTTAAGCAAGTAAAAATTTTGCGTGAATCCTTTACGTTTATAATTTTTTAATTCTTAGGATTGTAAAAATGATCAGAAAGTTATTGAAGCGATAGCTCAATTAGAATGTGATAGATCTACAAAATTGGAAACTGATTCAATGCACCGATTATCTCCAACTGGTAACTTTTACTCATTAAATTTTTCATATCAATAATTACTTTAAATAATTCTTACTCAAATCGATTACCTATTTACTGAAAATAATTAGTGCAATTATTTTTAAGCATTAATTATTACATAAATTACATTTTTTAATGTGTGAAAAAATTCTTATAAAAATTGAATCTCAGTTATGTTCAAATTCTTTTCTCAATAAAGCTTTTAGCTTCTTCAACATCATCTCATTCAACTTCAAATGATAGTAATAGCTTATCAATTGATGTTAATCATCGAGAAATTTCTGAACAGATTATCAATCCTTTACGTGCGATATATTTACCTGTTGCTTTACATAATCATTCGATTAATAGTATACAGGTAATTAATGTTATCACTGCCTTATTGTTATCACTGCATTATCACTAAGCATAAGACGTTAAGTAAGTAAAGTTATTGAAATTGTATTTACCAATTTATCAATTAATCTCTTATCATTTCCATTTATTTAAAACTAGTCGCTGCTTTCTAGCAGAAAATTTTTATAATTTTATTTTAGAAAAAATGAATGCTTTCCACATTTTATCATATTCACTATGCTTAGATGTAGAAAAAAATGAAAGCAATTTTGCTTAATTAAATTTTAATTTTTCCTTCGGAAAATATTCACAAACTGCATTATAGTTTATGCAAAATATCATCACAGTGCAAATTCAGAAAGACTCAATCTTTATATGCATTAATCACTACTTCTCGATAAAATCTTGCATTTGTTTAATTCGCATTCAAATTCTCATATCCGTTATTTCTTAATTTCCTTTCATTAATTCAAAATTGTATTTAAGTCAATTTTAGATTATTCATTACGAGCTGAAATTGATAGCACCAATGACAAAGGCAAACATTTAAATAAATTAATTTTAACAGCATTAAAATCGAAAATTTATTGCATCTTAACAAGTTTATAAATTTTGCCTCCAACATGCAACTAAATCACACTCAATTTTGGTAAAAATTAATGCAAAAAAGGATAAGAACAGAATAATTTCAATATTGCTTACTAAGTTGCATACTGCATACTAACTAATCTTTTAAAAATTTCTAACCTTTTTTAAATTCAGCAATATCTAAAATTACTTTTAAATTCAGCAATATCTAAAAAGTGTATTTAAGGTTTTGGGTTATCCACAACTGCTCATTCCTGTAGCTGTACATCCACATGCTGAAGGGATTTTGAAGCCATGTATACTTATCGATGAATTTATGGCTCGTAATATTACAGTACCGAAAGAAATATCATTGGGTGAAACACAGTGCCATCTAAATATTACCACTACCGTACAGCAACCATACTCTGAAACTTCACCATCAACATCTACCAGTGTTTTTTATGCTAGCAACAGGAAAAGGTTAGTAATGACTTTCATTATCAATTTTTTATCTAATCAAAATCTTTAAGTCAATTAAATCTATAAGAATTATTGTCCTTACGTCAAAATTTTTGTATTTATTTACTCACCACACATAATAAACATTTAATTAATACATTGTTTGTGTTTTGAGTGATTTATTTCTTTTGAGTAATTAAAAGTATACTATAGAAATGATTTGGTGCTTATAAAAATCAGCATATGATAGTAAGTTGATTGAGCGATCTTTAATAATCAAAGTTGTATTACTGTTTCAATTTAAGAATGTCAAAGAAGGAAGTACTGTGTAATATTATGAAAAAGAAACAAAAGGCAACAACTGATTCGAAGCCTTTGGATCTTACAGTACGCATCCGGAAAATTCAACAAAATGCTCAAAGTAATAGTAGTAATTGTGATAGCACAGAAGAAGATAACTCAAACAATGTAAGTTTTTTATTAATTAGTTGTAAAATCATTATAAGTGTAATATAATAAAAGCAAGTCAAACTTTTTAGGATAAATTAGGATCGATGGAATTGGATAAAAAGTATCGCTGTGATTGTGGCGTTTCGTTTAACAGTGAAGTAACCTTAAATGGACATAAAAAGTACTACTGTAATAACAACATAACTCTTGTCACGCCATTCCGTGAACCACAAAAAAAGGTTCATTACATATTTTTTGTCTTCAGTAACCTTAAATGGTCATAAAAAGTATTACTGTAATAACAACATAACTCTTGTCACGCTATTCCGTGAACCACAAAAAAAGATTCATTATGTATTTTTTGCTTTCATATTTCATCAAACTTTTCATTAAAAATTTTTATATTTAAGAGTAATTTTTTCATAAAATTAGTTCAGTAACACAAAGTAACTGATCAAATTTTAAAATTTCCTGACAAATATCATTAAGCAATCAAATGTTGATTATACTTTGAATTTTTTGCTAGGCGTTATATTGTTGCCAACAGTGTGATTTTTTACCAACGAGTGCTAGTCAGTTGGCACAACATGTTCGCGTAAGTCATTCTGCGGTTCAAACGTATGTGTGTCAAATTTGTGGTTACAAAGGTTATTCACAAAGAGGAATTCGATCACATCTTAGGTAAAGTTACTACATTAGTTTAAACTAAATTAATTAAAGTATAGGTCTGTCATTTTAAAAAATCTGTGCGCCACATTTGACCTTTTTTGTTACGTCCATTTCTTGCGTCTAAAATAGTTTTGATTTATAGAAAAAGTTCTTGGAATGTCTCAGTAACTGAGGACTGTATTTTTGAAAAATATCAAAAGCATAGTGCTAAGTAGGCGACTGTGCTAAATTTTGTTCGCTGCTTTTAACTACCTGAAAATGCAGTGAATGAATTCAAATTGAATCATCTGTTATCCAGCTGATAAATCTTCATCAATTGTATTCTATCTTTTAGAACTCATACAGAACACACCGATGAAAAATCTGAAGAATTGCTCAGTTCGTACGTGTATTGCGTGACATCAGATTCAAAACCATCGCAATGTAGTACCTTTCAAAAGAATTAATAACTTTGTTGGGATTGCACGTAGAAACTTAACTTTTATTTTCAATATACGATATAAACTGAATAAGCGAATAAAAGTTGAATTGTTTGCTGAACTTTTCAATTCATTACAACAATTTACAAGCTATTTGTGACCTAGCATTGTCTTAAAAATATTCTGAAAAACTTGCACAACAAGGTCACGCACGTGGAATTCTTCAGTCTAGTGTTTACTTTGACTAAATATGCAATGACGCAAAATAATTGCAAACATTACTGAGCTATTAGAGATTATGCAAACTCTTATAGCAATTTGCAAAGAGCAAAGTTTATTTATACAAAAATATTTTTTTGCTTGAAAACAAAAAGCTACTTGAAGTTAGTTGCTAATTGATTCAAAATTTGAAAAACTTGAGTACATGAACAAAATCAAATTAGCTATTTTCAATAATAATTTGACAATTATTACTCGATATTCAGTATGTTACCTATTAAGATGACTTAGGAATTCATCTTCATAACAAGCAAGAATAAAATATTAATGTAATCAGTTTTGATCCAAAATTCAATCAAGCAGATTTCAACTTCAAACTTCAATCAAAGTGGAGCATTCTGCAGCATAAATAGAAACTTACATCACCTTACTCAAAAGTTAATTGCAAAAAAGAATGAATATAAACAACAACTTGAATGTTTGTTTAATTGAACTTCCAAATTTAATGAGTTAAATTGCAATCATATTTGTTAATATTCAAAATTTTAGCATTTTACATAGTAAATACACTAAAAAGTATATAATTATTCACAGACTAACTGAGAAATATTGAAAACAATACTTAAAGTTTCTAAACTTAAAATTTATAACTGCAAATTACATTATTGTATGTTTTCGATGAGTATAAAATTAAGATTATTGAAAAAGTTATGTTTAAAATACAAAAACATTCATTTAAAATGACAGATGCAAAGATCGGTAATACTACCAAAATCGGTAATATGCTTCTATTAAATACAGTGAAAACACTACTCGAAGTTGAGTATGTTTTAAAAGTCTGCTTAATTTTAATTTTGACATGAAGTAACAAAAAGTGTTGCTTTCAAAAGTAAGCATATAGAATATACAGAATTTCAAAATTGACTAAAGCAAAACCATGGCTTGACATATTAATTTTCATGTTCATTTAGTTTGTCTACTTTCAACTGAGAAAAACTTTCAGTTATTATTACAAAAGAAGTTGAGAATATGAAAGCAAATTAGCAAATTAGCAAATTAATAATGCGAAATCTCAATTAACGAAAAATTTCAGTAATGTAAGGAGAGATATGGTTCATAGTTTGGTGTGGAGAAACGATACATTGTATCTGTGTAACTTGTATTCGAAGCCTGGCTGGCAGTACTGCTTCCCAGGTACCATTCAGAGTGCAAGGAATGAATACTTCCCTCACTCCAGCTGGACTGTTCAGCGGAAAGTAACGCTCAGACCTGCAAAAGTAGACTTAGTTAGTCATTGGCATCTATCTATTCAAGCATAAATTTTTCTAAATATGCCAAGTAAATAAGTGCCACTCGTGGAAACTGATCATGATAAAATCATTAAAAGTTTAACTTGAGCATTTTTAATATTCAAGAAATATGCTCGGTAAGAAGTGATGCTCTCATCAGTTAGTAACAGAGAGAAGAAGCAGAAAGCAGAAAATAAATAAGCAAGTAAATTAATAACTTACATATACTTCAGCTTATTTATACGCAAATAAAATAAATGGGTGAAACGTACGTGTCGTTACTGTCGGGAGAATCAATAATCCGACCTGAAGCAACAATAAAACTTGCTTCGGCACGATTTGCGGAGCTAAATTTCGGGAAGCATTTCAGCACTTCAACAATGCAATGATAGCCATGTTCTTCGAATCTACTCTCTAAGATGCCGCACTCACGATCGTGTGAAAGTAATCTCACGTCACATTTACTTAACTCTTCAGGAGATGGCTCACATTTCCAGCAATCTTAAAGTAACTAATGACATGCGGCATTAGTAAGAAGTACTGTCCAATCAGTAATTCAGAGTTTTTACGTAAATACCACTACTAATGACGTGCCTAAGTTAACTTTTCATACTGCACTCATTTATAAACGTTAAATATTTTAAAAGTGAATGTCTTACTAGGATTATTAGCTCTTGCAACAGGTCGTACTCTGCCGTGGCCATGTAAACCAGTACACGTACGATTATAATTTGCCAAAAAAACGTTGAGAAAAAAAAAGAGACGGTATACATTAACATATATTACATTTCCTTTCTTCACAAAAAGTTGTACTCTTTCAATAAGGAACATTTCCACTTGTCAAAGCTGCAATGCCAAGTTAAGGTTAAGGTCACTTGACCCTTATAAAATGCGAGAGACTAAAGGTTATTTGAACTGTGACTTTATAAGGCTTTGAGTGACCACCCCATAGGTACATTTGAATCTACAATGTAATCAAATGCATTTAGTGTGAGATATGAAACTATCTGCACCCACTCACATCTCGTCATCCTTCCACAACGTCTACTCATAATTACTTTTGTTAACCAAAGTAGTACACTTATATTCGTTGAGCTAAAGTGAACTGATTTACTGCGTTACATACTTTTTACTTGAATTTAAATTGAACTTAGAAGGGAACGAACAGTTTCTTTTAAGTTTAACTTAAATTATCATACCCTATGACCTTTTGACATTTGCATTGCTAGAATCCGGTTGCATACTTTAACTCTTCACCTTCGTAAGCTATCAGTTAGCTTTTTAAGACATGAACTTTTTAACTGTAAAGTCAATACTTGTGAAGAAAGCAACAAATTTCATTTACCTAAATAATTTAATGTCATAATACTTAAGTAGCAATTATGAGATTTAATTCTTAAATTATATCTAATCTGTGACACAAATAAAATTTACATAAATATCAATCTTCTAATAAAAGCTTTAGTAAGTCCTAGTGTTCCCTATTCATACGCTTCTTCTTCTTGTGCTTCATCTGTAGGCCTTTCAGTAAATGCTGCTTTTGTTAACTGCAATAATTGCATTCTTAGCGTCTGAACTCAAATCTGTCTTCAATCTCAGTATTTCACTATTTCAGAAAGAGAACTGAAAATGCCAACAGTACAAGTTCAGTTTAATTCACTTAACTGATCAACAACTACTTCAATTTCATTAAAACTCATTTCTCTCCTTGTTCATCCCCAGCAATTCTGCTGATCTATCTCTAATAAATATTTCCACAACCCCTTCTTCTGCCTTCCCATCGAACTTTTGTATCAGTCCAATTCATTGTCCTGCTATTTATCTACATTTTATGGCCCCATAATTAGGTTGAAGAGAGCTGTAAAGCTTGACTGATGAGGATCTGCTCGGCTAGACTGATGAGAAACTGTTAGTCTACATTGACCTGACCTGATTACTGCGTTCCTTATTGTGACCCTAAAACTCAGCAGATCCACATCAAAATACACATCAACTCATTACTGAACTTCTAGTTCAACTGTAACACTACCTCGATGATATCCAATGCTTGGGATCACTTAATGCATTCTTCATAAATAGACGCACATATTCATACATCTTTGTAATGTATATGGAGTGCGCAATTAAAGGATTTACAATACTTTTGTTCTAGACCAGACATAGAAGGAATTATATCAACTTTGACCTTTAGTATTACATCTTCTTGCATTATACCAATGAAAATAGAGATTTTCTTTTCAAGATCCCAAATTTCTATTACAACAACGCTTTAATTCTCATCATTGTTTGTAAGAAATTTAATACATTCACAAATTAGATTATTCTCATTTTAGGTTATGTACGCATGTAATTGGACGTAGGTACTTTCTCACGTAAGAATTCTTAATGTTCACACAAGTTTTACGTGCATTCTTATAATAATACTCATACACTCATGAATTATTTTTTCTTCTCCGTCAAAAACAAAATTAAAAATAAAGCAGTAAAGTTTAGAAATATTGTCAGAATTCGTTTTTCTTGTTAGTAAAGTCCGAAAGTAATGATTCTTACTAGAATTTTCGTGCTTGCAAGTATGCGACTCAAACACTTTGCACTCCAGCAGATTAACTGACTATTTTCCTGCACGCCTTTTGTCATTTATTCAAATTAATGTTGGGTTCTGTACTGATCTTTAGCAACATTTTCAGTCATTTTTTGCAGAATATATTATTTGCACTCTCATTGATAGAACTTTTCAGGAATTCATTTTCCGAATTGACTTGGCGTAATAAGGTCCAACGTTACGTGAGGTAAGCTTGAACTGTATACTCTTGAGACAGTGTGTGTGTATGTGTGTATTCCATTGCTTCTTTGCTTATTTATTTATTTATTTTACTTCCAAAAAAACACTCGTAGCATAATAAAGTTGCATATCAATACTTTCACTGAGATTATATAATTTAAAGTTGATATTTCATCAATGGTTTTAGTCGCAAAGGCATTTGCAGTAATCGACTTCCTTCACAAGTATTCTTTGCTGGTCCAGTTTTTGAAGTTGTCAGTCTTTTTCAATTTATGTTTGCTGATGCTTAAAAATCTTCACGAGGCAATAAACTTCGGATACGTAGAGATGCTTGTGTAAATTTAGATAATATGTTAAAGGTTACTAATCATATCAAACGAACTATATGAAATTAGCATATTTGTGTGACATGCTTGATTTTGACTCATATTTCTGCTCTGATTTTTAAGAACTTGAATAGTGAATTTTATTCATTTGCATACATCATCTAGATGATAAGCTTAATAATTTATTAAAAGAAATGTGTTGTTATTGTTCGGCATAGTTTAGTTTATTAAAATGAGAGATTCATGTAGAAAGGTGTAGTAATGAGTTCAGAAGTAATCCTTGAATATCACGCTTAATCTGTATATGCGTACTTTAACTGTATAAAGTATGTGAGAAGCGTAAACGTAAACGTGTGAGAAGCGTAAACGTAAACGTGTGAGAAGCGTAAACGTAAACGTTTTTTCCAGCATTCACTATGTGAACAAAGTTTGCATCCATCAAAGTTAAATTAAATACTTTTACACTTTTTCTACATATTAATCTTAATTTGTGACACATGATGACTACAGTAGTAATTAGAATATTCTTTATAGTTGAAGTAATTTTTAAGTATAAGTATGAAGAATATCATAACTAGTTATAACTGATTTTCACTAATTAACTTTACTGTGTCTCGTTACGTCACTGACATGTTATCACGAAAATTTGTTCAAAGTAAGTCATTGCCGAGATTATATTCGATAAATATGGCGATCACGTGAAATTTTGCTCTTCCGTTGTAAATGTCTATATGCCATATTAGGGAATTAGCAATAGGAGTCGAATTTTTTGATGAAAGGAATTAGAAGAAATTAATGTCATATTTAGATGTAATTACTAACTATAATAAACTTTAGCATAATCTTATTTCACTTATCAATTTTTAATATAAAATATGTTGAGAAGCACATAAACATTGAAGTTTATCTCAGAACAGCGAGATTTTCAATGCTTACATTATTGTTCTCACTGAAACAATATTAATCGAAGAAATTATTTTCATTTTCCTAAATTAAAAGTTTTAGTCTAATTTTAGCTAATAAATCTTAGTTTGCTCCCTTTAAAGTATCAACTCTCAGAGCACATTTTCATTAATTAAATATTGCAAACAAAAATTTCATTTTCTTATAGTAGCGCTTGTATTGTTCACCTCTTTGGGACATTTATATCACATTACACTATTGAGGTGTGAACTCATAAATCTTGCTTGTAAGACTTGCTTCAGGATTGTGATTGTCAAAAAGTGCCTCCACTATGGGCGTCACAAGCATGTGGGATTATGTGCAGAAATTCATGCAACCTGTAAACATATCGGTGTTGCGCAACAAACGCATCGCAATAGGTGATTTAAACAATACTTATTCTATGTAACATGTTAGCTTTGCAGTATTATGTGTTGTTGTTTCTTATTGAAGTGTATTTTGCTCTAATAAATGATGCTAGGAGTTACGTAATGGACTAGATTATGAGAAGTATGTTTGTATTGCCAAAAGGTTTCTGATTGACTCATGAATCTGAGTTCAAACGGACCATTCATTGTAACCGTGGAAGTAGGTTTATGTGTTTATTTTTACTAATCTCAGTAAGAATTTGGTATTAAAATAAGACAATTTTTATAAAGAATGACAGTTCAATTTGTTGGAAATGTAAGACAAAGCAGAAACTTTCGATGTACGATGGTGATGGTAAAATATGTGTAGTTTCTAATTTTAGATGGTCATATTTGGTTATGCGAAGTCTTACGCGGTTCAGTAGCTCATTGTTCGACTGCTCGAAAACCCTATTTGAGCACGTTTTACACTCGATGCCGAAGTTTGATGGAAGAAGGTGTTGAACCAATTGTCGTTTTCGATGGAATTGATGAAGGAGATCGGGCAAATGTTTGTTGTTGCTTGTCTATCTTCAGTTCTTTTCCTTTTTGAAATTTTTCATACATTCTGCTCTCTAAGCGCAGCTTTGTTCTTGTAAGAGTTAGTGAAATTTCAGATGGATTATAGTACTACTTCTATAAAGAAGGTTAGGAAACGAGGGAACAAGTATTGGTCTGCAGAATTGAAACAAGAAATGTTACCAAAAATTGAAGAAATAAAAGTGCAGATTTCATAAGTTTTAATAATTCTTTCAAAGATATTTTTCTCATGCTGCAGAGACATTTCTCTAATTTTATAAGTAGATTAATTCTTCAGTGTTAATCAATAAAGTGTGTTATACTGCTTTGAGGCAAAGAACCAAATTTTGAAAGAGTTAATTTTTATTGATTAATAATTTGGCAGCTCTGCACGAAAATAAATACTCTATAAACTATTAGTGCTTTAAATTTCATATTGATCGGAAATGTTAGTAATAATAATGTGAGAACAAGAAATATTAAAAAAATTATTTGAAGATTCTTCTGAATTCGATGGGAGTCCGCTGGATGGAAAGCAAGCTGGAGGGTGAGGCACAGTGTGCACAACTTGAACAACGAGGTCTGGTACATGGTTGCATCACTCGAGATTTTGACTACATTCTTTTTGGTGGGAACAATCTTTACCAGGTAATAATGGATTTTCATCTAGGTGTAGTATATCACTTATTATAGTTCTGTTTATAACTATAAAAAGATTCGCTAAAACAACTGTCAAAAAATGATCAGCCAGTGACTTTGAGTTGTTTTAAGGAGCTCTTTTTCTCTTATTTGTCTTACTGATTACACAGTTTAAAGAAATTTGAGAAACAGAATTGGTTGTTGTTATTCTAAAAAAATCATTTTTGTGATAGATAAATAAAAACTTAAAATTATTTTCTGCTGGGTAAAATTTATAAACCAAAAAAGACTGGCTTTTTTGTTTTGGTGATAGAAATCACTTTCAAAGCATTCGATTCAGATTGAATTTGGGTTCAATGGCAAAGTACAAAATGATATATTTCATCTATCTATGGATTACTTGGATGAAACATTGTGTCTAAATAGGTAACATTAGTCAAATGAATTACCGAATGCGTAGTAGAATGTTTTCTGAGAGGCTTATGTAGGATATTTTACTGAAAGTATTTGAAATTAATTCTGTCATTTATGAGTTGCAAGATAATTATATATGTGAAAAACTCGTGCATACCGAGTCTAAGGCAACATATTCATAATAACAATTGAGTTAATGAAGCCTCTAAAGAAGACATTTTTTTTTTGATCATGTACTATGAGCTATTCTTCATTAGATTGTTAAATAATTGCTTAAGTAATGATTTACTCTAAACATAGAATCTTTAGCACATTTCTGTGAAAATGTAAAAAAAATATTACAAAGAGCAAGCAACCATGTGACTGTTTTAGGTCTTGTCTTATCGCTATGACAATCATGATTGGTTGTGATTATGCTCAGAAAGGAATACCAGGTGTTGGTCTGATCACGGCATTAGAAATCGTTTCTGAATTTTATCTCATGAAACACGATCATCCTCAAGTTATTTTAGATAGATTCAAGTAACTTAGATTATTTTTTGTGCTTTTTTGCGAAAATTGTGTTTGTAATATTCGAACATATCATTGTCGAAATTTGTCAGATGACTGGTACAAATATCATTTAAAGATCGTACGTAGATTTTCACTCTCCTTATAACATTTGAGGTCTTACACGACAGATGTGCTTCCTGTTCGTGATTATGATAGCAATGTCAAAAGGAAGTTGCGACTTAGTGTTACCAAGAATTCCATAGATCTACGAAATTTTAATCCAAATTCAGATGCTATGGCTAATGCAATTAATGTTTACATGATGCCAGTTGTTATTGAGTATTCTCGTACGCAGCTCCCTAAAAAATTACCACCCAATATTCAAAAAACAGAGGTTTGTGTTATATTTGTTGTAATCGGATATTTTATGAACAGAAAATATGTTATTTTGCATTCAGAGGATATGTTTTCTAAAGTTGTGCAACGATCATCTTTTTAAATTGGTTTATTCTGTATAATCATTCTTTTCAATGCAGGAGATCTTGCTTCGTGAATGTAACTGGAAACTGAATGGCATTAGTTATTCTCAAACAGCATTGTCTGACACAGAAAGAGCCGTGGTAAATATTTGTTATTCTTGGTTTTTTGATTTATTGGATGATTATTCCGCTTCATTTTCTTTTGAGGCATTTCTATTCCACTTTGGTTGTTGTTTAACAATTTAATTTTCTGTTTAATAAACTATTTAGAAGAGTTCTACTCACGCAAAAGCAGGACGAGTTGCTGCATCCTCGAAACGAGAACGAATTGCTATGGAGCGTTTGCGTATTAACGCTACTCTTTATAAGCACAGTCCCGTAAGTTCTTGTATTTTAAGTATGCATGAGAATTTAGCCACAGTGAAAAACTAGAATTATAATTATCGACAGCTCATTTTAGTGTTAACACTATGCGCTGCATTGGAATCACATGATCTGAATTTCATTTTTGTAAAATAGAGATTTCATAGGAAGACAATATTTATTTTACTTCACTTCAAGTTATACATTATGTATTCAGTTGTATCTCATCAAATATCACATTTTGAAATTTGTTTTGCGTAGTAAATAAAAATCTCAATTTTAATATCTTTTTAGCCATTATTAATGCGCTGCATCATAAAACAAGGCGCTAAAAAGTCACTTATGCACATAATATTTCTGTTTTTGCTCAAATTTTCAACACTTAAGTCATTGACTGTAATGGAAGCAAGACTCATCCATAGTTAAATAACCACTGGTGACAGTTTCTTAATAGAGTATTGAAATAGTTCTATTCTGCAGGTAATAGAAGTGATCTCAGTGCCATCAGCTGCAGAGGACATGAATCATATGAACGGTGAAAGCAGTGGCATGACTACATCGCAACGGCCACGAGTGCAGCGTGGACGGAAAAAGAATAATCATGAAACAACTGGTATGCAACAACCATCCAACAAAATCCCTCGAAAAGACGGATTTGTAACGAATGCAAATTCCTCTAATATGAATCAGGTATAACTTCACCAACTATAAGATAGGACTCCTCACGTAATATTCAGAAGTACTCGAGCTTCTTATCATAGAAATAGGTCGTGAGAACACTGTTGCTTTGCGAGCTTCTCAGTCGAGCCGTTAAATCTCGTTCTCTGTTCTTCCTTTATTTTATTAGTGATGGATAAGCTATCCAAGGTCATTGTTTGACTGGTGTGCTTCTTCCTTTTTTTAATTTTCTGTTGAGTTAAATGAACGAGATATTGTTTTCAGTGTTATCTTCGTTCTTTTCTTGTAGGCTAGATTGTTGCAGTGGTTGTTTTCGGAAAAATTGAGCCATTATCGTAACCTTCCATTTTTGGGTTATTAAACAACTGTTGTTTTTTACTTGCGGAACCATGCATCATTTTATAACGAATCCCCCATATTTACTGGTTTTTGGAGTCATAAAACAAACTTTTTGCTTTACTTTATTATTATATTTATATTACATTATTATACATAGAGCTATACAAATTTCACAAACTCTGAAAAGAGCACCTTATACTGAATTATTACACCATGAGTGCATTGAGATTCACGATAGTTTTTATTGAAGAGATATCATTTGACTTACGTGATAGTGGTGATTTTCCAAAAAGACCATTTTTTCGTATATTATGAGGCATTCTTCATAGATCGATGGGTGCATTGAAATATTTTAGCGATATTGTAAAGTAATGCAGTTTAGTCGTGAACATTTAGATATCAATTGTCAGTTTCCATTCATAACAAGGTTTGACTATAGATTCATAACAAGGTTGATTGCAATCTTCAGTTGCTGCTAACAACTTTGTTTTAAAAGTATTTATTCTAAGAATATGTATAAAGATGGATTTTGGCAGTTATGCCCTGATTTTCAGTGATATATAGTAATATGATGATTTAATAGTATATGATGTTGACTTTACAGATAATACAGTCGCGAGCATAATTTTTCGATACATGGTAACTGACGCATTGAATCACTATGAGGTCTGAGAAACGCGGCATCAATACTACCATTTTTATTGTAGTTTCCTATCTTTCTCACTTTGATGCTTTTCATAGACAAAAAACAGGTCTTTCACTCTATTTGTTTTCTTCTACTTTATTTCTATTATTTTGCGCAGTAGTCTTTGCTTTTCATTCTTATCTTGAGCGCAATGTATTGATAAACTATTTATTCAGTATTTATGCCTATGCTTACAGTCTTGCTTGAATATCTGAATTATTGTTTCTTTTATTTTTAGAGAGTGAAGTAATTTTTAATAATTACCAAACTTATTTATTTATCACAGTGTATTCTATTTTTTTTAGATGTTCACAGGCTCTTTGGAGAGCAGATTTTTAGTTTAGTTTTCTTGTCATATAACAGTCATTTTTCAAGGATAAATTTATATTGTGTCTGTGAATCACGATGTCTAAATGTGAATGTTCAAAATAGTTGAAGTTTCTGGTTATTGCCTGAATACTAAAATTATTATGTGGTTCTATGATCTATTACTCATAAATGATGCAAGGGTTCGGAAAGAAGTATTGTTTTAACAAGTACACTTCCCGAACTATACACTTGCTCTGTAAATGTTGGATATATTTGGCGTTTTGAACTTAGTAATATTGATAGTTGTTGTTAATATGGGTTTTTGGAGTTGAACTTCTGAAAAATAATATATTTCTGTATCGAACTACCCTTATCATAAATCCATTATCAGGTTTTTTGTTGTATTGAGGAATATTAAAAGATGAAACATCAATTTGGACTGTTTCTATCATTAATTGGATCCACATTTAGACTGAATAACTAAGATGACTGAAAAAGAGAAATCTTTCAGAGTTCTTCTCAATATCCATTTGTCTGTAAACTGTATTTTTGAAGCAGAGTTTTGGCTACTGCTCAAAATGAATAACTTAAATAATAGGTGATGATAACATAATATAATGCAGTTTAGGATTTGTGCCAGTTGAATGAAATAATTCATATGCAGTATTGCATATACAAGTTGAACATTTCGATGTATTCTCTATTTAATTCTGTTCCGCAATTTTTTGTAATTAGTACGATTGGTTTTTTTAATGCCATTAAGCAGCAGCACATTATTTTAGTATACTTTTCATAGAATTATTTGCTCATTATAAACATATTCTTGTATTCGTTCTCAGTTGTAAAATAATACACTGATGCATATGCATATGGAAATATAATTTTCACAATATATAGGTTTGGAAAAATGTAAGCTTAACATTTCGTTTTGATGTGCTTGTGGACATGTCAGTTTTATTTGAAATTATTGCTGTTTGTGACAAGTTCTTCGTATCCGTTTATTTTTCCTTATTTGCATTTTTAATTAATATATATATTTCCTCTATTTCATTTATTATTGGTATTTTTGGATTAAGTGGAGCTTTAATTTAGTGTGTCTGATAAAAGATACTGTTTGTACATTAAAAAAAGGGCATAGCATTTCCCTAAAAGTATATTTTCAGATTATATCAATTTGATAGTGACAAGTTTATGATTGAAGAATCATATGAAAGGGTTCAATAGTTTCTGACAGAGGCATGATCATTTAACTTAGTAGGGCAAACTGATTCGGTTTTTTAGAACGCATTTTTGGTATTCCGGGTCATGCTTTAATAAATTGTAAATTTAGAAACAAATTTCCAAAAGTGTGTTCATTAGATAGAGTTGAAATTAGCAGTTAATGTTTATATCTTGATGCTAAGACTAGTGTATTAATTTAAATTATGCGTAAGAGGAGAGGGAGTTATGTTTTGTAGATGAGATTCTATCTAGAACTATGCACTAGGCAGATAGACGCAATTGATTCATTCTATATAGAGTCTAGTCGAAATATGTCCTCGCCTTAACGAGTCACTATGAAGCAATTTGTGATTAATTAGGATTTGGACTGTTGTATGTTTTTAGGGTGTTTTTGTAGAAGCGGTTCTGTTGGGTGTCGAGAATATATGCAGTACATGTGGAAGTTTAGTTTGAATTATTTAGATTTTTCAAGTCTGTCTGGTTATAGAGCTGCATGTTCGAGATTTAGTTGATAATTTAGATGATTTCTGCAAGAGCTGTAGTGTTGTGTAATACGAGTTTTGAATGACGTGACCAGGAGAGTTGCATTTGTGATAGTCTTATTTTTCAACAGAAATGTTGAATATGTTCAGTGAATAAAATTGTGAATTCAAAAAAATCGGGAATCATTCGTCTGTTTCGATGTTCGAGAGGTTCTGTTTTTTAGTGATGACAGGCTCGTCTACTGCTGTAGTGTTGCGTGATACCAAAAAGATTGACGATGTACCAGTTCTTGTCGATGCCTTACCTTATCTCGATTCCGATTATACTGAATCTGATCGGCAGATGGCTGTACAGTTAATCGAGAATGAATGCAGAGTGTTTCGACCCGTTAAAAATTATTTGCAAAATATGTCATCTCCAGATTTTGATGTATTTCTGACGCCGTGCCTGATTAAGGAGTATATTAGAATGTCGAAAAAGCAATTAAGCATTTCAATTTTTTGTAGAAAGAGTGGTGTCATTTAACTAGTGAAGGATATTAGTTTTTTGTTCAATCTCAGATAAATCATCTATTTTGTCTTGGAAAGTCATTTACTTCAATTGATTATGTTCAAAGTTCGAAAGCATTAATTTTACTAAAAAAGAAATTTTCGAAAAATTTTGCGTAATCTTTTGATTACCTTTCGTAATTTCAGTTTATTGTTTTTTATTACTGCTTGAAATAAGTTTATGCTTTCATTCTCAGCTAGTGCTTATTTTTTCAGGAAATGCAGAAGTTAGATATGTCACGATATGAATTATCATGTCCATCCACAACAGGACGACAAGGTGACAAAACTTCTTGGAGAAAAGTACATTTTATGCAGATTTATTTTTGTCCAAATTTAAATAGCTTTTTCTTAAATCTTTCAGTTGTCAAGCTGAAATCACTTATTTTAGGCAATACGTAATGCGGCTGCTCAAAATGAACATCTATTACTTCGTAATATTAATTTACAATTAATGGATGAATATGCTCCACCTGTATACCTTCGATACAATAAAGAATTGGAGACTATGCTGCATTGTGAGGAGCGAGAATTGAGAAGAGTACGAATTTTTCATTCTTTTGTTATTGAGAAAGACTTCTGTGGATCCAATTTTTTTAGTACTTAATTAATCTTAAAAATTTAGCTGGATTATAGTTCATCATTATGTTTTTCTAAGTACTCAGTTTTCCATTCATTTACACAGTTTTTGACATATTTAGTTCATTAAAAAATTAAGTGTACTTTGTTTTTGGTGGTGAAAGTAAGATTATTTGTTGCATATTCATTAAAAAGTTTCAGCTGCGAGAAGAAGTAATGGGAATTCATTCAAAAAGACGAAAAAGTCAAATGGAAGCGGGTCTAAAACTTAAGAGTTTGGAGCAAAGCTGGGTACAAATGGTTACTAAAAACTACAAAATGGAGCTTGCTTGTCAAGAATTAGCCGCGGATAATGAAGTATTGGCCAAAAAAGCGAAATTAGTCGAGTAACATGCTCAAGTTTCTGGGCACATTATATTATTAAAGGAAATGCGGAGCTTTATACTTTTGTACTCGTTACTGATAAATTTCGTTTTCGAAAAGCGAATTAAATATATTAGTTTTTTGTCACGTCTTGTAATTTCTAAGTTTAGACTTATTTCAACAGATTTTTTCCGCTCCTAATTATTACACTTAAATAACTTATTTTTTCATGGGTTGAGAAAATGTGAATAATGTTTCTACTTCTGATAATGGGCCTTCAATTGGGCAAGTAACACGATATCTTTTTCATTCATATTTGTTTGTGATGACTGGTTTTGTTCTTTTCCAAATCACTGACAGCATTTTCTTGAACAGTTTTTGCCTACTTCGAATGATATGTTCGTTCTGTAAAATGTGCAAATGCTTTTATCAGTAATTATGATCATTGCATGGTTTTTAATATATCCAATGGTGGAAAAATAGAATGGTATGTATGTTTGGTGACATAGATTTATAAGCTGATTTTGTGAATGGAATTTCAGTTTTTTCATATTTTTTTTCTTATTTTTAATAATTTCACTTCCTGTAAGTGATGTCGTTGTAATAGCGAAATGTGCTCTTTTTTTCATTATGAATGAGAATCGGAAGAATTTATACAAAGTTCAGCTATATATTTCCGATACACTTGTGGTATTTGTATCAGTTGGACTGGTTCTCAACCAGTCTTTTGATGGACAGACAAGGGCAGAAATATATCATTGGTGTTCTTAGTCTCTATTTACTGCACATGCATAAAAATTTGATCAGTACTTTTTGTTAAGGATCCATGTTCAATTTTCAAAATTCATTTGGTTTGTCTGTAATTAAAAAGGTATTTGGATTTTTATTAAATTTTGTAAAGAACTACAGAATTTCTCGTTGTTGAGTGAAAGGGTCGGTAATATGGAAAATAAAAGCGATGTGAAATAATTTCCTGAGTATATTTTTCTAACGTTAAATACTTTATGGTTTCTAGAATTTGCATTGGAAATGCTGGGCTTGTAAAAATTTATCATAGTATATAGGTTTATCAGGCTGTGGGATTGGGCTATTTTGGCATTGTGGAAAATGGCGTGGCAAAGTTATGTGGTAACGATGCTCGGAAGTTTAATTATTATGGGGGTAAATTGTTTTTCCAAATTTGCATTCTTTAAAATTATAGAATTAGTCCCACTTAGATTTACTCCTTGTCTACTTTTCATTTTAACATTTAAGACTAAACTTCTGAATGACTCTGTTATTTATAATGGTTTAAGGGAAGTTCTTTTAGTCCATTTTTAAATTGAAGCATATTTGCATAGTTAGGGTCAGTGCTACTTATGTCTGTAGATGGAAAAGTGTAAGGAAGCAGAAAAAGATGCAAAGGTCATTGGTATAAGTACACCTGTTTTGTTCGTGAAACGGAGTTTAATTATTGTGGGGGTAGATTTTTTTCCCCACACTAAATTTGTGTAGGATCACCTTAAAATTGAGTAAAAGTAATTCGGCTTTATCAGAATTTTTTCTACAGTCATGTTATTTACTTGGAAGTCAACAGTTTTCATTCGGATGGATTTTGGTATTTGTTGCTTTACATGGATTAAAATCACATATGTGGCGAAAACGTGAAAAACGACTCATGGCTCTGCGACAGACTGCATTAAAAGAACGAGAAGTCGAATATATTTATTTTGATAGCATTTTACTGGAGGAATTTTTTTGAAAAAGAGATTATAATATTAATAGTGAGATATTGGTCTGATCGTTTCAGGTCATTCTAGCTCAGCTTCAAGACCTTCCTGCTTGGGTTCAGTTTCCAGACACCGAACGAGTGGAATGGCTAAATAAAGTATGATTTTGATTGGTTTTTTGAGCTTACTGATCATAAAGTTACGTTTATAGTTTGTGATATTCGTGTCGTTGTGTTCTTGCAAACTTTTTCAGATATATTTTGAGATTATTTCACCTTTATCCTAATTTGAAATTTCTTACTACAAGATTTTAATGTTGCAAAAATTTGGAGTTACTGCATGTTTCATCGCAATCGAACTATCTTTTCATTGTTCGCATTATTGATGCATTTTGTTTAGGTTGTACTGCAGCTTTGGCCATACATTGGTGAATATTCCAAAATTTTCATGCGTGAATATATTGAGCCCCAAATTAAATTGCAACTACCATCTATTTTCAAGACATTCAAATTTACGAAAATAGATATAGGTGATATCCCTTGTCGCGTTGGTGGTATCAAGGTAGTAACTTACAATCTTGATTCTTGATTATAGTTTAATTTTCTTATTCTAAATTTACTGAGGAGCAAACCTTGATAAATTATCATCATAATTATGTTTTTCAGAAGCTTTTGAAACCTTTTCATTGGTTATTATTTACTATAGTCTGGAATTACCAGTCAATTTTATTGGAGTGTTGAATGTTATCATTGTTTAATTGCTCATTTTTATTAGGTTTACACTCACAATGTTGGTCGAGATCGTATCATTGTTGATATGGATGTTGCTTATGCTGGAGATGCTGACTTCGACGTCAGTGTTGCGGGTTTCACTGGTGGTTTAAATCAACTACAGGTTCTTTTTTTTTCTCTGGATGAGAAAAATGGAAGTTACTTATACAAGTTTTGTTAAGGATGTTGTTGATTAATCCATAGCTGGTTAAAGGCAATGATTGAGAACAGTATATTACACATGTAGAAAAGAGGTCTTCTTTTCAGTTTTCTGGAAAGTTGAGAGCTGTGCTTAAACCGTTATTACCGTATCCACCTATGGTTGGTGGAATTTCTGGGTTTTTTTTGGAAAAACCGGTCAGTTTTAATATGTGAAACAGTAAATTATTGCGAAGAGTATCGAGTACAAATTTGTGCCACATGCACTCGATGACCAATGCTTCAAGTAAAGTTTGCTCTTTTCAAGGATGCATTGTGAATCTTTCAGATTTCAGAAAATTGATTTCAATCTGACTGGTATGGGTGAATTCGTAGAATTACCCGGTCTCTTGAACGCAATTCGTGCTATAATAGATTCACAGGTTTGTTTTAACTTAAAATTTTTTTAAAATTATAAAGAATTGAAATATTTTTGCTGCGTCTAATTTCTCATAAACTTGCCAAGTATATTATTCTTTGAAAATACTGGAGCAGATTTTTTCAGGTTTCGGCTTTATGTGTGGTTCCCAATGAAATTGTGATTCCTTTGGCTCCAAATGTTGATGTTACCAGGCTCTTTTTTCCAGAACCAGATGGTGTTCTTCGTTTGGAAGTTGTGGAAGCTAGAAATCTGGAAAATAGAGATTTCAAATTCACAAAAAGAATGGCCAGTGACCCTTACTGCCAAATACAAGGTATTATTTGTAATGCTAACAAGTCTGTTGTGGGGTGATTTTTAAATTACCTTTATGCCATTCACTTTGCTTTTTAAATATAACATTTTTGTTTTGAGAAGCAATGTTTCATACACGATCTTTTTTTTTCGCAGATGCGTCAACCATCTACTCACTTCACGCCTACATTTTTAATTACTTTCAGTTGGATCACAATTCAGTAAGACAAGAATAATTAATAACAATCTGAATCCGGTTTGGAATGAATACTTTGAATTTGTTGTCGACCAAGCCAATGGACAGAAATTACGATTGGAATTATTCGATTACGATAAAACAAGCAGGGACGAAGAGCTCGGAAGACTGGATATTGATTTAAACACATTAAAGATAAAGGGCAATATCGATGAGTGGTTTCCTCTTGATGCTTGTAAACATGGCGATATACATATAAAAGTATCTTTATTTTTTTGTTTTGAAAAGTAATTCAGGATCCTTAATTACTTTGAAATTTATGATTGCGGTTGTGAAAAACTGAAAATTTTTTCACTTCTCCAAGAAAAATAATTGTTCTGAGAACCTTTTTTAAAATTTGCTTGCAATACACCGTGAAAAATAAGGTATTTTAAAATAGATCTTGTTTTGAAAGCTAAAATAATCAGTTTTTTGTTGAAATAGCTCATAAGTACGTATGGCTTACGCTAAGATTTTCACTGTTTACAGTTGGGTAAGTCTTCACTTTTCAGTGAATTTGTTGAAATTACGGTTAAAAATGAGATTAATTTAGTCAAGCTCATTTTAAATACTGTTTTCAAAAAATTTTTGATTATTTTGGTCAAATCTTACAACGATTGTTATCATTATTGTAGCTCTTTTCAACTCTGTTCTAGAAAAGCTCTTGTCTAATTACAGGTTTCAGTTTTAGAACTAGAAAGCCAAAGGTAATTTGATGCATTGCGAAGTATAATTGATACGAGTAATTAATTTTCTTATTACATTTAAATTTTTATTAGTTTCTAGGCTACTTGGATGGATTTGTCATCATCTATAGCAGATCTCAGCTGTTGCAACTATGAAGGTTTTTGGAATAATGCTGACAAGCCAGTACATCCCGCACTGCTGATGATTTTTATTGATAGCGTATCCGATTTACCAGTAAATTTGTGGTTCTCTTAAAATAAATTTATAGTAAATTTGTTTTAAGTTATCGCAGTCTGTATTCAATAAAAAAATCGTACAAAAAAAAAGTTTTACGTTGATAGTTTTAAGTCTCTATTTTTTTGTGTTTCAGCAGCATTTCAAATAATTTTTATGAAACATTTTATCCAGTGCGTATTCTTTACTAATTCTTTGTTGATTTTACTTACTCTCATTACGATGAATGAGATAGATTTTCTATGTTCTAAAGCAACATCCATTTTTCGTGTTTTTCTGCATAATGAGAATTGAAATGAATTGAGTAAAGCTTGAGATTTTTATTCATTAATTCACAAGAAATGTGAGAAGATAAAATTGAGTAGGAACTCATTAATTTTCAGTTTTTTTAGTATCCTAGAGCGAAGTTAGAGCCATCTCCATATCTTGTACTGACTCTTGGCAAGGAATCTCAGCAAACTCCGATCAAGTTAAACACTGTGAATCCATTGTTTCAATGCAAATTATTATTCTTTGTGCGTTTTCCTGAAGGACAAGAATTGAGATTTGAGGTCCTGTTGAGGAAGTTTTATTTGAAAATAAAAAGCTGAATTATGAAGCAGATGAAATCTAGCTAGTTCTTTCAAATCAGTTGTAATCATGGCGTTAAAATTATCTTCTCTATAAGTTTAAATTATGCAGTTAAGTTCTTTTATGAGGAGTATGTAAAGGCAGCTTTATTATTTGTGATGTTATTTAATGAACAACAAATTTATGCATCATTTTAATAAAATTTCAGGCAATAGATAACACAACGAAACGTTCCTTAGGAGATTCAGTGCTGCCACTAAAATCAATATTGAACGAACCAAATTTAGAATTTTTTCAACACACTTTATTATTAACTCTTGGAGCTCACCAAAGTTCAATGGTTATTACGGCACGCATCAGGGTTAGTTTTCTGAGCTAAAAAAGATAAAGCAATTAATGCATTAACAATTTGTTTTTGATTTTCCTTATTTTTTTATCATGTTATGTACACAACTGTATGCATAACAGTCTTTGTAAATATCTCTTGATTGTTTTGTACGTGTGATATGACAACAAAATGATTTTTATAAGTTATCGATTCAAATGTCAAGTAGTTTTAGCTATAATATATTCAGTTTATTAATTTTTTAAGGCTTTGATTAGTGATCAGCAAGAAAAAGTTCCTACTGCTGTTTGTAAAGAAGCAAGTTACGGTAATGGTAAGTATAGTACTTTTCTGATACAGTCTCCATATTCCTCATGTATAATTCGCGAAAGAGTATTACTCGATTGTAAGGAATATCTTTTATCAGTGAAAAAGTCGATTATTACTAAATTATTTTGAATTGTTGTTGTTTACGTGCATCGTTCAATGGCTGATTATACTATAGCTTGAGGATATGAATTGCAGTTGTTACCTAAATGCGATAACATTCTTTTGTCCTCTTAGTAATGTTGCGAAATCGATTAGAAAGATATTTAGTAATATAGCTTGTGTGAATATTTTACTGCTACTTTCCATCTTAAAGGCTTTTATTGATTTCACTTCTACTCTACTTTTATTTCATTCTAAATCATTTTAATTTGAGTTTTGATTATAATTTTGTTATTAGTTATCCACTGCAATTCATATAAGTTTATAGAAATATTCATTGAGAGGGCTGAAAAAATCAAAACCAGTAAATATCGGAATTCTGCTGAAGATGTGACGGATCTTTTCAAGCTGAACGACAAAGATGTAAAACAGTTCTCAGCTATTCATTCAAATATACCAAGAAGCGAAGGAACGATAGCGCGACGCAACAGTAGTGGTTCATTCATTAGTGTCTGCAAACGTCGTCGTAATTTTGGCGAAAAATTGTTTTTATCGAAGCATACCATGAGTAAAAGGAAGATGTGCGTTTTATTTACATGAAGAAGCAAAGTTTGGTAATTGAAAGAACTAACAGAGTCAATTATTTTTTTCTGTTTTTTGAAAGAGAAAATTTTTTATTTATTGTAAAGCTAGTAATCAACATTTTTAGCTCTAGTCCCTGTGGTCACTTGCAGTTTGCTCTTCAGCATTTCAAAGAATCTAACAAGCTGGTCATTCGGCTTATACGTATAACGTATTCTTTATTTACAGCACTTTTAAAATAATTGTAGTTATATAATAAAATGTTTACAATATATTGATCAAGTGAAAATTTCGTACAATTATTCATAATCATTGATTTAAAATTACTCTAATTCATGTAATTGTTGACTGCAGTTATTTACCTGCGGTATTTTAAATTATGTAGATTTGGAATACGCTACTTAATTTTTAGCAGTGAAATCTCACTCTAAACTTATAAGAAAAATGTTTTGGAATGCGCATGTGGAATATTTTTGCAGTGAATTGCAACCCCTCGATAGTGAGGGTTCTGCAGACCCATACGTAACTTTACGTCTAGCACCATTGAACTGTGCACGCGATGGCGAGAAGCAACGAACAGCTGTAGTTTCGGGATGTCTTGATCCGATTTTCGATCACCAGTAAGTTTTCATCTATCTTCCATTTATGTAGTATACCTTGCATATGAATGTAACGTATCATTCCTTTGTATGTTTCTCTTTTTTTTGACATTATTTTGACGCGCTGGTTCATATAGCATCACGCTATAGGCTTACTTTATTTAATTTTCATCTTTTCATATTGCTTAATCACTCAAAACATCTGTCATGTTTACTGAGTTTACTCGTTTATTAGATGTTTGATAAATCTCTTTAGCTTTCTGTGTCTTACATTTTTCTCAAAATTTTCAGATTTGAGTTCAATCTGCACTTCAGCGATATTAAGAACCATATGCTTATATTCACGGTCAAGGATGCCATCAATTACGGTGTTTTTAATAAGGCTCCTGTTTTAGGCACGGTAAGTTTACCTATTGTATTTACAAAAAGTTTTTGATGTTCAACAGTGTCTCAAAGAGCACTATTTCTAGTGTGACTACATCAAACTATTCTGTTTTCATAGGCTCATGTAAGAATGGACTCTATGGAAATTACAGACGAGTTCTCAAACTTCTGGTTTGACCTTGAAAATGAAAACTAATCACAGCAATCTAGTCCCAGTGGAATATTTAGGCCGATTTTCATCAGTATAAATATCTACCCATTTTTGGATTGATAATCTTCCAATCACTCCTGTTGCATTGCCAGCATCAGCCGTATTTTATGAAAATCCTTTCTATAGCACTTAAAAAATAGTGATATAGGTGCATCCATTCTTTTTTGCTAGATTCATTTCCCTGACTCAGACAAAAAGGAATGCACCGTGAGAAAGACCCCCAAATGTTTATTCCTATCATGGCATAAAAACTCGATCCTATATACGGGTTTATTTCTTCAGTTTCCGGTAATTTTATTCATCAGTATTGCGTCAATACTTAAGTTATGTTTTCCTGTCGCAATTAAAGATGCTAGATGCATTTTAAACATAAAATGACCTGGCTTTACTATCTAATACAAGTTTTATAGTTTCTTCCTCGCATTAGTGTGCAATAAGAAATTGAGCGCTAATTTTTGAACTGTTCGAGATCTTCAGATAAACCGCGTTTTATTCTGTGGTTTATCAATGCATTTTCATTATCGCTTTATGAAATAAATTTTTTGCTTCAGAATGTATATCTAGAAGAAAACTGCTTCAAATAAAGTGTCGCAAATAATAATGGGATTTGCAAATTCTCTATACGTATTAAAAACATTCTGTTCAAGAGTCTTTAGTAATTGTGACAAAAATAATACATGAAAACAAGGTAGTAAATTTTCAGTCATTACATTAATGTTCATTGAACAGTCCGAAGGAATGCTTGTTGTTTATGAGACGAATTGGTACGTCAAGTTTGTGATTGGTAAGTTAGAATGGCATCTTTTGAAAGACCAAAGTTGTTGTTGCTGAGCCTTTCTGACCACCGAATTTGATTGCATTTTCACATGGCACTTCTTCAAGAATTTTTAGTTGTTTGTTGCTAAACTGTCTCTCCAATTCGTCCCTTAAAAAATGATTTGGCAGGATTACATGACTGATTTTATCATTGAAAACAAATACTTGTATATTTGCGACGAAATTGAGCTTCATTGCCGATAAAATTTTGGAAAACGAGGTACTATCATAACTTTGCAAGCATCCAAGGAAGATCATAACGGTTACTCAACAGCTAATGTAGATAAAATGCGGTGGAAAAGTAGAAAAAGAATGGTATAATTACTTTGTATAATTACACGAGCAAATAATGAAGACACCATGCTCGTCCAGTGTTTTGCAAATGTTCGCTTTGTATTTTTTCAATCGACAGTTATAATCTACTGATAATGACAATGCATCCCAGGTACCTTTATCCACGATGGCATTAAATACACCCAAGCTAATGCTTTCATCTAGGAGATCAACCACCTGAATTTCCCTACGTGTAAATTACAGTTGCCAGATAGCTTTTTAAACAATATTGACACTAACATCTTTTTGGGCTAGCAAAAACATTTAGCTGCACATTAATATGTACCTGAAAATTTATATGACGATCACTGTGTTCTGCACATTTTACTTCCGCTAATTTTTTGGCCAACAAAATTGCCTCTTCAGAGTAATCTACACCAGATAAATGATAATAACCTTTTTGTTGCTGAAATAAAGAAGATGAAAGGGATAAAGAAATAACGGTGGTATTTTTCTCAATAACGTGAAAAAATCAAGTGAATGGCTTATTAAGCAAAGAACAGACAAGAATTTTTTCAAAAGAAGAGACATAGTGAAGTGTCAACTCTATCCATAATTATTTAAACCTGTGCTTAATGAAATTATTAGATTTATGACCTAATTATAAAAAACACGGGATGCTAGTCACAATCGTTAAATATGCATAAACAGGATTGAATCTAAATGTCTCAAATTAAATTCAATGTTTAGATAAACAAACTTTGGAAATGTGTTTAGGACGAGTACATATTGAAAGTGATAAATGATAGAGCAAATTTCGTTATACTGTTTTCACAGAAATATGAATTATGTAAGAATGATGCAGACACCTAAAACTAATGTACTTCAGAAACTGCAGATAAAAAAAGAATATTAAGAGCAGCAACAAGTGGACTAATACTTACCAAGGCTCTTAATAATGATCCATTACCACAGCCAAAATCAATTATCCTGGACGATCTAGACAAAGCTTTATCGTGAGTAATGTAATTTACCAACCGATTTTCGGTAACACGTCCAAACCATATTTCACCATCATCACCGAATTCTTCAAAATTCTTCAACTCTTTTTTATAATGGCCAATCCAACTGCAATATTTCAGACTTATTCTCGTTCTTGTATATGTCCTTATATTTGTTAAATAACTTTGAAAACAAATCAATGCTACGAATTACTTAAAGCAGTTAGTTTTATTTCAACTTAATGAATAGCTGTATACAAAAAGACGGTCAGCATTCATACACAGACTGACTGATCATTGAAGTTAATAGATAAATTCAGTATTACTCCTTGTAAGGATATCAGAATTTTTCGCCATATTTTCAAACTGTTTACAACTATTCCAAGAATCAGTAGCTTAAAGTAATGAATAGAGACTGCATACCAAACGACATTTAATAAAATAATTAAGCACCAAGATTTTCAAACTTTACTATTCCTGACTTGCAAGCTTTGAGCTGATTACTTCCTCCTCATTAATTTCTTGCGACATTTTATCCACCATAGCTGCTGAATAAATACAAGAGCTACAATGATATTTTTATTTGATTACGTGAATGTCTTTAGTCGATTAATTAAAAAATGTCCCCATTTAATGCGTGAAAGTTTTTAGTTAATCATAAATTAGTTTAAGAAATGACTCACGAACTCCGTTTTTTTGCGCCACGTCTTTAATCTTTTCCTGTTCATCATTATTCATTAGTTTCTACTGATTGCAATTTTTGCGTGCTTAAAAAGAAATGATACAAATGAATTTTAGACGTGACTGAATTAAGAAAACAGCAAAGAAAATTGGATAATAATAGAAGCAAAGAAAGAGAAAACATGCCGGAGCGAGGAACAATGTTGTCTCATTGCAATAAAGTACTAGGAAACTGCTAGAATAAGTGCATAATACAGGAGTAGAAGATTGTGCTTGCTCTAATCTTTCAAAGTATCTGATGTGTTTCCAGCTATGACTAATATTAATTAGTATAGAGTATGAACTGGCTTAATAGTCTCACGTGGATCATCTATGATCATAAGTGATAACCGCTTGGAATATCTATTCGAATATGTTTAACTTGTATACAAGAATTCACGAAGAAAACGACTTGTATTACTCATAGATTGGATCACTTAAGTAATAATGAGCACTGAAATAATTTAAAAAAAAGCACCCTATACTTTTTTCAGTAGGTGGATGTGGACTGTAACAAGAACAGTTAGACATGCATGACTTCATGGAACCAGTTTTCATTGCATTATGCTAAGCTGACAGCCAAGACAAACGACATGCGTGTAACAGACGGAAATATACTTCTGTTTGCAAACCTTTGACGCATACAAAGAATATGAAATAAATGAACATTTTATTGAAATCTTCACTTGCAGAAGTTTTCATTCAGTTTGCCTATTTCATTTTGACATTGCAGTACGTACATGTTGTTCAATAAAACATTCAATGCTAGAAGAAAATTTCGAGCGTAAGTTTCGAATTTGCGGGACTGAAATATGGCAATAATCTAGAATAATAATTTTCATTCCATACAAATATTTTTAAGTGGTAATATCACGTATTCAAGTGACAGCACAATATTTATATAACGTTTTCATCGATTTCCATAAGTCAACATTGATTGCTCGTGTAAATTCAGTCTAACTTACCTGAGGCCATAAGTATATCTATCAGAAGAGAGTGAATGAAAGTTATTCAATTGTTGACAAAGTAATTACTAAAAAATTTTATGATAAAATGGGAGAAAGAAGTTACAAATGGAATAAAATTTGAAGCAAAGTGATAGTTGCGTTAGAATAAGTCTATCATCAAGCTTCATTCCACCTTCAGAAGGATAGTATAATTGTGGTAGGCCAGGGTTTTCTTGAACAGCGGTGGCGCATCTCTCTCTCCTGCCAGTGCCTGAAGTAATCGCCGCTTTGCTTATTTTTATTATTGTCATTTTTTCAAGCGTCACACTTTTTTTGTATTAAATTCGCAATTATGTCTATTTTAATAGCTAAGTAGAAATAATCAATATAATGAGTTAGTATTACCATAAAGTTAACTTCAGTTGTATATTAAGAGCCAGTTTTCTTACTGATTACATTAACAATTACTTCATGAAAAATCAGTAAATCCATTACTGCTAAATTTTCTACAGCTAATCTTCATTTTTTTCATTCATTTTAGTTATTTATCAATTATTTTTCTGTAGCTGATTACCTCCTTCTGAAGCTAATCTTTTCAAGCGCAGTACAAGGACAGACTAATAACAGTTTGAATATGCTTCATGATAATTAACTTAATTAACTGTTTCCTCAGTTTGAAAACATGCAGGAAATTTTTTGAGCAAAGTATAAACAAGCAAGAATGAATAGTCTTACAGGTGTATGCACAAGCACAAGTTTGTCTGTTTTCGGATTTCCACCTTGTCTAATAACCTCAATAACTTGCTCCACTCCCGGCTCCACGAATGAAAATACCGGATTTACTCGATACAGCTTGTTGTCTGAGCATTTAACCTACAATCGTACTTTGCTTATTCATTATTCAAGCTGCAAGCATTCTTCTTATCAAACTTACATCTGTTTATTTGTTAAGCAAAATTAATTAATTAATTAATTAATTGTGCATTTTAAAGAAAATCTTCACTCCTACTTACTTTCAGTGCCTGCCTTTCATCAGTATTGTTCTTTGTGATTAATTTTACAGTACCTCCAGATGTTGTAAATATTAACTCTTTTGGGCTATATGTTATATCTCCTTTTTCCTCTTCTTCTTTCTTGTCTCCATGTTTCTCGTTATTTTTCTTTTCTTTCTTATCCTCCTCTTGATCGTCTTTCTCGTCTGGTTCCTTATGATTTTCTTTCTTTTTGTTGCTCTCTTTCTTCTCTTCATCCTTCTTTTCAGCCTCTTTCTCATTTTCCTCCTTCTTTTGATTCTCTTTTTCAGTTTCATGCTTTTCTTCGTTATCTTTTTCCTCACCTTCCTTTTCGTGGTCTTTCTTTTTCTCTTCTTCCTTTTTCTCCTCTTCCTTGTTTTCTTCATTTTTTTTCTCATTCTCTTTTTTTTCTTCGTTTTCCTTGGCGTCTGCTTCATTCTCTTTGTTCTCTTTTCTCGATCCCTAAAATGATTAGTTAAAGTAAAGTAAATTACTGCTACAATATTCATTTGGGAACTATGACTTTATGTCGAGAAGAGAATTCAGTATATCTCGAAATCTTCGTAGTACGCAAGAGACGGTTGACCTGTTTCAGTTCATGATCATTTCGGGTCATAGTTTACGACATTTATTTGCTTGCAGATTAACTTGCCAATCAACTGATCTTATTGTGATATTTTGAAATGGCAAATTAAAACTTAAGGCGCTTTCCTGTATATATATATTGTTTCGCATTTTAAGTCTAAACATCTGTGAATTTTGAAGTGTCAAACTTAATCCGACCTCTTTTCCCTCGCCTTCACTTTTCTTATGCTCATCTTCTTTTCGCCCCTTCTCACTTTTCAGGTTCACGTCTGCCGTCTTTTCTGTTGCTGCAGATTCATCTTTAGTTTTGGCTCCTTCCTTCTGACTCCCCTAAATTCTACTTCCACAATAAAGTGCGTGCGTAAATCTGTTGTACTGACAACTTTTATGAGTACTCTTGTTAAAAAATATTTCAATATATCTTAACTTTAGACTTATTCTTTTGAATATTTCGTACTTATATTTAAGAATTACAAAATGAAAATTCAAAAACTGTTTTTTTTCAGCTTTCAATTATTATAGAAAGTTTACTATAGGACTTCTGACTTCAAAATTGATCGATGGCCTCTATATTTATTATTAATCTAAACTATAGTCGCTAATTGCGAACTGTAGGAAATAAAATGCAGGCTATAAAATATGCAGCATATATATTGCTCCATTTAGATTCCTGATCAGTTTATTTATCAAATTGAAGGTCGTCTCCAACTTAATTGATTATTCTAATAATAATTAAGAATTTGCGAGAAAATTCATTAGGTAAAATTCCTGACCTTTTGCTTGCTTTGTTTTTTGTCTTTCAGCACATCTTTTGTCCCCTTAAAAGCAACAAAAAGGTCATCTTGGCATGAACTTAATTCATTCGTCACTTTATCATTGGTTATAAGCGCATATGAAAATAATTAAAATCGTTTTGACTACTGACACACTTTCGTTCGCTTCTCACAGTTCTAATGTTTTTCACTGCTCCCTCACAGAAACAGACTCTATTTGTAAGTTCTTCAGATCTTAAGCGATGCCTACCGTTTTCTTGGCTTTGCACAGTACAGCCACATAAGCAACAATAATGAACACTTCAATCACGCTTATTGCAGTCAATAAACTCCACATTTATGTAGTGTTCTGTTGAGCAAATTTATGACTGCAAGCAACCACTCTTGGTATGTTACACTTTAAAAAATTCCGTACTATATCAACTGTACATGATAAGTAATCACCTAAATGACGGAATAACTGAGTAGTAGACTAATTTTTGACATTAATCTGAAGAGAATATGTTGTAATTATTATGCGATTATGAGTTTAAACTCAAACTTCGTAGTGTAAACTTTAACAATGACAAACTCAATAGGTAAGGAAATCACAAATTACATTTGATTTATGAAAGTGAACTGAAAGAAGTCCGATTGATCCAATTCCGAAATGTAAACTGACGAGAGATATGAATGGCTTTACATTTTATACTCTATAATATGTGATAAAATTAGCATATACTGCATTTTATTACTAGCATTTAACGTTGCGTGGTGTACTTAGTTTAAAAGAAAACCACTGAGTTTGCTGGATTGAAAATTCTTTAAAAATTTTTAAAAAATGACTGAAATTATTGTGAAGTATCGAAACGTGCTCACATTCGACTCCCTACCTTAAATTGCTTGCTGCTTTGAGTGATAATATTTATTGAGGTACGAACTAATTTCATAGCGACCAATCTACGTAGGTCAAAATTGTAATGACGATGAACTGTGCGACAGCAATAACGTTGTGTCACTTCCATCTCTAATTCAAAAATTGAGGCTTCTATTAGTTTGTGTGCTAATTTTATGAGCTTAATCGTTAATCTTGTTGTGCTATGAGGAATAGGATTTGGTTATTTTACTGCTCAGTTCTGTTTTTGTAGTGTTTAATCTGTGGTTTCAGGATATTGTGCTGTAAGAAGCATTGCTTTTATTTTTCTCCTGGTAGTACTGTATGAGTTGTATTTATTTTTCGTTGTGTTTATTTAAGCTTTTAGTTAGAGTCATTTTGAATGTTATGAAATTTCCGTTATCATTCAATTCAATTGCAATTTTTCTAGCTTTCCATAAGTTAAAACCAGTTAAAATGCGATCAGTAGCAGCGGGTCGTTTATTGTCTAGAAGTATGCAAAGAAATATCTTGCCGACAGTTATTTGTTCACGAAGTATAACGCCGATTTTATCTCGGTATATAGCGACTACTACTCAACGATGTATTCTCTTCCAAAATATATTTAACCTTCATCGTTCTTTTTTTTAAATATTTTAGAGCAAATTTTTTTAAGTATGCTTGTATAGAGGTGGTAGCAGTAGAACTAGTTTCGAAAAACCTGTATATCATATTAATATATATCGTATAAATATTGGTGAATCTTGATTCACATCCAATCATTTGTAAAGCATGATGTTTTAGATTATTTGTGTGCCAAAGTCTCTTTATAATATTTTTTGCTTAAGCAGTTAATAATGATTTAATTGGTGCGCTGAAAAATGAAATTATGGCTGAAAAACAACTAGAAAGAGAAAACCTTCGTGGTGAAGAAGCACCAAGAGTTTCTGGATTCGATATTACTACTGATGGAGCTAATGTATTGTTAAAAAAATTGCATAACAACGAAAAGTAATTTTTAAGATATTTAATTTTTTACTATGGAAATTTCAGCATTGTTTTAAGTTTAAAGGCATTTGTTCGAGAAAAAAAAACTGCGTAGCAGTTTGTTAGATGATCTCTAACATCTTAGATTGGCACTTCTCAATCTAAAAGCGGGGCAGTGATAAATGGTTCAAATAAATAATTGTCTTCATTTTGAATATTTCTGGAAGAAACAGTTAGCTACTTATATCTAATTTAATCATAAATTTAGAATATTTTCAGAATCAATGTTTATCTTAATGTCAATCATTCAGTAGATATGGAAGGCGATGAAGATGAGGTTCTTGTGAAACTTTTTCTATTAAATAGGCTTTTCAGTTACTTTTCAACCAAAACTATCGTTTAAGCATTTTTTAAATGCGATCTAAAAATATCAGATTAGATCATCTTATTTTCTCTTAAAATTTTAAATTACCGAGACACATATATTTATTACTTTATAGGAGGGTGTTCCTTTAGCTTTACCTTCATTGACAATCGAAATAGTTAAAGATAGTCAGCGGTTATGCTTTTACCTTGATTTATGCGAGAATGAAGAAGCAACGGAAGCAAACGAACGATGTAAGCATATTTTTTGATTTTACAGAATGAACGAAATTTAGAGTGCTCTTATAAATTTACTATATTATTTTTCAGTTGATTTTCGTGTGGCAGAATTTTACATTGCTCCATTAACAGAAAAAGAAGGGGATGGCGAAGTGGCGGAATCAGTATACTCCTCATCTGGAAAATATATTGACCCAGTACGAATTTTTTTTATTACGAACAGTTTAGCATTTTTGATACAGCTCTTCAATTTTCAGGCAGTCTCACCTTTATTTTTTCTTACTTTCAAGTTATTTAAATGGAAAAATATTCTTTTAGTTATTTGTCTTGGGAAAGATAAATCAGGTTATAAAAATTATGGAAATGAGTCTCAGATTCTGTAGTTGAAATTTTAGACTTTGCATGATTTACTGTTCAATCATTATCTGGCCGAGCGCGGATTTAATCAGAAATTTTGCCGCGAGGTGGTGGATTTTGCTACACATTACGAGCATTCTCAATATGTCAAGTTACTGACTGACATCCAGTCCTTTGTGTCGAAATGAGAGCCAATGAATTGTCATTTGTCTTTTGAAGAAAAACCTAAAATTGAGACACATATGATGTAGTGGTTTGAATTCATGTGTTGTACTGCATCTCGAAATCTCTTGTTGTTATTTTCCCTATATTTAGGGGCTACTGATTTTTACTTGATTTTACTTTTGGTGTGCTCATTAAATGTTAATTATTTCCATTGTCATTTGCATTCATAGTTTTCCTTAACTTTTTCAAAAAGACTATTTTTCACCATTGAATGATGTTTAGATGTAAGTATAAGAGACTGTGGTGTCTACCACTTTTTAAAATGAATGAACAACGAAACATACTGGAAAAAATGTAAAAGAGACGACTTTGTGGGAAATATTTCGACATGTGTAGTCATGGTATTGTTCTTTGCTAGATTTCTGAAGTTAGTTTCGTTAGATCTCTTATCAGGAAGGGATAAGATCATCGAGTTCTCCTTGTTATCTATTGTTTCAGTGTCTGGTCACTTTATTGAACGAAAGCATTGTGGAGATGGATCAGGTTTGCGAAATGGGATTAAAGGAGTCGCAAATTAATGAAGTTTCATTACTTGTAAAGAAGTATGTGGAGACAATTCCCAAAAATGAGGGCAGGTCTACCGTTCGGTTCCGTTTGCCTTACCAAGAAACAAGTGGACACGATGCTCGTGGTGATGCTGTTGCTTTGGTAGTTGAACATTTGCAACCGTGGTATTGTGGATGTTGATGTGTTTTAACTGATAGAAGATCAAGTCAAGGGTCATAAATTTTGTTAATAAATTAAGAGATTGCTCCGTTCGGGCATAATTTGTGTTAATTATTCTTCCAGAAAGCATATTGCGTAAGTTATGTTTAGCTCAGATTTATGATACATTTTTACTCACAAAAATAAGTTTCGCAAGTTTTGGAATTCTGGAACCAATTGGAAAAGTATTTTTCAGGGGATTTTCAAATTCTGCATCGTATACTCTGGCTTATTCATTTGTGGACAAATATGCGAAAGAACTGAAAACTTCTGAAGTTCCATTTGACGAGAATTATTACTGTGCAATTGATGCTTCTGTTTGGTGTCCCGATGTTATACATTATTTGGATATATATCTTAAGAATTTAGCTGACAATTTGGACTTGCTACCTAGTAATTTTTTTCATAAAGTTGCTAATTTTAGAGGATTTCTTTTTCAAGGCTATGCCATTTTAGATGTTCAAATTTTACAGAATTTGAAACAAATTCGGATGATTTATTGTATTCGTATTATGCTCATAAAAATCGTCGACCTAAAATGGAAGATCGTGCCGTTATTTTACCGTCGCTTTGTGTGATTGAACCAGCAAAGGTTTTGTTTTGTATACATACATAGTTGGGCTTTATATTTATTGTTCTAATATTTGTTTTTAATGAGTTCCAAAAATATAAGAGCAATATTTGGTGTAGGTAACATTTACTAGGGATCGCAGGTTAGTGCAGTAGAATGTTAGGTCTTCATAAATTTTAACATTTGCGAATAATATTTAAATTCGCAGTCAAACATCAATAAATAATTATCTCAATGTGTTATATTTAAGCACTGAAACGTCTTCATTTTTTAAAAAAATTTATTGCACTTATTAATTCAAATGCATTGCTAGAATTATGAGCGTAAAGCACACCTTTTCCATTATAGGGAGATACTCGTAAAGAGGACTCTTTTTTTGCTGTGTTTGATGGACATAATGGAATAGATTGCGCAAATTATGCAAGCTCCCATTTTGCAAAATGTCTTGTTGAGACAACTCATTATGCTGATGGCCAAATTGAGGAAATAATGAAAGAAGCTTTCACTAATCTCGATAAGAGACTCACTGCTCGATGCAAAAATGATGTGAGCGTTATTTTTGTCCTTTATTTTTGAAGTTATTCTGTCGTTATTCATTTTAGTCAAATGACCCTTTAAGTAAAGCCTTTTGAATTTCGTTGTTTACTTTTGAGAGTGTTTCAGTTGTTGAATAATAGAAAGTAATATAAGGTTGCACTTCTTAAAATTTCAGAATATAAAAGGTGGTACTACAGCTGTTTGCGCATTTCTTCGAGATCGGAAATATTTATGTTTAGGATGGTGTGGTGATTCTTCAGCTGCTGTATTACGGAAAGATGGAGTGCGAACATTGTCATCAACTCATTCACCAGATGTCCCAGTAAAATTTATACGGAAAAATTTGATACTTTTGTATATTTTTAAGTTCCTGCTTACTGCACGGATTTCCTATTTATATTTATTATTTTGTTTTATTTATTTTGTTTGTTTATTCAGGCAGAAGTGCGACGAGTGGAAGAAGCTGGTGGTATTGTGCTGTCAGTGATGGGTGAACTAAGAGTAAATGGAGTTTTGAATATAACTCGTGCATTAGGTTTGATTCTTGCATAAGAAATAGCGCAGTTTGTGGAAGTTTTTACGATGTTTACAGTCTTTACATTTGGTTGTAGCTTTTATATCATTAAAAACAGCAACATTTTAAGATTAGAAATATGGGATCACAAGTAAAGATAATGTATTTGGCAGATTTTATTCTCTACATTAGCACGATATAAAAGGTTTACTTGTTTTTAAAGTTAAGTACACATTCTGTATGGAAACTACATTCAATAGTATTCGGGATCGATAATCAAGATATTAAAGGAAATTTTGAAAAAAACATTCAATTTGTTGCAGTGAAAACCTATTACACTGTTCAGGAAACATTTTGTGCCATTGATTGTGATTTGATTCAGAATCTGAAACAGTATTAATGGAATATACTTTGTATAAAAGTATATTATGTGTTACGTTTTATATCACTGCTAATTCTTCAAAACTCCAGGTGACATTGATGGGAAGCCAGTGATATCGTCTGAACCAGATGTAATGTCATTTAGGCTCGATAATTCAGAATATCTTTTATTACTGTCTTGTGATGGTGTATGGGAAACATTTAATGAAAGTGATATATATGGTCACATTGTCCACTTTGTCCGTAATAACAGTGTTGACAGTAAGTTCCTTATAATGTTGCAAATTTCTGCTTTGTTGCATTATTAATTGCATGTTTTATATCTTCATCAGTGATTATGGAATAACTTTAATATTCAAATAGCCATATATATCGTGTGAACGATTTTATAGTATAAAAATAGATGATAGCGTTTAATTTTCAAGCATATCTCTTGTAAACATTTCTATTGTTACATTTGTTGAAGGAAATTCATTTGAAAAACATAGTAGTTAAATTGGGTAATAGTTTATTGAATTGCAGATTATGAAAAATTAGCGGAGTTTATTGTTGACCAAGCAAGGGAATCAGGAACAAGCGACAATTTAACGATGATCTGTGTGTTCTTGAGGCCTGTTAAAGACTTGTGGGAATTATTTGCTAATGAAAGCTAATTCGTAGTAATAAAAAACTTTTATTGGAATAAGAAATAAATGAACAAGATGTTTAGAATTTATTGTTTTTAGTGTGCCTTGTGGAATAATTTTTGCTTGTTTTTATTTTATACATTGATATTTTGTTATTCATGTGGCTCCTTCAACATTCATCTTAGCTCATACTGTGCATAATAATAGTTTCATCTTCACTATCACTGTTAAACTATTTTTGGTCACCACCAAGTTTAATATAATTAACAAGAAAAGATTGAGGAAATTTTTCGTTTATTTAAAGAAATTAGTCAAGTCTTCAATTGTAATAGAATTCATGTCATGGGGTTAAAGAAGTGTGAGTAATCGCTTCTTACTTTCCTCATTGTTATTCGTACATTTCCTTGTAATAAGCCCTAAAAAAAATTGCTGTATCAACACTGCTTCACTTTCAGTATGTATGTATTTTGAATCCCGTATTATATCCATGAATTTTTTATCATCATTTCCAGAAATACTCAGCATTAGTGTACAGAAAAAATAAATTATTTTGATTGTAGTTCATGCAAGAAAGCTCTTTGTATGCATTCATTTGCATACATTCCTTTTTAATTCATTTTATTTTAGCAGTTCTTACATGTTGATATGATCTTGAGATATATAATGGATGTAAGATATTCATGCATTCTACCAGTAAGTCTGACGATTAACGCCACTGACATTATTCTCTTCAAGTATTGGAAGTTCACCGAGATCTTTCATCAGCTACCAAGACGAGGTAATTTTCATATTGCCTCACTTTTAATCGATGAAGAGTAATTCGGAATTTTCCGAATGAGTACTAAATAATTATATACTTCTATTATTTTTCATTCAAATCTTGACAGAAATAATGAGGGTAAGATGTAAGCTGTGCAGTATTTGAGAGAAGAGCTGATTTTTATTTAAATGAACAATACTTGTCCTTGATATAGTCACTAGCAAGTTGTATTATAACGATTTCATTCCTTATCATGGATGTGCTTGTGAACTGTGCTTGACTTTTTATTGTTAATTTTTGTTGTAAGATAAATAGTACTATTCGAAGTTGTCAGCTTACAAAAATTGAGACGAAAAAGCATTCAATAATATGGTCATTGCAGTGCACAGTTGATTCAAGAATTTGACTGATAGCAAATTTTGTCTTAAGTTCTTCTATAAACCAGCGATCAAATTTTCTTTAATACTGCATCAAGTAAATTCTTCCATACCAACTCTGTATTACCTTTAATTGCTACTAATTTATTTAGGTCCAACTTTGAATTAATTCTTAAATGCAGTTTTCAGTCCATTAAGGTTTGACCCAAGACTGTTCTGTTCCATAGGAAGATTGTCTTTCATGGCCTCATGATTGGATATTCTTGACTATGGTTAAGTGTTGAAAGGGACATTTGCAAAAGTCGAAAGTAGCGTTACTGAATGTATTTTCTTAGCACTGACTGCACTTTCATTAATCTTAATTATTGCTAATGTAGCTCTAGAATATTGTAAGGTATGCTGGGAACAAATCAGAAATTAACCTGCTTTTTTAATGTAGTTTTTAATTTGATTATTACATTGTAAAAAGTCTGTTTATGCTTATAAGATCAAAATGTTGGAGAATTACGTTTCAGTTTTTGCCCTAAAATTAGGTTGTTAATCAAAGAGTAATGAACTTAACTCAAGGTCTGCATAATTTTTACATCAAGCGAATTATTTGGTTTTGTGGTGATTTGAAGAATAACTGAAAGTAATGTATGCACGGATTTGTATTATGCAACTCCTTGGACGTATCGGTGTCATAGGTAATTCAGTTTTTCGGAATATATGAATAACAAACATTAAAAAGATGTTTTTTTAACTTTTAGGACAATACAACTGGAGGACATAGGAATACTTAAGCGCAAGAAAAAACGTCAATGCTAAACACTCTTTAGAGACAGAAGTCAATGACAACACATCGCTGTTCTCAACATTAAAGTAATGTGCGTAGTAATTGTGCAGGGACAAATGTACATCTGCAGGGATTATGTGCACAACTATGTCACTAACTCTAACTCGAAAGTTTCATATCAATCTTCGAATGTAATATAATTTCAGCTTAATTAAATATGACGACTGATTTGTTAAAAGCATATCCAAGTGCAATATATGTCAACAAAAGCAAAAATGCACACGACAGCTGCAAACTGATGCTAACTTCATCTTTTTAAGATTTAAAAATGGCTGAATACTGTACCAATGAATTGAGAAATGATTTATTCGTAAAAAGTAACTCAGATTAATTCTTGGAGAGTAATCAGTTTTAGCCTTAGATGGTTGCATGAATACAGTAATAGCGGGGAAGTAAGTAATCACGCATTTTTTTGTCTCAATGTTAAATATTTAATCTGCTTTTGAATATTTTTTCTCTGAGATTTTTCCCACAATAATTCACGAACTTGTTTGGGTTATTATTATGAATTTACCTGATATCTTTTTTCTACAGATGTAAAGTTTTCATACAAGAAAATCAAATATGAAATATTTACCAACAACTTTCGGTTCTAAGGATAAACAACGAACATATTTATGTAAAATCCTCTAGCACATATATGTATATATCAACATCATTTGGACGTTAATCTTCTCTTCTGGATAATTGATTCTGACGCTAGCTGGTTTTCAATGCTTCCGCTCATGGAATCCACGGGTTGATCGAATGAGATGTTTCGATCGTCTACATGAGCATTGCAGATTAGATATATGTCTCGACGCGATCATTTTTTATTTTCCTTCACGTAATGTTTATGGAACGTCACCATCCTAACTCATCATATACGGAATTATTGTCGTTCTGCGTTACCTAGTTTATCAGCAGGCCATACTCTCTTTTTTTCTTGATCTCGACTTTTATCAACTAGTCTTTATTAGTGATCCCGACCTCCATCAGGATCATGATATCTGTTCGATCCACATTTATTAAAAAAGATCTGTTTATGCTTTTGAGATCAAAATGTTGAAAAAAAACGTTTCAATTTTTACTCTAGAATTAGGTTGCTAATCAAAGGGTGATGAATTACCAGCTAAATACATTTTACAAGCTATATACCTTCTTACTCGCGTAACACTTCTTACAGAATTTATAGACTCCCTCAGGTTCTACTGCCTTCCAACTGAGCAAATAGGGAACTATCTTTCCAAATCCAGCTTCAGCGGGTAAAGTGACTGGAACGAGTTCTTCCAGATATTCGTTGAGTTGGATATCGTCATTCTTTCTTATTCCTAATTTCTACATCGTACTCCAAAAGTGTACGTACATTGTGGCTGACAGGCTGTTTTCAGTCAGATTTCTATGGAACCGCTGAAATCTGGCGTTTGGAATTTTGAATGCACATCGGGACTCAACTTTGAACTTTATTTTCACAAGTTCCCACGCGCTGTCAGTATGCTTAAATCTTCATGACAGACACGCTTAAAAGCTAGGACGAGAATCATGCTTTTCATAAACTTCTTGCCTCCCTTAGCTTCTTCCCTTCAAGCGTTTTACCACTAGTTACTGCCCTAGGAAAGTTTTCTGGTTATTCAAGCTTGTCTCTATGCTTGTCTTCCACTCCATTGACTTCTTCTCCACTCTTGCCATTTCTTGATAGCATTGTGGCGCTACTTAAAGTCTTACTATACAAGTCATTGAGTTGTGAGAATTCTGTATTGAAATACTAATAATCACTAATAATTTATAAATTACGTAAATTACTTGCGCCCGCAAACATTCTCGTAACAACATCTAACGTTCAATAAGCGTAGAATTTTATGTATACTCAGCATAATGGACTTCTTACCTAGTAATTGCTCAAATTACTAATGAAGTTACACGATAATCAGTTAATAAAATACATCCTACGACAGTAATAAACCGATGGGATGTATAATATTAATATTTCACTTGAAACCTTTTCAAATTGTTGCATGCTCCAGACTCTGTGAAATGGTTTCTCTCTCAGATACATTTAATTGATTCCGTATCGTCAGTTGGTTTCTCATGGAATGTTTATTTTCCATTCTTAGTTGGTTATGGTATTTCAGTAAGTTATGAAAATTTTCTAGTTTTATGCAAAAAAAGCTCTAACAAATTTTTTGCATGTATTACATAGTTTTTGTATTGATTTCTCTATTTTTCATTTTTGTGGCGTTTCTGCAATATTTTCTAGATTTTTAGTAGAAAGCGTATTTCGCGAGATTATTTAAGTCTATATCATAGTGATATTCAGTAACATATGCTCAGTGTTTTATTCAAGCGTTAAAAAAGTTCAACTTTTAGTGCTTTGTTTCTATTTGTCTAATGCGATATATTGTAGAAATTACTAGTTAGCAATACGAATGGCTAAAGTAAAATCATCAAAAGGCAAGCGACGAAAGTTTGCAAAAAACCGGAAAAAAGTATGCTTATTCAAGTTTTTCCATTTGTTACTTGTTAAAAAATTGTAAGAGTGTGTATTTATTCTGCTAAAAGTTTCTAAATATTTTGTCTTCTGAAATAATGTGTACTTTTTCAACAATTATGTCTCGTAATAGTATAATTTCAGAAGCGGAGAGAATCAACAAGTTCAGAAGAGGAATGGGTCAGTAGTGGAAAAAATTCTGGTGAAGAAGAAAATGGGGACGAACCTTCAGCCATGATTGGACCTTGGTCTTATAATCTTGAAGAAATGCTTTTGAAAGAAAAATTCGAATTTAAAGATGCTTATCAAGAAATGGATGCTTCTGGTTTGTCATTTTTTGTGATAAAATATATATCCATAGCTAAGGAAAAACTATATTTTAAATAATAAAACCTTGAAAATACATATTTGCCGTTATAAGATAGTCACAAAGTAGTAAAGAGTGTTATAAATTGGTTACGGTAAAACTCTGAGATATTTTTGAGTTTTAAGCAGAACTGCTTTTATTTGTAATTTTTTGTTATCAACGACTGCTTATTTTTTGTCAAGCTTACAGTTTTTCATGTTATCATTACTTTCAGATTTCACTGTTCAGTATGTAAAGGAAAATGGCTTGGAAGCACCTCTTCTGTTCAAGGATTCTCTTAGTTCACTCGGAATGAAGTACTTTCTAGTAGTTTTTCAAAATTTTTTTTGGCTCGATTTCAATGTGGTATTTAAAATATCATGTTTTCTAAAGAAAAAGTAAATAAAAGACTGCATGATGAGTGAGTATATAATTTGGCAGGATGCCGAAAGACGGAACACTTACTGCACGAGATGTACTGAATACAGTTGGTAATCGTTCAATAGAAGTAGTTGATGTAATGACTCAAGGAAGTAAAAATATGATGCTTAGTGATTTCGTCGATTATTATGAGTAAGTTTCTCAGTGCCCTTTCAATATCTTTGTTATTTATTAATTTATCAAATTCTCTTAGTTCTATCTTCTTGATCGACATTTTCGTTTGTGCCTTTAGATCCCCACAGGAGAGGCGAAAAGATCTGCTGAACTTGCTTTCGTTAGAATTTTCGCTCACGCCACTTGCAAATATAATACAAGCACCATCAGTAGCTCGTGAAATTGATTGGGTTGAACTATTTTGGCCAAAAAAATCACGCACTTCATCAGTTTCCTATCCAAAAGTACAAAAGTATGTCTCTATACTTGTAACTTCGCTTTAGAATGTACTTTTTTTATTTAGAGATGAAGTGCTGCAAATAGTTATGATTTTTTTTTCAATTTTGATATTATTTATTTATTTCCTCGTTGTTCCTTTTAGAATTTATATTTGACTAGTTTAGAGTGTTTGCTTTTCAGCTACTGCTTGATGAGTGTGAAACGGTCCTTTACTGATTTTCATATTGATTTTGGCGGCACATCTGTGTGGTACCATGTTTATAAAGGGAGAAAGGTATTTCTGCACTTTTATATCTTATTTTTTAGCATCATCTAAACATTGTATATTATAGATATTTTGGTTAGTTGAACCCACAGAAGAAAATATAGTAAAATACGAGAAATGGATATTGGAAGGATCACAGCGAGAAGCATTTTATGGTGATCTTGTGAACAGATGTACACGAGTTGAATTGTATGAAGGAAATACATTCATCATTCCATCAGGCAGGATTTTACTTTTGTTTTTCATTATATCAAACTGACAGAATTAAAATTCATAATATCATACATTTCTTGCAGGATGGATACATGCTGTCTACACGCCAGAGGATAGTTTAGTTTTTGGTGGAAACTTCCTTCATAGTTTTTCGATTCCAATGCAGATTCGGATCAATCGTTCAGAAAATACTCTCATGGTATGCATTTCAAAAAGATCATTTGTTGATTTTTAGCTTATTGATGTTTGTTTTTCAGATCAAAAGAAAATATCGTTACCCAAGGTATTCAGAAATGTTGTGGTTTGTTATTGAAGGTATTGTGAATAAAGCAGATGGATTAGTTCAAGAAACGGCAAAAAACGAAGTAATTTTTATATTTGGTGCACAGCGCTGTGATTTGCTTAATATTTTTTTGTTTTTCGTAAAGATCAAATAATTTTTATCATTTTTATTACTATTCATTCTAAAATATTTCTTTAATTCAAAAAATTCATGAAACGGGATATGAAAAATTTTTAGTCGGCAGATTGTAAACTAGCTTTTGGAAGTAAAATTGATTGGGTTGAAGTCAGCAGATTTTAACTAGCTTCAGGATATTAAAAATAGAACATATGCAAAAGATTCCAAAGAAATATCAAAGATCACGTGTTGTGGTGAGACTAGTATGGATGCTGCTAAAATTGCGAAGGATGATTCAGGTAAACTCGTATTATTTGCATTTTGATGGCTACATTTTTGATGATGATTTAATTGAGGAGTCTTATTCTATAATTATTGCTTTTGTCAGTTAAATTTTTTTTCTGTTTTTAATCGTGATTAAACGGTAGGTGATGAAAATGGTCAAAACTCTGACTCAAAAAAAGAAATCACATTATTGGAAGTGAAAACAGACGTTACTCACTCTACTGCAATACAGGTATTTTTTATGAAAAGATATCAGCTAATTTTTTTTGTTACTTTTTTTACTTGTGGAAAACAAATTCATCAACTTCATGTTGTTATTCGCCGTCAAAAATTTCATTGATAGTTTTCCAAAAGTCAAAAAAAGTTTTTAGTAGGAATTGCGGTAAAAAATTTTTTATTCAGGAATATCAGCATTAAAATTTGATTTTTTTTACATCGGAAAGAGATATATTAAAAGATCTATCAGAAGACAGTAGCCAAATCTAAATAAGATTGAATCCAAATTTTAACAGGGTGGTTCATCATATAAACAAGAAGAAAAGTGTTTGGCATTCGGTGATGGTAAGTTTACTCTTGTTTTCTATGTTCCGTATTCTTGTTTTTTTCATTCTATCGTTTTTCGAATTTATTCTATGACTGTTAGTAAATTTTCATTGGTAGCACTTTCTTTTTAGCATGTATTTAACATCCTGAAATTAGCATATATTTTTGAACTTTTTGGAAAGTAAAATGGCAGATTTTTTTTCTCCAGAATATCTTGCAATGAGTGGGAGAGAACGCGATGGTTATAAATTACTGCTGATTGAAATGAGACAAGAAATTAAAGGGTATTATGCAGCATATCGACGATCAAAGGGTCATTTGCTAGATTGTTTTGAGGTAGTTTGTGTGACGAGTTTTTGCTTTTTACTTAACTGTCATCATATATAGTGCTGAATCAATGCAAGACAAAATTAAAAATGTACAAACGATTTGTACTCCACCGTGTTTTTCACCATTTTGCAGAAAGTGATCAACGATGAAGTCTCAGGACGGCTAATACCTGGAAAGAAAAGTTTTGAAGAGCAAACTGCCCCTAAGGTATAATCGCTTATGTTTTTGAGAATTAAATTTTGTTCTTTCCATTTATTTGCATTCAGTATTGTAAATTTACATTTTTTTAATATTTCCTTATATTCAGTTGAACCAGTGGTTGGATGCCTTTATGAAAACTAAGTCATCTGGAGTGAAGAAAAAAATATCTTCAAAAGAGAAAAGTACGTTTTTAGTTTTTTCGCAAGCTGTTTAGAAATATAAAAATTCTATTTTTCTTTGTAAAATACGATCTTTGTTTCTTCTAGTTACCGAATCATCGCCACAGGTTGTGAGACCTAGACCACCAAAATATAAATTGAGAGCTAGTAAAAAGCAAGATCATCATAAACCAGACGGACCATTGATTGTTGGTGGTATACCTCCAGCGATCATGCCACCTGATGCACCGCTAGCTCCTAACCCTTATGACTACGACCCGTTGGCTTCTGTCACTCCATTAGGACATAAACAGTTGCCTTCAGCCTACAGACGTACACCTGATGTAAGTGTCTCTATTTATATTTAATTATATTGGAAGCTGTAGCATGTTATATAAGAAATGTTGTGGTGTATTAAAATTGTATATTTCAGATGGCGCAAGCACCACCTTGCCAAAAGTTTCGTCTTCATCCTCAAATACACAAGGCTGCTATAGCTGCATCTGAAAAGATGGCAACACAGTCTGAAATATCAGTAACTAAGATGCCACCCTCTAATCCAGCTGTTGAATTTTCAAGTGATGATCGATCAGTTGGAAAGGAAAGTTCTCGATTAGAAACTGAAAAAGTCTCGCGTCTAAATGGTGATTCTTTCGAATGTTTGACCTTTGCTTATCCGTTCATCTTATTTTTTTCTAACTAAGTTTGTTTTGTAGTATTCTTGTGTATTGATCTTTTTTGGCATTATATCATAACTTATGTATAGAATCCTAGGAGTGTATGTTTCATTCTAGACTCGTGGCGACATTATCGTGATCGAGAAAAAGAGAGTTCACGTGAAAATCGTCTTGCTGAGAAAGACAAGTATCCAGAGCTGCAATATCGATCACCTTTAATTCGACCAGGTCAAAGCAATAACGAAACGAACGGGTTAGCGTTTCATTATTGTATTCGCGGTTGCATCTGCAATATATTAAATTACAAATATTTTGTTTTATTTTAAAAGTGTTTTGAGGTCTGTAAACAGTTTCTCTATATACGACAAAACATAAAAATTCATCTGCTTTTTCCGATCAAAATTTTTTGTGATTTGTATATCTGACATTTTTGAGCTCATCAAGACTTGTACCTCGTTCATATCAATATCGAAGCAAGACCTTAAAACGACGACATCCTAATTCGTGTAACTCTAGTGAGCATTGGTAGGATTTGAATTATTTAATTATAAAGATATGCATAATATGATTCAGTGATTAAAATTGCAATATGAAAATATCTGTAAGGATTCAGTTTTGAAGTTTGATACGGTCATGCCTCAAAACTATTTGTTCTGAAGTGTTTATGATTCTTATATTTCATCTAATCGAGGTGTTAACATGAACTGTCTACTCTCTCTGTTCTATTCCAACGTTAAAAGACTTTAATTTCATCAACAAACATTTTTTAATTAGGATAGAGCTCACGTTTTGCATTTGTAGGTCTCCTGTTAAGAGGTATTCAAAGCTTGTGATTGACTTCGATTCTAGAAAAAATGATTTATCACAATCTTCGCATCCAGAAATATCCAGAAATAAACCTATTATCACAACTATGCCTTCCACCTCTTCTATTGCTAGAACTAGTGTTGAAGAAACAGCGACTAGTAGTAAAAAACATCTTTCAGTACCTGAAGATCCACGCCGGTCATCTTCAGAAAGTATCAGTGTTTCATTTTCTTATTGAATTAGCGGTATCAATTCAAATTCAAGAATAACTATCAGTTTTCTTCGTGCTGGTTGCCCTTATAAACATTATTGACCACCTCTAATCTCGAAATATTCTATAAAATAGATTTGCTCTTAAATTTTTTCTAGGTCTTACAAAGTCTATTCTCATTAAAAATTCTCCACATCGATCAGACAGCAGATCTTTGAACCTTCGACCGACACATGCCGAAACATGTTCTGATGACCGACCAGATAGCATATCTTCGAGTGTTGGACAGACACTCGCCGAGGCATGCTCTAACAATTTTGTTTTTCAAAAAAATTGAGTTTAATTAGTTCTTCAGTACACTGATTTAATGCATCAAATTAAATTAATATTGCTAGTCAGACACTTTCAGACATATCTTGTAGAATCAAGAAAACTTCATTTTAAAAGCTTGCAAAAACTGATCATGCACTATAGCAGTAGATGCTTAAAAAATTTACAATCTGTTAGTTGTATCGTTTGAAATTTGCTTCATAGTTGGATTTTAGTAATTTTTTATCATTTCAACAATAATCATTTTAGGGAGATGGTCAGAAAACATGTGATGCAGTGCCTGTACTGCTTGTACCAGGTAATAATTTGATTTTATCGATACGTTGTATACTGTACACGTATTTATTGCTTTTCTGCACTTGTTTTATTTTTTTAGAGTGCAAGAAAAATGATGCTGAGCTAAAAAAGTCTGTCGAAAAAGCTGAAAGATTAGAAATCGGAGCACTGTCAATGACCTTTAATGAGGATGAAGATGTAAGTGTGAATTTAGAAATTTTACTTTGCATATTTATAAACATAGTTATCATTGTAAGGGATTTATAGAGTACAGGAATAATGACAGCAGCTGATGAACTGGCTGAATTGACTAAAGTATTTGATGTTGATGAAAGGACAGTGGAGAAAGAAAAGAAGACTGGACTCTCAGTGGTTTGTCCCTTTATATATTTGTAAAAGTTCAGTTCGCTAGTTTTTTTATTTCATTTTGTCATAATGAGCTTCCTTTTACAAGTCTGACTACTGATATGAATTCATTTATTGTTTTTGTAAAACTCATCCATACTTTTAATACTAATGCATGCATTTTTATTTTTAAGACTGAACACAAAACTTGCAAGGAGGAGAATTTTGTTATATCAAGGGACTCTGAAAAAGATGAGTTATCTACGTCAAGAGATATGAAAACAGCATTATCGTTGCGTTCAGATTCACCAGGTAACTATTCGTGTTTAAGTAGAAAAGGACATCATTATTTTATTCTCAGTATAATGGAGTTATCCAATGCAACACTATGATTTTCTGCAAGGATAGATTTAATTTTGATTTTTTTTGAGTGTGAAATTTTTATCAGCTTTTTCGAACTGGGCACTTTGGTTTTAGATAACCAGACAGAAATGATCCTTCAAGATTTAAGTTCGCTAACGGCGGAGTTCAATTCTGTAGAAGATTGAAAGCTACCTGTAATTTGCTAAAATTATTGTATCTACCCCTTCTTTAATCTGCTACTATCTTCAGTCGCTTCCCTTTCTTATTAAAGTCTTTTCACTTTACAAAAATAAAAGTAATAACTCAAATTAGAAGCGCTGCGAGTTGTTAAAATGTCTAATTGTAAATAAAGAATGTAAACATATCAGTGTTTCATAGTTTTTAGTCACTACTATAGTTTTAGTTATTACTATGTTTAAAAAAAAATTTTGTGAGTGAACATATTTTCTCTAATCCTTCCTTCAGTTTAATTCTTCGTACAAATGGTGAATTAAAAAGTGGAAGCTTGAAGGTGTATGTGTTCTTCCAATCTGTATCAATGCAATTTCTTTTTCGTATCAACTGTTCCTGATGTTTAAGTAATGTTTTCATATGGAATAATGTACAGTTATCCATATTGCAGTAATATCTGTGTTGTAATTTTCAATATTTTTTGTTTCTATAGAATAATTCGCACCAAAATGTTTCATATTTATAATTTAAAAATGTCTATATCTGTGCTTTAGTACTTTGATTGTATCAATAAAGAATTTGTGAATATTTTGCTTGCATTTCTTCATTTTATTGTGAAAGCCTCTTCGAACAATATTTATGTATTTCAGAAATTCGTAAATTAATGAAAAATGGGATGATGGCCCATGTGACATGTGATATTTATTTTTGAAGTATTGGGAGCAATTCCTTAACAGCAGGGCGCAATCAAAACTTCTGAATATGTATTATTGATTTCTTGGTTAATTTTAGTAATTTTTAGCAGAACTCTCATGTTTTGTAATGAAGATAGTTGCAGCGTATTGTGTGGTTCATTCCCTTTTTTTTTTAAATAATTCTTACTAGTTGCTAGTGCACATTGAATGTAAATGGTTTTACGTGGAAAGAACGCAACGCTAGTGGTTGTTGGAGATATTGGACGAAGTCCTCGAATGTGTTATCATGCGAAGTCTTTGGCAGATAAAAACTATCGAGTTCAAATAATAGGTTATGCGAATTCAGCACTACATGAGTCCATACAACAACATCCATATATTAGGTTAGTGATTTCTTAACTTTTATGCCAAACTGTTCGAAAGTAGTAAAGCAGTATTTATTTTTTCCACAGTTTTTATTTAGTTTGCCTACTTGAAAGATTTGATTTATAAATCGAAATGAAGAATATGTTAATTCTAATGTCGTACCGTGTCTTATTTATGAACTGTGATAGTGTAGCATGGATTATGACCATATATATATATTTTTGCCTTGTATATTTATTTCAGTTCCTTGTATTATTTAATAGGAAGGTAACTGCATGCTGTTTAAAAACATAAAAGTCAAAAAAAGAAATGTTAAAAAAACATGAAAAAACATTGATTAGAATTTTGTAAAAGCTTAACATTCCCAAGTTTTGCAGCATTGTTTCACTTAAATGTCCACCAGAATGCATCGACAGATTGCGACCTACCATTGCTTTAATATTGAAATTCTTGTGGATTTTAAGTTCCTTGTTGATCACACTATTGTTTCGTATCGACTGGCCTTTGTTGATAATGGTGCAAAATCCTCCTGGAGTGCCATCACTTTTTGCATGTTGGCTGGTTAGTACGTTATTAATTTTCAATAGAATACTAATTTTTGGCCATATCTGTATTCATTTCCATTTTTTTCCCCTTTGAAAATAATTCTAAAATTATACTTCTAAAGTTTTTCAGTGTGCCCGCATTAGAAGAGCACAATTTATCATTGATTGGCATAACTATACTTACTCAGTACTGCGCAAAAAGTACAATGTTGAAGAAATACGCGTTGATCGTGTTTCTGAGCGCCGAATGCAGAATACCATGAGTTTTGCAGATGATCATAGTATGTGCAAAGTTTTCAAATTTTCATGTTACACTTAAAAATAGCAGAAGTTTTCGAATTTTTAATATATGAACTTCAAATTGTAGTTGCATTTCAGTTGCAAGCACTCCAGAAATTCGTGGAAAAAGAATGACTCGAGTTGAAAGAGCTGTTCAAGCTGCTGCGGCTGTGGCAAGTAAGAGGAAGCGTCAAACTGATCGGAAAAAAAGATTTTCATTCATTCAAAGGTCAAATTCCACCAGAAGTTCTTTTCATTAGCCTCAAAACATTCACAACAGCTAAATGTTTTGGGGCTAATGAAGAATCATATTTTACTTCTGTACTTCAGATACGTTGAGCAAGCATATTATTGGGAGGGTTACTTTGGTCGTCATGCCGATCTAAACATTTGCGTAACGCATGCAATGCGGCGAGATATGAATGATTCTTGGGGTATCAGTGCAGCTACTGTTTACGATCGTCCTCCAGATTGGAATTTTCGAAAATTGAAAGGAGAAGAACGCCATGACTTTTTACTGAAACTGATTAGTTATGGTGGAGAATTCGAGACCTTCAGAGCTGACAGTATGTCACAAAAGGATTCCATCTTTTCAGAAGGTTTTTTTTGTAACTTAAGTGGCTTGTTTTTTCACTAATATTTGTCATTATGTTATGATTAACAAGAGATTGCTGTTTAGAAACGGTAATATCTTATCGCGACGATGAGGGAAAAGTTCATCTTCGACACGATCGCCCTTTACTTCTTGTTTCATCTACAAGCTGGACAGAAGATGAGGATTTTGGACTTCTGCTTGATGCTCTTCGGGAATTTGATAGTATTTCAAGACTTTCTTCTAAAGCGTATGTTTCTTTGAAACTGTTATTTTTACTTTCATTCCAATCCAATTTTAAGAATGAAATTTGTTCCTGCATTTTAGAAATCCAGTTACTAGATTGCCGTTTATAATATGCATAATTACTGGCCGAGGACCTTTACGATCATATTATTTGAGTCGTGTAGAGCATATGCAAATGCAAAATGTTCAAATATTAACACCGTGGTTGAAAGCAGAAGATTATCCGCGTATTCTTGGTAGTGCAGACATCGGTGTGTCATTACACACTTCTACTTCAGGTAATAATTTGATATAATAATGCAATCTGCAATCTTTTCAATAAAACTCAGATACCTTATCCATTAGTAAGAAGAACATCTGATTGTCTTATATTACTTGAAATCGCGTGAAAATTTCAGTTAAAAGTCCATTTTTCATTGAGGTCTGGATCTACCGATGAAAGCAGTGGATATGCTTGGTTGCGGTTTACCAGTAGTTGCCAAACGATTTTCTTGCATTGGTGAGCTTATTTCAGATGGTCATAATGGAAGACTGTTCGATACATCCCATGAACTTTCACAAATCATTAAGTCCTTAACTTGCGGTTTCCCTCTTCACTGTAATGTAAGTTTACATTCATGTTATATATTTTGTTTCATTCCAGATATGCCAAATAATGATTAGTAAAGTAGTAAGTAGACTTTTCTTCTTTCGAATTATTATTGAAAATATTAAAGCATATTTGAAATTACACGAAGTTTATATTTTGATTGTTGTAGCAACTAAATTCACTGATATCAAATGTCGGATATGATCCTTTGATATCGTGGAGCAAAAACTGGGATGCATGCATGTGGCCCTTGATACGTAGTTATGGATCTTTGTCAGTTGAAGATTTAGCACGACGCAAAAGGTAATAAAATACTGTTTTATGGGCTATAAAGAAATTTTCTTTCAAGAACAATTGTGATTTAGAGACATAATTACTTTGACCAAATTTTAAAGTGCTTAGATAACGATAGAAGTTTATATTATCTACTTTGATTGAGTTTCAGTTTCCATTCAGTTGTTTTTTCGTAACTTTGCTTTCAAGATTCGCTGTAATCTCGCTTTCTAATGCCGTGGAAGTTCCGAAGTTAAAAGACATTCTTCCGGGACGTAAGCAAAGAGAACATGGTGGAGATGAAAATTTGAAGTTGAAGGGCAAAAACCAACAGTTAATACACGAAGTTACCAGTGACGAAGCAGTGGAGGATTACGATGATGAGTATGTTGAAAGTGTGTCTACAGTAAATAAAGGGTCTGTAGGGGCTGAACTTACAAAAACGAAACTTCCTTTCAAAAATGGTAATTCATTTTAATTCTATTTCATGTAGTAGGAATTTTTTTCAACTTGCTCCTTCCTTTTAAAACCCATCAGTGTTTGTGATTATTGTTATCATAGGATTGTTGTAATTGTTTTATTCATTTCTTTTTTAACTTTATGATATTATACATACTATTTTTTGCTATTATTTTTCACCTGCAAATTTTTTCGTATTCGCTTATTTACTTCGTAAATCGACTTTTAGGGTTATATCTTGTTATATTTGTTCTTAAAATAAATCAAAGTACAATACCGTTAATTGACGGAAGTTTTTCGCTGCAATGTGTAATATTTTTTGCAATTTTTAACTGAAGACAGGAAGACAATTATTTAAAAGCATTCACTCTTTATTTGATTACAGCATATGTCGGCCATTTCTATTCTTTCAATAATGAGCTTAAATTTACTATTTTCTGGGACCGCAGTTAATTTTTTGCTTATTTTGTTTTGATAGTGTTATAGAATGTAACTAAAAAAATTATTGCACCAGTGAGACCTCGGTGACCTCTCAGCTGTTTAAGACATGAGGTTCATAACTGATTTAGATGATTCTAATTATTTATGCTACTAAAAATTGCTGTGGATAGAAAATATATATGGTAATTCGCCACGCAATTGATATTATTTATTCTTGTTTAGTTTCTGGTAGTCGGCGGTTCTGGAGCAGTTGGTATGTATTACATTTTCATTGCTGGATCACTGAATGCTATAATTACAAGTGCAAGTAATGTAGGTAGTGCTGGTTTATTTTTCTTTTTGATTCTTCACAAACTTCATTTCAATTGAGGTGCTTCTCCAGAACGAAATAAAGAATTAATAATGGGAATTTTTGTGTTTTATTGCTGAGAATACGAATTCTTCGTGTAGTCTTAGTTTAGTATAATTTTTCGTTGTGTGGTTGTAGGTTCATATGGGTTAATGTATTGTGACATTTTTCTGGACTTTTTCATGTTTGGAGATTATTTTGTAATGGTAATAATGATAATTTATGATTGTAGAATCAATTGTGAAGTTTTTTCACTAATAAAACTTCATCAAGTGCAAATTGCAGCTAAAAATGTTACCGCTGATGATGATTTGGTCCATCCTTCCAACAATTCACATTAGTATTGTGATCTTTTTCCTTATCGGTTGCTGTAAGTTTACTGTGTCTGTTTACAGCATTTCGAGATAGATTTAATTTAAACGTGCTTCTGAAGTTCCTTGAGTTATTAGTACACTTAATCTCGGAAATACATCTTAATACAAAAATTGAGACCATAGCAAAGTCTTCTCGCCAACAGGATCATGGAAGGAGTTATTTCGCATTTTTATTGTGAGGCAATGCCTAACAATTCTACTATCATTCAGTTTTTGAGTCAGGAAATTGTGAAAATTGGATGGTATTTGAAAGACAATATAAGGCTGGTGTTGGTCGGTTAAAGAATTATTGCAGAATATTTTCGGTCAAATGATACGTGCATCTGCATCATAAATCCAAGAATGATACCTATCAAAGTAATGGAGTTTTCAATTTTCAGCTTCAAAAAAGTCGAACGCACCGAAAACACCTCGGGAGCAATCGTTTAGACCGCCTGTACCAGCATCACCATTACCTCCAGAGAAGTCTTTAACAGTGGCTAAGGTTTGTAACTGAACTTTGATTATGCGAAGAATATATCTCTAATTAATTGGTCCTAAAACTAGTGATATATCATGGATAATTAAAGAGCTAGTGATCCAAGTCATTGTTTTGCAGAAAACAAGCCAGGTGGCATCAGCAGCCCAAGATGTATGTATTTTTTTGATGACTTACGCTTTATTATGACTGTGCTTATAGGTTTGACAGTCACTTATGAAATTTTGAAAGTAAAAGGAAGACCCCAAATCAGAATATTTCTAATTAGATTTGCTTGCTGTATGAATATTGCTAATAAGATTTATCGCTATAAAAGCTAGAAATTAATCCTAATAATCTTTTTTATATGAATATTTACCACGATCGTTTCCGGATGCATTAACCTAATTTTCAGTTACTTCTGGTTGTAGTTCTAGTTTTATTTTCAGAAAATATCAAATAAAGATGCGGCTATTTCCGCTGCAGGTACAAATAAGGAAGAAGAAGATGGAGGCTACGAATCATGCCCTGATATGACACCTGAACAACTTGCTAAAATTGCAAACGAATCTCCTGCGAAATAAGTTAGTAAGCATGCTCATCAAGCAATGATATTTGAATTTTGATAACTGTGAAGGAAATTTAATTGGTTTAAAAAATATGGTGCAAATTAACTGTAACCTAGCTTGAAACTTTAAAATTCGTTCGTAATTAAAAAGAAAAATATGTCTATAATAGTCAGAATCCAGAATTACTGCTCACTGCATTTAGAAAATGATACATGCAGAAGCAAAATACCAAAATCGAGAGTTGAAAAACTGATTAATCACCGATCACTATATTACATTGCAAAGTGTTAAAATAACCAATTTCATGGTGATTACTGAATGTTCAATGCAATCATATCAAGAATCGACAAAAAAAAGCAATAATGCAATGCAGTGTGTATATCGTGATGCATATTTAATTACAAGTTGCTTGATATAAACTGTGCCACGAAAAATAATTTTATTGAATGTTTCTATCCTTTTACCGCCTAACGAGATTTTCCGTAAATTCATTTTACTTTTTGGCTGTGTGACGCAAATGTCATTTTACCACCAGCAGTGTCATAAATTCCAACAAATCCATAACACAATGTAACTTTAACCGAGATAATAAAAAATAAAGACATTTTTACTATGGATCATTGACTATGTTAAGATCGCTCTGTAACAAGACACGATATCAGGGGAAGTGAGAATGTAACTTAAAAAATTTGATGAAGCGCAGAAAATAATGCATACAAGATTTAAAACTTGTACGTGAACTTATATATATATATAATTAGGTTCCCTCTTTAATAAACACATCTTTAGACTACTCGGTATGTTCTCTCTTAGACTTATGGTTATTTAAATGAATGTACACATCAAATAGGCTTTAAGTTCAAGAGGGGACATACTGTGTAATCAAAGATAGTGTTCCAACCTGACGCCAGTGCTTCTGATCGATTTGTGCTGTACGGAGTGCGTTCAGTATTTTGGAAATGACAAGTAGACAGCTTTAAAAAAGAGAAGGCTGAGTGTTGATGTTCGTGTGTCATTACGCTATAGTGGTGAATATTTTTTATAGCATGCTGTACTGAAATTTTGAGAGAGAAGTAGGTATAATGAGCTGGCAATACGAGTAAATTTTTGATGCGACAACAGTTATTTCAAAATTAAGGATTACGATGCGCTTAGATCTAAAAACTATTGGAAACCATTTCCATGATTCCTTGTACTGTTTATTTCAAGTGATAGCGATATTATATTGGAGTCATCTGAAGCATATGAAGGTAACAATTGCTGCAGAAAGCATTGTATACATATAATTGAGAATAATTACAGCAAAATGAAATTCGCTAATTCGTTGCATATGCAAAGTTAGCAAAAAGATTAGATTTGAAAGTAAAAATGAGTACAAATGTTTCTGAATATGAATAGGTTTTCGCGGTTTTTGTGCATTATTCGATGTGGAGGAACCAATGATTGCATGGAAACCATACCTGTCGCAAAGGTAAGTAAAAATGAAAATTCAGAATTCATCTTTTCAAATCTTAAAAATTTTCGACACTCTTCAATTTTTTACTCGGAAATATTGCGGTGCAAATTTTTACATTAAAAATATGACCAACATTACTGTGAAACAATGCTGGAAAACTTACGTTTCTCAAGGTAAGTTATAAGTTAAAACTATAAGTTTACCTTTCAGTGAGGCAAAGAATACTGCAGTAGATGAAATAAAATAAAAAATGACGATAAGGCGGCCAAAGATCGTACATTTTTCTCAACTTTGCAACTTCTTTTGAAGTACATTGAATCTAAAAACTTATCCTTTACATTACGTCGAAGCTATCTATTAACTGAATTTTATTTCTGATTTTGAATAAGTTATAAAATTATGTAAGGATTGCTTACTATTTATGAGTTATATTAAGCTTATTTCAAGTCTAATCTTACTGTAATTTAAGTAATGCGAAAAGTGAAAAAATTGTACATAACCTTTTCCAAATGTGGAACATGTGAAATTTGAAAGAATATAACAGACAACATATAAATAAATATTGTAGCAATAATTAACCTCAATGATATATTCAAATATTGCAACAAAGTCTTACGACAGTTGAACATTTTAGCAAAAATCGAAGCAGCTAAACTAATAAAAGACACCACAAAAAATCCAAATAAATATTTCAAGTTTGTCCGCAATTCAGCCTAAAATCTATATTTCATTGGCACATATCAAACTCTAACTGCTTGCTGGATGTTTTTAATGACCAAAATTATAAAATGTGCCCTCTTAAAAAGAAAAAATTAAATTCGAACTATCTTCAAGTGAGCTTGAATCATGCTAAATTTATGTGATCACAGAGCATAAAATTTTTTTGGGCTACTTCTTAATATGCAAATTGCAGAATTAGAGTACAAGATCATGCAGTCCTACAGCACAATCCTAACGCATACTACCAGATCAGTGAAACAAACGGTACACAATGAGAAAAAGCGAAAAGTATATATTCGTCTCGTATTTCGATTACATTTAAGTAAATTGTTAATAGAACTCCTAGCAACTAAGAAGTGATTGCAGAAAAATCTTTGCTTCGATGCTTGACAAAAACTTTCATTAAAAAAGCCAACCATCTCATAAATCAATTCTGTTAAAAACATGGAACTGCGTACATTATATTCCTGTTTTATGCCATTTATTCAGTTCTGATAACATTCTTCACAAGAGATGATTGCAAGAGCAGGTAATCAAGCAAGAGTAACTAAAAATGTAATCCTCGTCTACTCTTCTACCAAGTAAGAATTTTAAATACCTCCCTCCATTAAAAAAACCAGTGATTACCAACAAATCATACACTTAAATACATACATTAAATTGTCTTTAGAGAAATCCCTTGCAAACAACAAGAATTCAATAATTAAAAAAAGTTATATCCACTACCAACGAAAATCTCCCAGCATCAATTTAGGCATGCATAAGCAAGATAGCCACAAAAAATGTGATGAATGTAAGGTAATGCAATACAAATGGAAACATTCATTTTTAAAAATATCTTTTATATACGAACCTTGACCCAGATTTGAAGAGAAATGACAAACTCAATCAATGCAAAACAAACTTTACACCTCCTCAATATTGAAATTCCACATGTATGAGATTTTTAGAAACATTTCAACTGACACAATTGCTCTTTTGAGTATTGACAAACCTTACCAATCATCTCATCAAATCAATTCCACGAAAAACCCAGAACTGCGTACATTACATCCTTGTTTTAGAAAATACGAGTTCATGCTTATTGATTCATAGCATTGATACCAATGTTACTTTTATACTCTATACGTTTCGTCCTTAATTCCCTAGATCTTAATTCAAAGCTTTGCTGAAAGTAAGAAATTCATAGAAATACTTTTATTAAAGTCATTCAATTTATTTACTTACAATTTCTTGTTTCAGTATAGACTAAATTTCTGAGTTATTTCAATCAAAGAGAATGAAAAGTTTTGGAGCATTACTAAGCAAATTTTTATATTTCTATGAAATCTGCGAGCAAATTATAAAAACTACAAAAAACACGGACATATTGAGCAAACCATTTACGGATTCACTTAAGCAAACACCAACAATCACATAATATTTAGAAGTTTTTTCAACTGAACAACCAGCTGCCAATCCGCTTTCGATAAATCATCTCGAAAATGAGCTTTACAGACATCTATCGATTCACGCGATAACTAAAACATAAAAATACAAAAAATCTTAACACGGAAACTTCTCTCTGGTTTTAGCATTGTATATCAACATCAGGGCTTCTGATTCTGATGGCATTACCAACTAATCTGACATGGCAATTCCTGAATTGCGAGGCAAAATCCGAATCACAGTTATCTTGCAAACCAAATAATGCCTACGAATCATTGTTAACAAAACGTAAGACATGATTTAAAAAACGAAAGACTTACTCGACTCACTAACGTGTCTTCATGAGTAAAATGTCTTCCATAAAGTTTTGGTGCTTCACCGGTTGTGTTTTCTATTTTTATGCACACTTCTTCACCAGTTCGGGCTATCTCAACTTGTTCATGGTTCCTTTCAATACTTGAGACATTGCCAAGAATTATCGACTGAAATTAAAGAAAGGCGTATATCGCACTTTTTTCTTGACAGGTCAACCTTCTCACGAAACAAAAAATCATAGAAACCTACATCTTTAGATGGGACGCACAATGGAACACCTCGCTTTAACTGTCCAGCTTCAATAGACACACCAATAACAATAGGATTACGGGCATTAAATATATGCTGTGGAAGAATTCTTAATTTACACGGGAAAATGGCCAAATGTTCATTATCTCTCCGACGTTTCATTCTCAACTCTTCCCTGAAAACTACAGATGTTTTCTGATTTAAGTCACAAAATAAGTAAGTCGAAAATAAAATATGCAATTATAACAGGGTGAATTTTACATTTTATTATAAAAACCAGAAGTTCAATTTAAAAAAGAACACGGAACTTACTGAAAACACGAAAATCTCTTTTCTCGTTCTGTACCTTCAAAATTACATACCTGTACTTTAAAAAACTGTCTTCCAGATGATATATGATATCAGCCGAAAAAATACGGACACCTTCATTGGCAGCAAACTGCTCTACCTCACGATCAACCCGAACATCAAATGCGAGTATGCAAGCATATTCTTCCTTCCTTTCCAACATTACTGCTGCTTTCTGCACATCCTTTTTGTGAACTGGTCCAATATTGAAATTCGAATATGGTATTTTCTGAGCCTTAAAAAAAGGGGTAACAGCAAAAATGTTCACAATCTGAAGTTTGTTCACCAAACAATCAAAAAATAAAATAAACTGGGGAATCGAAGTAATACCCTCAAAAATTCCAGTAAAGCCTCCAGTGATCCCAGAGTACTGGATTGAACATAGACGCCCTCCGGTTTTTTTTTAATGGCCATAAGAGCTTTAGACAACTGAGCCTCACATTCCTCTCTAAATTGATTAGTAACATACCTGTACTTTAACAAGCGATAATGAATCTTTTAGGCCAAAATTAGTGAAGGAAATCAGAATACTTTTAATATATGGAAACATACTTGAGTACAAGCAGCTCGTCTTCTCTATTTGCAACAAATAACGACAAACCAGCAAGTGCTTTTTCCAAATTCTTAGCTAGTATTTTAACTCCTTGTGCACCTTTTATCATTTGGTAATGTTCATAAGCATTCTAGAAACATAAATAATATGCATATAAATTTTACAAATACTCAATTTATGAATTAACCTCATTACTTTTGTTGAAATAAGTCGTCAGCTCTTTTTCTGAAAATCTATCTCGATTTTTTAATCAGCAGACGTTTCAGATGCTAAAAACAAAATTTACTTTGACTCGCAACTCTTTCAAAGGCTGAGGCATTAAAAGTTCGCGAATCTGTGTGATGATGACACCATCGGTACTCGTTAAGACAATTATATCACCAACTTTCAACGAACCATTAACTAATATAACATCTATTGTAGTCCCTAATCCCGGAAGAGATTTGACCTGAAAATTACCGGTGTAAAATCGTAAATAATATCACATGTATTTTCTACGCCTACATTATGACAAATAATAAAAACAGTAATACAGTTTGTTTACCTCCATTACAGTACAATCAAGTTCTTCGCAATACGCCAGCTTTTCAGCAAGCCTGTTCTGACATTCATAAACAATGTGAGCCATCAAATTACCAACACCGTCACCAAGAAATGCGGATGTTGGAACAATACTAATATATTCGTTTGGATCTGGATTCTCGTTTGCTAGACTAACATTTATTCCCTTGAAATCAAAATTAGCTAACAAATTTTATACTATTAAAATTTGTCATTTCGGTGGTAGTACAAAAACTAGCTCCTCACAATCATCACTGTAAACAAATAACCCGAGCTAAAAATATTGTCATCCAGAAAATTATACTTGCTCAGCAAACTGCACGACAATTTTGTCTTTAAGTTCTTTGAACTGCAATTGAGTGTTGATTGGTTGTGACTTCAAATGCTGATAAACATCTTTTCGCGGATTGGAAGCATATTCATACAAACGATCAATCTAGAAGGTAGAAGATTAGCAATTCAATATGAACGTTACACGACATTAGAAAAACCCAAAATTACAGAAAGAATACTTTATTCAATGCGATTACAAATGGCGTTCCTTTTTTCCTTAACAACTTTAGTGATTCTAAAGTTTGTTGTTCAAGTCCATGCATTATATCAACGACCAATATCGCATAGTCACATAAAGAAGAACCTCTAGATCGCAAATTCCTATAAAACCAACTTTACTAGTAATGAAAAAAATACATGTGAAATTAGCACGACTTTACATGTAAATAGCACTTACATAAAGGTCATCTCAAATATAAAACTCTGATTTTATTTAAAAGGAGACATTTTTCAACAACTCAGTTCCTGAAAGTTTTATTTGGATAAGTCATTCTAAAACACACTATGCTGCAGAAGTCAAAACCAATACTGCAATATGAACTTACGAGAAGCTTTCATGACCAGGCGTGTCAATAATCAAAAAGCCAGGAATTTTTATTTCGTTTCCATTAAACTGTAAATAAACTTCTTGAAACGTGAAATACGACATCAAACAATAAAATGAAATAAAGTCATAAGATCATAGCTAACTTACATCTTTCACCATTCTTGTACGTTCAATGATTGCAGCAGCTGGAACTTGTGTAGCACCAATTTGCTGTGTAATCCCTCCAGCTTCTCCTTCTTGTATATTAGTACGCCGTATCTGTAAGAAAAGTTTTAATACTATTTCCCTGATTAAATTTAAAAAAAACTGTGAAAATACCACATGAAAAATAGTACCGTATCTAACATTTTCGTTTTGCCTGTATCGACATGTCCCAATACACAAATGACAGGCGATCGCAGATTGTCTAACGAACGCTTGCTTTCAGCTTCTTCACGACGTTTCTGTAATACATTATTCACTAAAGTAACTAATGACAAAAGGCAGTTCAGCAAAAGTGAACGGAACGAACCTTAAGACGTGCGTAAACTCTTTCTCTCAGCTGCTCTTTACTTTCATGATTTTCTTCTTCCTCATCACTGCTTTCCTCTTCTTCCTCATCAGATTCCTCTGATGAGGAAGATTCTTCTTCCGCATCAATAATCTGGTCTGTTTTCAATATTGCTGACTGAGCTGGGACTATCTTCAAAAATATAAGCTGAATTGCTGAATTAAGTTAAATCTTATGCATTAATATTACACAGGCCCTTAATTTCCAAACATTAGAAGTCCATATTTCTCATTCCAATTCAATTCATAGACCTCAAACACCTTAACCTTATCTTTAGTAACAATTTCCTGCACTGCCGAATTTACAGAGGTTGGTATTGGTTCATGTTTTTCCTCCTCTTCCATATGTATGTTTTCCCAATCATCAACAACATCATTTATTGCATCCCATGAGTCAAGTATTTCTTGGTCCTCTTGTTTCACGACCTTAGGATGTTCCTCTAGTGGAAATTCCTGAGATAATGCATCAACGCTTTCAGCAACAAATACTGAAATTATTAAGGTAATTTTAATAGAACACTTACTAATCTGTGGCTCAATAAGAATTTTATATTCCAATTCTTATCATGAAAGAAACAATACCTTTATCTTCTTGCTTGGGTCCTTTCTTTTGTTTTCTTTTGCTGTATACAGGACGTTTTGTTGGTATTTCCTCTTCACCTTCTCGTCTTAACGCACTTGGAAGTATAATATCTGAATGAATAAAAAAGAGCGTATTCCTACATTAAGAGTAAAGTACTTATAAGATTATAAAAAGTCCTACTTGCATTAGATAATAAAGCCTGCTGCCTCCTCAGTTTTTCTTTTTGTGCAGGAGTCATATACTTTCCTTCTGCTTTTAGCCTTTCATCACGTTCTTTTTTCTTCTGTTTCTCACGTTCTTTTTTCTCCTTAGCAAGTCGTTCCTGAAATTTAAATTTGAAGGATTTTATGCTTTAAAATATACATGTTATAATGCAATTACTTCTTCTTCTTTTGCTTTTTGTATTGCAAGCAATCTTTCTTCTTCTTCTTTTTGCTCCCTCAATATCCTTTCTTCTTCTTCCTGCCTCTTGCGCAGTATTTCTTTTATCAAATCAACCTGAAAACTTCTATCATACAAAAATCAAATCACATTCCATTATATTATCTATTTCAAAACAGTATTCAACTTTCTTAAATATGAGAACAAAAAACTACTCAGCAAGAATTTGACATGAAACATTCATTCTCACGATTTGCAGCACAGAATCAAAGACACACAACATACATGCTTCTTCCTTTTAGTTTCCTTTTTGTCTCCTTCTTTTTTTGCATCACCTTTTTTCTTTTTTTTCTTTTCTACCACTTCTTCATCGTCATCTTTGTTACTCTAAAGATAAAGGAACTTAATTAATAAGCACAAATAAATTCATTCAAAAGGAATTTCAAGAAATTAAAAAACCAATATACAAAGTGCTAAAACCAATTTATTTTCTGATGCGGCAGCATTTTCTTCAGGAACTGAATCAGGCTCTGCAACTTTTTCCTTTTCTGCCGCAGCTTTCTTCTTTTTCCGTTTATCCTTTTTTTTTTGCAGAACATCTTGAGTAGCAGGTGCAGCAGCTTCCGATACAACAGCTTCAGATATTGCGGTTTCAGGTACTGCGACAGTTTCTGACACCATAGCAGTTGCTTCTTTAGTTTTAGCCACATTGTCAACTAAAACGTTTCCATTTTTTACATTGTAAATTTGTAAAACCAAGCAATCTAATAATTTCAAACAGTATTATTAGCTTTTTTCGATCTACAAAATTACCTAAATTTTTATCGCCCATAAAAGACTGTTTAGGATCGTCAGAAGTTTGACTTTCTCCCACAGAGGGTGCAATAATATTAGTTGCTTTTTTTTTTCCTTTAGTTACTTTTTCCTTAGGTTTTTCAATATCAGCAATCAAAGCATCTATATCTTCGTATTCTTTCAGAACCTGAAACAGCGTAGCTCGCACAGTTTGCATGTACGACGAAAATTGAAAGAATTATTGCTGCCTATGATAAGAAATAAAAAACTACCTTCCCTTTCACTAACACCAAAAAATTACCTTTTGGCCTTTTTTTCCTTTTCCTTTACCTTCATCCTTGCTTTTTATCGGTACTTTTTCTTTCGAAGTTCCCTTCACCTCATGAGCTTTATTTTTGTTTTTCTGCTTTCCTTGTTCTGGCTTTCTTTCGACAACAACAGTTTTATCCGTATTTTCATTGTCGCTTTCATCTCTACTGCCCTCGTCATCATCAAGCTAAATCAATCTGCTATATTTATATATATTGAATACTTGAATTTCTGAAATAAAAATTAAAATAATGACAATTCGCAAATCACAACAGTGCAAAACATGATATCTGTAATGATCTCAACACAGAAAAAATAATGCGTCAATATAGTGGCAAAAACAGTAATAGAAAGGTCTTTTAGGCAACACTAGCAACGCAGATAATTTGAAGAAATTAGCATACTTCAGCAAATATGTTGAATGCTCTGTTTTTGTTTTTTCTATACACGGGTCCTCCTGAACTATCGTCACTACCACTACCATCTGATTGCGATGACAACTTCACTGCATCGATCGTAGCATCTTCAAACCTGTGCAACAAGCACAAAGAAAAGTGAGATTTTAAACAGCTATGTTTTTGATTTTCAGAAACATGAATCTGTTGATGTAAAATACTGTAGAATGTAAACAATAAGCTCAATTACATCGACTAAAGTTGTTTTCAGAACCATCTATTTTAAAAAAGAAAATCAAGCTAATCAAAGTGGGAAAAAAAAAGGCTTTTCTTTTTTATTAGAAACTGCGAAAAAAGAAAGTTTACCAGTTATTTTTTTTATTAGCTTTTTTCTTTATCGTAGCCATTTATGATTCAAAACATATGTTGCAGACTTGGAATGCTTGGATTATTCAAAGATAATAATAAATTTAATCCCAAAATTCAGAAAAAGACTTCAGATGCACAAATTTGCTCTGAAACTCAAAGAAATATAAGAGACTAACAAGTATTTTTCATCGTAATAATACTTGCATTGACATGAGCTCTGTATCTCAATCAGGGTCATTATGAAAACAATGTTCTCAAAAATTGAATTTGTATCAGAGAAAATTTTGTAACTTTGTGGTATAGCAACAATGTCTAAATATTATACGAATTGCTAGACAGTAATCGCATAGTCTTATGTGGATATTGTGGATACGCGATCAGTTACTTGAATTAGAGTTGTTTTGATTAAATATTATCAGTTAAAATTTTATGCAATGTAATTTTAATGAAAATAGATTGTGTCTTTATAAAGTTGAACTAGATGTGATGCAGTTTGATATAGCCTTAGAGCTTGATATAATGAAAGCTCAACCAATTAGTTCTAAAAGTTATATTTCCATCAAAGCTACATTCTCAGTTTGGCCGGAACTTCATGTTAGAAAGTAAGCTGTAGATCTCGATCTCCATCAGTTTTATTATGATTGAAACAAAGTTATAAAATAGCAAATAACAACAATTTTCATGAACAATGGTACTTGGAAAGATCTTTCGAAGGCATGGCTACAAAATTCACATAGATGAGATGTCTCTGAAAGTGACTTTGAAATAAATACATGCCTACGATTCATCTGGATTTCATGAGGCGGTAATATTGATCCCACAATACGCTAGTAACAAAAATTCGGGACTATTTTAAAATGGATTGAACTATTCTGCAGTATTTAAAAATACCAGTCAGATATTTTAAAACTGATCAGAATGTTTTTTTGTTTCCGAATTTCATCTCGGGCAGTTTCAGTGTCCTTCTAATGATCATCCACAGCTCATACTTTTGGTCGTAGACAAGCGAAAATTAGAATTATTCTTTGAGAACTCGAGATACTTCACTTCAATACTTCTAATGGCAAGTTCAAACTCCTGTTGTTCCTACCGGAGTGACAAGGTGATATGGTGGTCATGCGGACAACACTATTTAGCAATAAGCTATGGACACTGACTTAATGGATTCTTGTACTTCTTAACGAAACCTGAAAGTACAACTGTAATAACTTGACGAAAACCCGTGATTTAATTTTTGTCAATTTATTTCCACGTAATTTTGCGAGTATAAATCATTTCAAATCCCAGAAAATCCTCACAAATCTGACTCTTGTTTCTGTTAGTTAATAGCACACATGTGGTAATGACTCATCTTCACTTAGCCGAAAAACAATCTTTAAAGATTAGATTCCTCTAATTTCCCTTCCAGCTCGATTATGACCGAACAAGACTCAACCATAAATCATCAATCATAAAATGTTTAACAGATACCATTTTACGATGAAAAAGTAATGACAAGTAAATTGAAGGAACTGATACCTTCCATAGGAGAGTAGAAAGAATATTTTATAGGAAAAAACGCATTGCTTAGGCTTTTGCATGCTTATGGGACACAATGCTGCTAGCGAAATGACTCCTGAATGCTTAATTTACGTGCTTTGCTGAGCTGAACCCATAGAAGAAAGAATTTGCATAACTTAGAAGAAAACTCAACCTCCTGCTTGTACGTTATAGCAAAATTCCAATCTAAACTCATTAACCTGTCTTTCGGATATTTTCCATACAAAGAGCTGATTTGTTGAATAATTAAAGAAACATAGCAGAATTGAATTTATTCCGCACCGCTTCATCATCCGTTCAAATAGCTTGCTTGCTTTTCTTCCGCCTACTCATTGACGTGAGTACGAAACCTATCATTGATTCCTGATAAATAAAAAAAACGTTTCCATCAACTCTGCTGCATTCCTCTCATCACACAGCTGACGAAGAATGCTAGCATACATTTGTGTACATTATTTGGAAATTCTTGTCTTGACATTTTCAGAATGTCCTTCAAAAGTAAGCAATAAATATCAAATTAGAGATGTTGTAGTACCTAACAAAGATATATTTACGCGCTGTTCAATTGCTTTATTAGTCGACATACAATGCAAATGACATAATAGTATAGTCGCGGAGCAACATATGTATAACGAGGTCAAGCCTAGAGATGAAACGATCCACAACGTAGCCGCCTTCTTTAACAACGAAAAGTTGAACAAGTACTCTGAAACTAATTCGCAAAGTTAAAAACCTACGGGTTCCATGACTAAAACCATTCCAATGCATTTTAACTGCAAATCTTCCCTGTAAAGTTGTATTTAGCACAAAATTTCGTTCCTCTAAAAATTCCTTACTGAAATGCAAAAAGCAATCACAAATCTTTTCTCATAAAATGGTTAGCGTTCTCATTCCTGCAAATACCAGTGAAGGGGGGAATAAAAATACCAGTGAGGGAGTAATTACAGTTTTAAATAGCAACCGTAATCTCTCCACATTTAATGTCATCACTCTACGTCTAACTGCAAACCCGAACTGAAAAGAAAAATGGACATATGGTGACATATACTATAAGCGTTCAACAATGGATATACAAGAAAAGCCAAATCAACTTGCTCTCTCAACATATGAATATTGCAGAAGGGGGTTTGAAGAGAAGCCATAAAAATAAGGTAACTCGCGATGACACCTGAGACTTTGCTCACCTTTATAACATCACAGGTTGAGACTGAGTGTCAGGTGGGACCGCAAAAACCTTTTACTTTGGCTAGACTCTAGTACATAAGAGTGGAGCAATTTCTTACCACACAATTAACGTAAGACATTACTTCATAGTATTTTATCAAAGGTTAGTAGTAAATAAAAGATGCCAACCCAGGACAAAGATGACATCCACCCTTACCGATAGCACGTTCGACGAGTTCAATATTACGTACGACACTCCGCAACTTTCAGTTAAGCACGAATCCACAGTAATGTCAAGACATGAGCAAATACTGATCTGCAAAGGAAGAGCAAACTGATGTGCAATTTTGCTTCTGGGACAATGTTCCACTCTATACAGAGAGAACGAAAGAGTGACAATAAGACAATTACGCGGGAAGCTCCCCAAGAGGGACACAAACTCTTCCTCACTACTACTGCGTACAGCTGCTGACAAACAAGAGTAGAGAATGCACTCTCCTTCTGCCCCTACAAAGATGCAAAAATAGCAAGCACCTTCTCATGCGCTACTTCCTTGTTGTTCTCATCTAAGCAGACCACTTCAAAGTAATCACGTATCAATGATACGTAGTACAGAGGCAGAATTTTAGCGGGAAAATACATAAACTTATTACCATAACAAATATGATTACTACTCATAGTACTGATATGATCAATCACTATAAAAATAGACGTCTTTCAATCAACATCTGTTATTATAGTAAATATGAATAACAAAGTAAAGGCGAAGTAACTTTAATAATTAACTGCAAGGGATGGAGCATATGACGAAGAAGAGCTAACTTCATTTGCATACTCGGAAATAACTCTGCTCTTCCAGCACATTCATACACACACACACATACACAAACAAGAATAATGAAGCGGAAATTCACAAAAAAATTCGAGCAGAAGAGAATAGTTGAATGGACGGACAGATGATTGACATTTGAGTAACAATTCAATACACACACACGCACACACATTACTTTCTCATCATTAAAATGCCCTGCAAACTTTCTCTCGCCCTCCCTTACTGCCAATCACTTAACTGCCGCCAGAGATACAGAACCCTACACACCATCAACCTTTTCTAGGTCACGTTACGTCACTGTTTTCCAGGACGATAATAAAAATAGCTTATGGGATCGAATGTTCTCTGCTAATCATTCAAAACATCATTTACAAGCACTCTGCAAACTGAACAGCTCACCTCCCCATATCCCAAGTATTCACTCAACCTTCCAGCCATATATCTGCTCTTGCATACAAACATGAATGTACTGCCGCCGTTTCCTGAGTGGCATCGCATCCCATACCATTTTGCCCGTATAGAAAAATCCAGATTTACAGATCATACCGGAAATTATACTCTTCCCATGCTAGAGATGTAACTGTAGATAAGCTGCAATGATTCACTCAACCATACCATTCCATCATCTCATAATATGAAAATAAACTTCTTGTCTTTTCTCAAATTAACATGTATTTCCTTCCTCCTCAGACCTTAATCAATATGGTATATAAGGCTCATATAAATCGAAAAAAATGAAATTTATCAAGAAAATATAGGTTCAATTTCATACTGCACTCATTGCACATAGATGACGAAGTGAAAATGGACCGAAGTTTGATAACCACAAGTTGTCCTGTGCTTAAAAATCTAAACAGGTTTACTCAACAAGAATGAGCAGCGTGAGGGCACAGCGGGAGGCCTACATGTCAACAAGTCGACACTGAGTGTTGAGTGGAGCACTTGCAGTCTTCAGTATCGTTAGAAATCTGTGTAAATCACAATAGATAAACTAACTGCAAATGGGAAAGCAAATTGGTCGATATCTGCAGTGGTGAATAAGGTAAGGCAAAACGTTAGCGAAGTAGGCATCAATTATGTATTTCTGGAAATCGATAACGAGAAATCGACTTCTGCTCACCTAATGCACCTATTATGCACGCAAATTGACAAAAACCCAGTCCTGCACACACAATTCACCTCAACATTTGCAGATGCAGAAAAAGGGACAGAAAAACTTATCTGCTTTAGTCTCCTAACCGGGTGCAAGGCTACGAAGTGAACTTTCACCCTTTCCTGCAATTTATGCCCCAGCCCCAATGCATCCCGGAGTAGGTGGGACAGAGACCAAATATAAGTTGGCTGGCCTCTACCTACGTTGTTCTGATAACTGCAGCATTGACACGCCTTCCTACGCACACATTCCCTCTGACCCCACGACCTTCAAAATTCTCGCAAGCACACGCTCACCAAATCCATCGATCTTACAGTTCTATTCACCTTTTCCCTTCTGGCTCATAAATTTCTCACACGCACGCATGTACTGTACAAGCATACAAGTGTGAATATCTGGAAGGAATTATAAAAAACCACGGATATCTGGATGTTTGTTCTGTTACTAACAAAATCCGGAAGTTTTCGCACTGATATTACAAGGGGAAGAAGGACAAATCTTTTTCGTGACAAATAATTACTAGCCAAGAACTGTTCAAACCTTAGTAAGTGGATCTGTGCAAGTGCAAATTCAAGAAAAAAAGCATTACTGAAAAAACCCGAGGTCATGTACAAGAGAGCAGTTTCACTAATATTACGCGTCTTGATCCACTGACATCGAGCAGAATTACATCAAAACTTACAACTAAGATCACGATCCCCCATTGATCTAATTCTGATACCCATTTACTTTACCGAGATAATTCCAGAATCCCTATATAGCATCTTGTAAGTGTAATAATGATATACCTTCCTCTCGCCTTAAACATCCAAATACCCATAGACACCACTACCCTTGCCAGCATTGGCCAGTAACATAGTCAAAAAATGATCTACTAGAATGATCAACACCCTTAGCAATATCAATAATGGGAGAGTAAAGTTCAGCTTCCGCGCACACTGGCAAAGCCTCATTAGCAAATGTGTTAGTAGTGAAATCAACCAAATTACTTCCACTAAATTTCACAAGAATTAAACGAATTGGTTAACATTCCGCTTAAAACAAGGATTTTAACTTCTTGACAATGTTGGTTTAACTGAAGTTTCAATTACTCATGAGTCAAATAAAAGTGAAGTCAAAGAGCGTTTTTAGCTTCATAACGTCTTTCACTCCTACCTCCAGTACTGACACCAATCACCACAAATTCTAACTCCTTGACTACCTAATTAGATCTAACCCATGACAATCAGGGAACAGTATCTACAATTATAATAACAGCGTTAATGGTAACCAGAGTAGAAGCGGTAGTTCTTGACAACTATATAGCTTTCTACCCACCGAAAAAACTTCATCTCTAAAAACCTTATATTTACAATATATGAGCTTTTCACGTTAGCCCAGATGAACGATATGCAAATAACCCTGAACCTAGGCCTATTTTCTCCTGCCTAATGCAAGCCATATTGTTTCTCTCTGCTCACCCACTCCCCTCTCCCCTTCTCACATCTCCCTCCTCCCCCTCCCTCTCTCTCCCTATCCCTCTTTCCTGCTACCAAGATATTTTCTTTGTTCCCCAACAAAAATGCTTCATCATACCCCAGAGACCCCTTACAGCGTAAAGCCAAATACGATCAATCTACCCCTCACATTAATGTTTCTGCTATGAAGAATACCCACACTCTTACTCTATTCCGTAGGGACTGTCACAGATTTATTTTGTTATAACATCATGGTTGCCTGCTGAAAAAGTGCCATAAAAAGTGTTTTACACTTCACTTTTTTATAGCACCTAAAGCAAACCGAACAGTCCACACTAGGAAAGCAGTGCCGTTTTTCTTTTCAACTGTAATTAGTGGGAAAATCTAGAGATCTGTCAATACCGTACAACTTTTCACCTTAAACGAATGCGATCCAACGATCAACCAGTCAATAGTTAACCAATCAAGCAGTCAGTCAAACAGTCAATTTAGTTTATTTACCTACCTATAAGTGTAAAGCGTGAAAATAGAAGTAGGTAGGGAGGAAGGAAATTTCACAAATGATCATTTCAAAAAATTAAAGGCAATCATAAATGCAGGGGACAAGCAAGTAAGTAGTCGGGTTGACAAATCAATCTAACTTTCCCCTCGATGACTTATTCCATTCATTTCTGGTTACCAACGACTGTATTTCAAAAAGTATTCCCCTCGAAGAAAATATTCAAAAGATTGCTCTTTGAAACGTCGCAGTGTGCTATATTAGAAATAGGAATGGGCATAGCAGCAAGCACCGTCATCACTACTAATACTACCCTAGGCTTAGCCATCAGATCGATCTCGGAAATCTACTCGAAGTCGATCCTCAGAGTAGAAAATGACTTTGCAGCATTAAAACTACGCCTTCAGCTCATGGACTAACTGCCTTTGTTTGTATGCATTTTAAAGCCTATTTTGCAGTCTAATATATGGGTGAAAGAAAGAAAATCCTAGTATCACTCAGAATCGACCTAATATAACTCTAGCAAGAGTAATTAATGCAATTTTCCGGTCTAATTTCCTTTATAACAAGAATACACTAGCAAGAATAATAAATACTACTCTGAATTCAAGCATGCTAACTAATTACAGTCAGCGATGTGTCATCACATGCTGAATATAAATAAATCACTTTCTTTATTAAATCCCTGTTCGTATACAACAACAATCTACCATGAAAACCTATCAACTCTCTGCGTAACAACAATGATGATATACAATTAATAATAGAACGTTCAAAAAACTAACATAAAAATGGAGAGTTTGAACGTTACATAGCAAATATTACAGTGATGATTGAGATTTCTGAGCATAAAAAGGGCTTGCAGTTGTTTATATAATATGATCAAGTGTGAAGGTTACATTGATCTACTCGTTCTATAACTTTACCAGAACTTTACCAAATGTTTTTGAATAGTACAAGAAATGCCGGTAAAGTATGGAACTGGTGGATCAAATTATGATATAAGAAAGTAAGATATTAAAAATGAAATATAGACTGTGTATGCAAGAGAATAATTCGACATTTGAGCACAAGCAATATGTTGTAGCAATTAGAAAGCAAAGGTCTAGCTGCAGCTGGAATTTTCAGGTCAAGTTCTTTGCTAGCATAAGCAATCAGTGTGTTTCTCAAAAATAAATATCAACAATCAAGAAAAAAAAATAGAAAAAACATAAAAACATCTGAGTGAAGTAAGAATAATCAGAAATCAAAACGCTACTAAATTCACATTATTATTAGAAATGTACAAATCATTCACTGAACTATTTAATAATAGCATTCATAAAATATTGCACGGAAAAATTTCAGTATCGTTTTTTTTTGAATAAAAATGTTAACTGAGCAAGGAATAGCGCAACAGTACAATCTATCATTTGACTGTTTCTTGACTAAATGTGACCAAAAGAAAAATGAAGGAAAGGAGTGAGTAGGAAACGATAGTAAAAGATGGTATGGTTTTTTACAATTGTGCCATGAGTCATAGAAGGTATGAATATCTTTGTAAACAAAAATGATTCATCTATGTTATGCTAATAAGACTTTTTTAGTGCTGTTCCTAAATATATCACATACAAAGAAAACCTTCTAACCAATATAGTTAACGTCCTAAATTTCTTGTTCGAAAAACCAAATCCATATGATTTAAATTTAAAATTGTTCCACTATTACGCTATTCACTCTTTACTTATTTAATAAAAAATGAAACCGTATACTCATCGAATAACAATAAGTGAATATCACGTCTGCACAGAAATGAAAGGTTTTATATTGTAATCTGTTGTAGTATAATGAAAAACTCCAGGAGATGATGCTCAAATTTATGCAAATATACAAGTCCCATCTTCATCTAAACATTCTTTGACGCTAATAAAAGTACTTGCATTAATGACAAAGTTAGATCGGGGAATAATATAACAATTTCCCATACTACACGTTTTTTTCCATACAACATTGATTGATTAGATTTCTAGAAGTTATTAAGAAACCTGCAATATCCTACTAACCGAAAAGACTGATTCCACCCAATCACTAAAGTCATAACTGACTGCATTTTTTGATACAATTCTTTTCTAGACTAGTACATGTCAGTACAGTTCTTTCCGAGCGCTGATCAGTGAAAAAAAAATTTGGAAATTGGGATTTTCATAAACAATGACATTTTTCTATTAACAATGAACATTAAAAATCATTCATCTCGCATATTTAATTTGCAAATGTATTTTTGTACGACAAACACATGATTAATACCATGGCACAAACAGAAACTACATGCAACTCAAAAATATCTAGGGAAACACTCATAAAATTTGTAATTCACCGAATAACAAATTCAACAAATACCACATACAAAGAAAACCTCCAAATAAATTGCTAATATATTAATAGGGTATTTCATTTTGTATATACTGTAGTTGGTCATACATTTTGCTCCGCACATTTAAGAAACAATTTCTTATTATGCTCATCATATACTTCGCAGCATCACGGTCTGACATTTGTGGAGCAAATCGATCTCGAAACTGTTGTATAGTTTTACCACGAAAGCATGGCAGATGTGTGTCCAGCATTAAAGATACCAATGCGATGAACGCCTAAATACAAGTACTGTGAATTCAACACAATTACAAATAAATTTAAATTAGCAAATAAAAAACACAAAGTTAATATTTGAGACCACACTTTAGAATGAAAATTACATGCTTTGTAGTATGGTCGGACTGCTAAATATGCCTGCACACACAGAGAGGCAAACAGTCGAAAACTTGGAGCTTCCATTTTTCCGCCCATAATGGCAACCATTTCTTGAGAAAGTTTGAAATCTGGTTCAAATCCAAGATTGCCTCCAGGACTGCTTTCAAACATGAAACCGAAATCTAAAATAGACTGAACTGATGACACACATTATATAAATTGGACTGGACATAAGTCTAAAAACTTAAGAACTACAAAGCAGTAGAAAAACTAAAAATGAAGTATTCTTAACCGATATGAACGATATGGCCATCACTGTCAATCATAATGTTTCCATTATGTCGATCTTTGATTTGTAGCAAGAAGCTGAACAAACTATATGCTGCCATGCTACGAATGAAATTTCTTCTTGCAACTTGTAAACTTTCTGTGTTTTCATCACCATAAGTTGTCAAAAAGTATTCATATAAACCTATAACTTGATTTTATCACAATCGAGACTAAGATTTAAATAAAAATTGAACAGTAGCAAATATTGTTGATAAACCAGTGAGCTTACCGAAATCTGTTTGCCGTCCTAATTGATCTCTTGACTTTGAATTCGGAACACACTCAATCACTCCACAACCAGGCGAAGTAGCCACCACTCTGTACGGGAACAAACGAACGTCTAGTCCAACAGAATCAAAAATATTGCGCATCAAATGCATCAACTGAAGAGCTAACATATCTTGGCGTACATCGTCACCAACCTGAAAATGAGTATAGAAGCATACAACCTAAAAAAAAGAAATCCAATTTCAATGACAAATTCATTGCTTTTTGATAGTCCTCTTTAACTATAAAATGTGATAAAAGATCTCTGTATTAAAAAAAATTAGATAAGTGCTGACTTTGAAAATAGCTGCTTGCCAAGAAACATGGCAATCTTCGAGTTCAGCAAAAAATCCCAAATTTGTTTCTGGAGCATACTTCTGCTGGTGTACAGCGATCCCTAAACGTTCCAGTTTTTGAATACCACAATGACGAACTTTAAATCGCGCTAAGAAAGGTGCCTTTGCAGCACTGAAAATAAATTATGACCCTAAGACATTTTCTACAAAGATTCTTAACTACTATTTCCATTACCTTTGCATTGGATTTCCACTTTTGTAATCAATTTCAAGAATTACTGCTTCTGGATTGTACGGCAGATAAGTGACTGTCTCCAAGCGTATTTCAGCAAGCGCATTTAAACAAGCTTTCTTCCTAGCTTCGCCCTTCGGGAATGGTCTTATTTTTCCAGACACATCAATTATACGTTTGAAAAAATCAAACTCGCTATTGTAAAATCTTTTCGCAGCACCTTCCAAACTGGATACTATCTAAATGAGTAAAAGGCCTAAGATACAAAAGTCAAGCATGAGAAATAATAAATGATACTTTGTTGATCAAGTCACTCAATGGTCCATGCAAATCAGGATCCTTTTCTTTTGATTCTTCGTCCCTGTACATATTTGCTTGCATATTCCACAATAACTGATGAGCCAAGAGTTGTGAGTGATTAGCTAACCACATGATGAGCTCAGCAACATATCCCATCTAAAATATGTTGAGAATCAATAACGATCGTCCTAAGTGATTTCCGTCATTTAACTGATCTCTTGACTTTAAAATCGGTACACATTCAATCATTCCACAACCAGCCAAAGTTGCTACCAGAGAGTACGAAAAATGATTATGGACAAAACATACCCTGTCATGACGTACAGCTTGAACAAGTTGTGGAATATACAGCATAAGCACGTCTGGAGGATATGACCTCAAAACACGAACAGCATATTGTACTGTGATTGGGTGAGTTGGATACTGTCGAGCTCCCAGTAATGATAGAGCCATTACTGGATCGCATTCTGACCATGTTAAAACATGACTCAATGTTTTAAGATCCTGAAATCCCTGTATTTTAATTTAAAAAAAAAAAGAAATATATATAAGTAATTTTGCGATAATTAACTTCTTTTAAAAGCATCTATTCCTCATTTATCAAAACAAAGAAGCTAAACGTTTGTCAAATTTCATCAAAAAATTGTATCTTACTCTGATATTATGTAACGCTCAAGTAGCTATGAAACCAATTCTTTAAAAGCATTTTCAAGAGGATGAATCTAACGAACACATATGAAACATGTGTTTTTAAAATAAGCAAGTCAAGAACACAGAAGAAACACTATGCAGAATACCATGAACTTACTTCTGTTTTTTCTTCTAAAATCTCTCCTTCACCTAACATCAAAGGAAGAGCTTCGGGCAAATCAGATACTAATTCAGGTGAGCTAATGAGCAATTCCTGCACAGTGTGTTGACAAGCAGGGCATGTACGAAACCTAAAAAAAATAACAAAATGAAGAATGCACAGTTCATTAAGATTATTCTGAATAAATTTTAAATTTTTTATCAATAAATTAATACTATTGTTACATTACTTCCCTTGATGGCATGTACACAGCCAATGCAGGAGAAATTTGCCATGCGATTTTTACATTTTCGCGCAAGAGCTTGGTCTCAGTTCTTATGTCAGGAAATGTCGATTTCCGCCATTGTTCGATGTTTAATTCTTCTGCACTCAATGCTTCACCAAGCGGATTCAACCAGGCACTAAGTCTTTCAATTTCATTTGCCTATACATATATTTATGTAAAAAATTAGTACAGAAAATATAGAAGTTTGCAAATTATTCAGCTTTTCTTCAGAAAACTTACAATAAATATAAGTAACAAATTTCGATGGCGATTGTATAACTTCATTTGCTGTTCCGCATGTTTACTTGAATTAGAACAGTTAGGATCTATAAATAAAGAAAACCCCAATCATTAAATACAATAAACACCTAATATGCTCAGCGATGTTTATTTAATGACTTAGCATACAACAGTAAACTTTGGACTTCTTACACGAACCATATCACTAAGCAAAATAAGAAATTTTATACCTTGCACCAGTTTGTCAAATAAATTACGACCACTGCTTTTATCTATAAGTTTCTCATAAATTCTGTCACTGACATTCTAAACCACAAAAGAAAAAAAAATTACCAGTAGTGAGATCATTCTTCTTCAACAAATCAGCTTTACCTTGTGCAGCTACAAGTGTTACCCAATTTGAACTGCAGCTTGATAATGCATTACGAGCTTGCGTATCAGCTCGGCTAAAAGAAGCAGTGTTGCAAACAACCGATCATATGGACATGATTAATAAAAAGAAAGATTTACAATATTAGAAAAATATGGTTAAAGAAAGCACATAAACTTACTTATTGCGTGAACTCGACTTGTAATTGTCGTTTAAAATTTGTTGAAGTGATTCCAAGTTAAGCTCCGTATCTATTATTTTAATTACACGAAAATGAGAATGGTTTGTAAAATATATAAATGTAATAACGAAATGAATTAACTTGAGATTAAAATTTAACTAGTGTGGAATGTACAAATTTCAATAAACAAGGGTAGATGGATCTGTAAAAATGAAACTTACCAATGTTAGCAAATATCTCTTTTCTAATATATTTGACATCAGAAAAAAGGGTATTCCAAAATGTTATCATCCACCGCACATCATTTTTTAAATGTGTTGTATTCTGTGTTGGAGTTTGAGCGGCAACACTAAAAAATTTATCCACAAAATAGGAAAGCCACACTTTTGCCCATGTCAGATGAATTCACTTTAGCTGAGTTTACATACGAGAAGTAATCTAGCATAGAATAATAGACACGTTGTCGCAAAATATTCTTTGAAATGCAAACTGATATCGAATCACGTTGTATCATGGAAAGTACGCAATTAAGAAGCCGGCATCTTAACCCCACTGACTCAACATTCCTCGTCATTGCCACTGAAAAAAATCTAAATATAATGATTTTAACAATGCTGACAATGGTATAAAATAATGTTTTGAACTAGAGAGGGTAGATAATAATTCTTCTACAAACGTAGTTCTATACAAGTACTGCGTCTTCTACAATGCACTTAAAAGCTGTTTTTATACATTATATTGAATACATAGTATTTATGGTATTGGTAAGAGATGTTTTCGAAAACTACTACATTCAGTTTTTCTGAAAAATAATAGCCAAAAGTAACCATGGGTTAAATTCACTCTAGAGAGCGTCAAGTCAGAAAAAATATATAACGATGAATTGGTGTCAGCTTTTGAAGGACCCACACTCAATGGAAGAGTCTGAGCAAACATCAACTCAAAAATGTCCAATTGTTCCCTGTTAGAATATTTTGCGATATCCACTCTCTCGGCTAAAAACTGAAAAGTTTACATTTCTTCATAGTTCACCATTAAACTAGTGAACCAACAAAAGGTTCACTTCCCCTCACTTCTCCAAATCTTAATTTCTTCACAAGCAACAGAAAAAACTAGATTGCAAAGACTTAGTATTTTATATTGTGGACATATAATTCTGAAAATTGAACGTACATCAATCCAAATACTATGAGGAAGAAGCGACAACTGTTTTGAAGTTAAGGGATACTGTAAAGTCAAAGGAGATATGTGTTTTTGATCACACTGAAAAATTCCTAACTGATTCAGAGCTACATTTGTCCAACATGCTGCCATTTCACGAAGAAACTGAAATGAACTATAGTTTTGATGGATAAATAATACACAGTGAAATTCATGAAAAATATTTCTCACTTCAAGCTGAATATCATCTCGAGAAACAAGAATCCAATTCCACATAACTACGCAAAGGCGCATTGTCGAGGCCGAGAAATGCTTCAACGGTATAAAAACAAGAATATGTAGCAAATGACCATTCAGTTCTGTAACATGAATATGTGAAGAATACATCATTGAGAGGCCATGAAATTTAACCAAATGCAAATAATATTGGAAATTTTTTCATTAAAAAAAAACTTTTAATCAATCTTTTATCCAAAAAGCAGTGACTAACTCCACTACTTCTGAAAGCTGACTTAAAGTATTTTATACAAAAACATCTATTTTTACTTCTGCTGGCAGTTTCTTTCATTAAAATAAACAGGGCGGCCAATTTCAGAATAGATTCTGACAACGCTTTATCACAGCCTGTTTCATATGCTTTCTCTAGCTCTTTTTCAAAAAAATTTGCAAGGCGTTCTTCAGGCTTGGCATTTTCCTGAACCAAAAGCGTTTCTATCATTCCTTTCACCTGAAAAAAAAATATCCCGCAAAATACCAGATTGAGTCATAAAACAGAGAGAATGAATGAGCAGAAATAAGACATTGTATAAAATTTTCAAAATATTCACCAATTTTTTTTCAAATAATCATACTGCTTACTTACCTTACCAAGATACAAGGATCTCAGACAGAGAGATGAAAGATAGAATGACGGACAGGTATCCATTGAACTGTTAGGCATATCGTTTAGACCTTTCAATACAGCTTCTACAGTCAAGCGAAAGCTATCATTATAAACAGAACTGGTATTCCCAATATATTTCTTAAATATTCATATATACCATTTATTGGACCAAAATTTTTTAAGCTAAAACATAATAGTTACACAATAATCTACAAATTTACTAGCTAAAGTGAAAACAACTACCTTGCTAGATAGTGCAGAGACAATATTAGACACTTACAACTAAATAACTGCGAGTACTACCAGGTGCCCATTTAATTGCTTCTTGAAGAATTTGCTCACAACGCAAAGAAAAGTCTTGAACTACTAATTTTCGTTGGTCCAAGGTATCCTTAACTTATTTTTTGATTTCACCAACAGAAATGTTGAGAGATTAAAAAAATCATATTAAATGAAAATTTCAATTTCAATATTTATATTTTTAGGAGATTACAGAGTTAATATTTGTATATACCAGATATTTTCAGGCAACGATGTGCAGAAATTAGAAGGCAAATAAAAAAAGACCTGCAGTTGCAAAGTCCACTGTAAAGAAGGAAATGTTAAAAACATTTTTTTGCAATCTACATCACTTTCTAAATTGTATGAAAGCGTTTCTAGCACTTGCAATACAACATTTATAACGTTTCCATTCCAAAGTAAATGTGGAAAGCTTCCAATTAAATTGGTAAGGCAGGTATCAGCGCACTTTCTTACCTACAATAAAATGATCATACTTCTAAAATGTTTATTGTACTGTAACGTAATATTTCATGCTTATTTAACTTCTCTGATAGGTGAATGAAGCAGAAGCTGACAGCTACTACATTTACACTGCTAAGATTTTAAGACACCCAGAGAATTACTTCTTTGAGATGATGATTGAACATGACCAACAAAAACTGTGCATGAAGTTCAAGCTGCCGTTCGCGAGCTGAATCTAGACTTCGATCACTAGTAACTTTCAAGTACTTGCTAAATATAGTTCTTGCAGCTGTCAAAAGACAGGTCCAGATCCCATCTTTGTCTTTTCTTATCGATCTGAAATTTGTTGTGCATACTGAAGATTTTAATTCTATTCAACTCCTTTGACAGGTAAAACAACAAAAAGCTGATAAGACAGACACGAATATTGAAGTATGATGAAGCTGATCCAGTTCATAATCTGATTTTGGTTCATCATATATTTCTATAAGATATCAACTAAGGTACTAAATGAACAAAAATTTAAATATCTTTACTTATCCTCTAGATACTGAAATATTGAATGAACTGCGCCAGGTTCTTCAGAATGCAAAGCTCGCATAAACTCCATGCGAAAAACTGATAAAAGATAAATACAATGAGCGAATTCCAACTTATTAACAACCACTGCAATTTCAGGAGCAGAAGAGATTTCCGACAAGATTGTAGCTCTTATCTCTTGCAATTCCGCCTGAAAATTAATGGCTGCAAAACATGTTTTTTACCATTTCAGAACCTTTCATTCTTTTTACATGGTGATACAAAGAACTACACAGGATCAACCTATGCGAGGTACTTATTAAATGATTGCTACACATATGTTATATATAATTCACAATAAAAGCTGAAGTAATTAAAGTATTTGTCTGACTATCGTAATAGTAATGAACACAATCCAATTGTTGACTCATTTTAATAGTCCTTGATTTACTCACACAAAACAAATAGATTTCCCAATTGATGAAAAAGTAATCACAGGTGACCTTGTAACATTACAAGTCATAAACTGAAACAAACCGATATAACATCGTTATTTTTGACCGTAGCATTGGCAGCAAGTTCGGCACGTAGACTTTCTTGAGGAGTCAGTACAGGTGACTTACAAGCGATTTCGCAGGCAGCTTCATACCATTCTTCTGGCCATAGACCTGACCATTTCTTCATTCAATATATTATTTTTTGAAAAGATGAATAAAAATAATTTGAATGATCAGAATCTGGGTGAAAATTTGCTTACTTCATTTTCGGCTTCAGTTAAAAAAATATTTAAAACATAACTGAACCTAATCTTATTTATTCTTTCCTAAAACAAATATTAAATTTCGACTAAAGATTATAAAAAGCCAACCTATTCGCGCAACATTAAAGCCCAAGAGTGTACAATAAAACCAAAAGTCACGAAACAAATTGCGTAGCCGAACTGGAGGATTATGTATCGTCGCTGATCTATGAAGTAACGAAGCTATTTTTGGAATTAAAACACCCAAATTACCTGCACCAGTGGAAAGCTAAAAAGAACATAAGAATATTAAAATGACAGAAACTAAATTTACTCAACACTTTACATTGCCCCATTTTCAGTTTTCACCAACATGCTTTTAAATATGCAGTAATGATATTCCTCTAAAAATTACGAGCTACTACAAAAACTTCAATCATAATTGAGAAAAAAAGGATAATTTGTTACAAATAACAACCTTCATAACTTTTGCCAGTTTTTCGCCTGCTTTCCTTCCTTCATGCCCTAATTGCACAAAAAGCTCCAAAAAACGATATAAAAGTGTCATTTTGTCATCATCGTTATTTACATTGTCCGCTATACTGGCCATTGCATTATCAACGGCCAAAGATAAATATCTAAAAAATATTTAATGCATTTATGCAGTACAGTATTTAAAAATATTTTCTTAGAGTATTCATTACTTAATTAAATACTCACGCATAACGATGCTCCGTACTCTCTGTCGCTTCAGTAGAATAAGCTCGACTACTTGATTCGATCGTTATTTTCGTAAAGAGCAGCCAAATTACATCATATATGTCACGCTAAAACCAAACAACAATACGTAGTTTTTTTAAAACTATAATTGCATATTTTATAAACTTAAAACAGCGTAATTCATTACCGCGCCAGCTATCCACATATTAGCCAATTCCGCAACGATAAGATCGTGATTAGTTGAAGTTTCCTTGAATGCTTGTTGAAAAACCTGGAAAACAAGTTTTTAAATCATTATCAGTCTTATTTGAGCATTTTACTATTAAAACAAAACATACGTCTGGTACTATGATTGTTTTCATGTATTGAAAAAAAGATTGGAAATCAAAGGAAAAATTAAGCATTTTTTTCTATCATAACTTGGTAATCAGCTTTGTGATTTTTTTATCCTGATAAAAACTTACAATTAATGATGAAAAAACACTATTCAACTATGATATCAGATAAGATTAAACATTTGGATACAAATCGGAACGTAAGTGCTTTTTAGGAGGCATATGTATTTTTTTTCCTGATCTAATATAAAATATATTTATCATGCATGTTGAAATTATAAATTACATTAAAAGCAAGTTGAGGAACATTTTTGACATCAACTAATGCAGAGCCAATACCACCAATAATGCGCACTGCATTTTCTAAGGCAAGCGCCGATTCACTGAAACATGCAAATATGAATTGCAAAACTAATTAATTTTGTGAATAACAAAAGTGTCCTACGTTAAATATACTTTGCGAAAGTAAATAACTGAGTTTGATTATTCATTTTAGATATTTAAGTGGAGAAAACTTGAAAACTATGAGAAATACATAATTAAGGAAACAAAAACATACTAATTTGAGTCTTTATTGGCAATTACAAACAACTTGGAGGATATATTAGTCAAACAGGCTTTTACAGATGAATTATCAATTATCATTGCTGATCTTAACGCCCTGAAAATTAAATAGCGTAGTTTACAATACTGTTTTTGTGAGCAATTCCAGTAATTAAAAAACATGCCTGCAGAGAGATTTTATTGCCACTTTCCTCAAATTTTCAAAAATCAATTTTTTTCTTGCCATTTCTTCATCTTTACGATCTCCTTCACCGAAAACACGCCTTTCCATAGCCTGCAACAAATGTTACTATTAAAGCATATCAAAAAAATGCATTTTAAAAGATCTCGAAAATGCTCAAATTTTTTCATCCATCACTGTGTAGTAACATTTGTGTCTCTAATGACGTAGTTGTCTGTAAATACTTACACCTAGATCGACAGCAAATTTCGAAAGAATTGGAGAAGGCTCAACCAAAAACTGGCTGAGATTGTTAATTGTTAGAGTTGCAGCGATAGTTGGAAATTTAACAGCAAGTAAGCCAAGTGCATTCAAAGCCATCATCATTAAAGGTATCTTTGCTAATGACTGACGATGTCCATGACCATGCCATAATCGATCTGCTATTCTGGCATGGAGTGATTCCGCATCTAAAAATATTTTTAATAATCTTCAAAAGATCGGAATGAACTAGAATACATCACATACGTTACTTTGGCATTAAAAAATATATAACTTACAAATCCTATTTTGAAAAAAAATGGACTGAAGTATAATAGGCAGTTTTGATACATCTCAATTTTTTATTACACCGAGGATACTAATTATGTTTGGACAAACAGTAACCAGTAAAGGAAAAAGTATACAAATTGAGAAATTGACTCATCAAATACCGATTTCATCATATGTAGCCCAAACCATAAGTTCAAGACACACTGAACTGCAAAGAACATTCATTTTTGACCGACTGATTAGTAAAGAAGAACGCGATTTTTTATCATCTTCGTTCGACTTTTGAGTAATTAAAAAATTTTCTCCCTTTGAATACAGTTCTGTAGCAAAAGTCTTCACCTGCAATGCAAATATCGATGTTACTATTTGAAATTCTCTCTGGAATAACAAGTACAAATAGATATGAACAATTTTGATAAGAAAATTGAATGATTACTAGCAATAATAATCCTTTTTTATTATTGAAGGAAATACTAAAACACTACCTCACATGCCAATTTTTGTGGCAGAGACTTTTCAGGCTTTAACATATCATAGGGTGAATAAGCATCTTTCGCAGCTGTTAAAAAAACGAGAGAAAGACATTCTGATATGGTCTTATAAGGTGAACGTTTGATTTGTCCGGCCTAGGAAATATATTTCAATAAGTGGGCATAAAAAATAAAAGTTATAAAAAGTTAAAGCCTATTTAAGCAAAATAAATACCATATAAATATCAACAGCATATGTGTCCATAATATCCAATAGCGGTTTTCTTAGCAGGCGCTCCATCTTCAATTATACGAACAAGAATGAATATAGGTACAATATATGATCAAGTTGGCGTGAAAAACTTACAAACATTATTCATCCAATATTCAGTAGAAGACTACGTTTTAAAAAACTTACAATATCTGACAAAGAATTTAGCTCAGCAATAGTGAACTTGAATCTCGGTGGAGTATCGTCATCATCAATTTTGGAGACTGGTAACATGAAACTGCTCGCATACTTAGAAAACATCTTTTTGAAACGTTCCAGCTGATTTTGTTTTTCAGTACTGCTGCCATCATTCCAAAACAGGTTCTCGGAGTCAGTCGTCAATCGAAATATTCCTTTTCTATTTAAAAAAAACAATGAATAAGTGAATCTTCATTCCAGTACTGCATTTCTTCTTTCGAAAAAACATAATAAGCAAGATTTATATGAAACAAATCACTAACCTACTACAAGTTTCTGCAGTATTTACACTATCAGGTTTGGAAACTGTGAATGGAACGGGATACATCGCCGAAATAAGAGGATAATCTTTACTATGACTATAACGTCCAAATGCCCGAAGCAATCCCATCATTAAACAAACAACTCGTATCATATAACCTAAATGTGAAACTAAAGAATCGTATATTTCCAAAATAACTGATATTTTTAAAATGATTCCTAAATTCTGATTCACAGAATTTATATTTCATGAAATACAAATAAAAAAAATTTACATTTCGTTTGGAACAGAGGTTCAACTTGATCACAAATATCAACAATAATATTGGAAATAACAGCAAGTAGTTCAATTTGTGTTGATATAATTAAATCACGTACGTCCTCATAATTTGCAGCAAGCTCACTAAGAATGGTATTGATGCATAATGCAAACTGTTCTTGAATTGGTATTTCTGAAACACATATCTGATTTTCCCACAAGAAAATAAATCGATGGTAAAATGTGATCAAAGAGTTTTCAGGCGGAAATCACTAGTCACAATTACAATATGTCAGCGTTGATTAATTTGAAAATAGCATATATACTTACTATCTTGTCTATTTGGAACACCATCATCGATCCATTTTAAATGGGGTAAACGACTGTACACTTTTAGAAGAACAGGAATCAAATCAGTCAAGTGCTAAAAGATAAGTATAGAATATAATTTCTCAATAAAATCTATTTAATGAATCAATATAACATACTCGTCCATTAGCATATAACAAATAAATTCCACATGCGATTAATTTTGTTCGAACATTATGATTCAATGGCTTTTCACTTTCGTCTACACCATCAAGTAATGTTTCCAGCACTTTCTCCAACGGCACCTAGGGATTTGCCAGTATTATTAAGTAAATGTGACACACATAACTAGCTGATCAATTAACCACATTTAAATGAAAAATTTCGGAAATAAATAGTTATAAAATCGTACAAACTGCAGTTATGTTTTCCTGCCTGCAGTATTTACTGTTAAACATTTAGCGCTTACACTAGTCCCAGATACCAAAAATATCACTATAAGCAGAAACTTGATGAATTTTTTGTCATACACTACAATATTTTGAATAAATTTTCTGAACACTTTTCTATTTGTTGACCAAATAAGACTTTAACTCTAATATTGGTACTATTAATGCCACTCTAACTAAGTTCGCCTCATCACATTGTGTCATCTTTCTTGATGATACCACACAATATATTTTTCGTAGATTTTGATATCTTATTCTGAACATATAAAAGCAAACATTTAGCATATGAGTTACTTTAAATTAAATTGTGAAAAGAAAAAAAATCTATAGTAATATGCATTTGCTACCTCAAATTTAACCTGATTAAATTTTTTGAACATCAGAAAAAAAAGCAATTTGTTTCGTACTTTTCTTGTCAAGTAAATAAAGTAGCATCTTAAGTAAAATATATTATTATCAAAGCAATAAATAAATTGCTAACGTTGTCCATCTTTGCAAGACATATTGCCGAGCACTGAAGATTCTGGAACAAGAAGTCTTCATCTGCTACCATAGTTTTACTTTTAATTAACTGACAATACAACCGCAACCATCCTGAAGTACTCAATGTTGTAAGACTTATAAGTACAAAAATAAAATTGTTAGTAAGTTTATTATTGCTGAATATAGTGGAGGAATTTAATGGGCCGTAATAAAATTTGGAATGTAATAAATTCGTTTCGCCGATGTGGCGGCTTGATGTGAGAGAATAACAATGCAGTGATCGATATTAATTGGTAGCATGGGTGGCGTCAAGAATACCGATTCGTGCGGCTTAACATATAATGGTAGTAATTCTTTGAATATTCTCTTTGTATTATTAATTTCTTGAATTTAAAATTCTAGACAACACAAGCAGTTTTTTACATGTGGTAAATTAATTAGATGATCTTTAATGTGTTTGTTTATTTAGTTTTCTCTGGGGGATTGTAAATCTTCATGTATTCATTATTTTTATAGGAAAAAAAAGTAAAAACTATCCAATAAAAGTGCCAGAAAATGTTGCTAAACGCATGATAGTTATCGATGCTCAGAATCTCATGCATTTGGATTTAGGGCGTGAGTATGTGTTCAGCTTCAGAAATTATCTATAAGCTTGAACTGCTTCTTTTTTAAATTTCAACCATGTGGTTGCTCTGGTATATTTATGTCTACATATCACAACACGTTTTAGATGAAGAAAATCGTCTTATATTTGTAAATTATGCATTGTTTCGATTTTTTGGGTAGACTTATTAAGCTTTCATTGTTTCTTATATTTCTATGTATTATATTTTCTACATTGTGATGTCGATTGAAGTCATATCAGTGATAATGATAAGTGTGAAATTTTAGAAGAAAAATAGATTGCTGTACTGTATTGCCGGTCGTACGATATTTTATTATAAGAGGACATAGAGTTAAAATTGTTTTACCGGAGTTCGTGACTACGAAAAAAAAGCAACTTAGTCGTCAAGTTTGGAAGGTCTTTTTTTCTATGAACAGTATTATTGCATTTTTGTCTTTGATTTTATGCACAAATTTGTTCTATGATTCTTAAGGATCTTCGTGCTTTGAAATTGTTAGTAACTGTACCATATTCAAAACATGATGATTTGGTTGCTTTATCAATTGCAAAGGATTCGTGTGGCTCAATCATTACAAAGGTACATTTGCAATATTCGACTCTTTGCACTATTCTTTGAATGGTGCAAAAATTGGTCCCTTTTTTTGTTTAGAGTAATCTTACATTGTCCATTGCATAACGGTATCCAATTTTTGTTTTAGGATAAATTTCGCGACCATAAAGCATCTTTTCCTCACTTTCGTGACGTACTCTTACGTAATATTGAATTGCGATATTCGAAAAAGACTGCAAATTCCAAGTTTTTTGTAGATGAGGAAGGCGACAAATATTACATGCACAAGTTTGTGTGCGACAATTACGCTAAAGGTACTGTTATTGTCTGTCTATACGCATGACATTGATTTTGAGTTTGTTAATTACTGTTTCAGTTTTGTATCAGCGATTAAGATGTAGTTGATGTTCTTGAAATCTAATTTTAAATACTGAATTCAAGTTACTTTTTTCATGTTTCTGTCAGAGTTTTTAGAACAGTTCTTCAGTTTCCCGGATGATGAAGATTATTTAACTGTTAAGAGCAAAATGTGGCCTGCAAATCAAAAACAAAAAGTGATTGAGCGAATTGATCAAATTTTCGAGTCAGTTCAGAGAAGAATCGCTGCAGGTTTGCTTAAAACATACTATTGCAATTTACAACATAAAGTTAGCATTATTTTAAGATACTGAATAAAGCCAAGTTGAAGAAGAAATGTATACTGTGATTTTATACATTCATTGTGCTTGTCGTACTCCTTTAACTGATAATTTTTCTTAAAGCATACATCAAAATTGTAGGATGTTGTTTGAACAGAGATAGAATTTTCAGAAAACCAAGAAGTTTTACGACGCTGGCGACATGTTGCTACAAAAGAAGAGCTAAAGGTAGTTTATTCAACATGTGGCTAAAAATGCAAGGTTTTGATGTCGACCAATGAGACACTTAAAAATTTATAAACTGAAAATATTTACAAATTTTTGATAGTATTCTTCCGTTTATAAATTTTCAATAGTTACAAGCTTCACAGCGTGTGTTCTCTTTTCTTGCAATTTAATTTTGTATGCGTACACACTTAATATTCATTATTTCTTTGCAGTACCAACTACAAGGATGTGAATGTAGATGTGATGATTTCACTAATTGTGGTTGTGACAAGAATAGTGCATTTGTTCGGTTCATTCCTTCTAGCTTTAGTCGTACTGCAGAAAATAATAATGTCAGAGATAATTCTGTAAAATCGTCCTTTTTTTTATTTGATGAAATGAAATATTTTCATCATTTACAAAAATTATTTTCATGAAGCTCCCATCTTCTATCATGAAATAATCGTGGATGTAAGATATTGCTTTAACGCATATTTGTAATTTCATTTATTCATTCTGTAGTAATTAAATTTTATCTTATTTCATAGTGCATTTTAATATTTACAGATCGTAGCAGATGCAAATCTCAGTGCTCTAGAAGTTCTTCCGCTTGTAAGTAATTCCCAGTCATTCAGTACATGGTTCGGTCAAGTAGCAGAAAACGAGCTTTTTAAAGACGACCTTGTTAGCTTTTCAATTTGTAATGTCCATATTCTAGGTTATTCAAAGTAAAAAACATATTAAGAGAGAAAAATTGTTCCTATCAAACAAAATAATTATAGCGTGCTGAATCGAAAATACGAATATGGAGAACATTGACTGGTGATATGGAAGTTGATAAGGAAAGCCTGTATAATTTTTTGCTGTCATTCCAAGGGATCCTTAAGGAAGAATTTGTTTTAAATGAATATTATGATCACATCGATAGTCACGCTTAGCGAGACGAACAAGCTCGGGAAGTCAATTTTTATTAAATAATATCTTATTTTTAAAAATTTTTGTTTCATAATAGATAAGTAATAATCAATTTGTAAAAAAAAAGCTACCAAGATTTGAAATCCACTGCGTTGTTAAGAAGGTATTTTGATGTGACAAATGTCTTGACATTCCAACAGAGTTTTAATTTTGTTTAATGAATATTAAAGTTGATAAAATTAAAAGTTCGGAATGAGTGGTAGTGATTTTTAAACAAAGTGTTAAAGACGTTATCAATACTAATGATGTAATTCTTTTGCTAGAAAGAACATGTGTATTTACTACTGTCACTTATTAAGTTGTTATGTGTTTGTATATAGAAAGCGTACATTGCCGAGTAGAAGCAAGGGAATAAATTCAGAAGTATGTTAATATAGATTGTAAAGGAAAGTTAAAGTGGAGGCATGTGAAATGAATAATCCGACACGTGTATATGTACAATATCTAATTTTGATTAACTATAGTTATAGTTGATATAAAGTGCGAAAGTGATGGACACAGTAAGAGTTGAATTTGAAGCAGCATGATGAAATGAATAAGGATGAAGTAATTGTAGGAACATATTCTTGAACAAAGGTTGAAATTATTAAGTAAACGTATTATTGTAACGAAATCTTGAGAAATTTCTCATATAGTTTCATGCAAATGAATGGCGGTGAAGTGGAAGCTTGACTCGTATTACTTTTAATATTTTTCGATGGGAATCTTTGGTAATTTCTTAAACTTTTATACAAATAACGTTATTGGATACTTGAATTTATTTGCGAGAGCAGTATTAAATGAAGAAAAATCCCATTAAAAAAGCTCTGTAAAATAGTCCTAGCTGATGCTGAAAAAAATTTGGAAAATTGCGAAAAATATCTAAAAACGACCCGAGTCTTGACAGTTTTTCAGGGTCATAATGTACTTATTTTCATCAGCTTTAGTAAATAATGAGCTGTGCCGATTTATTCCTTACTGCATGCTAGGTCTTTTGTCACTTATTAATTTCACAGGAATTACGAATCCATATTCTCAGCTCGACGTTAGCGTACGTTGAAATTGATTTGAAATTAGTAACCTCTCGATCCCACTTTTCTTTTCAAACCACTAAATAATCGTTTTCTGCAGGCTGAATCTGTTTTAAAAAATTAAGAACTAGCGTCTTTCAGAATGGTCACTTTTGTGAATTTCTGTTCATCTTAACGGTAATTACCTACCCTGCGATTTTTGTAGGAAAATATGCTTTTTTTTCCAGTTTCAAAAATGTGTTCTTAGATCTTATACGTTGTAGATCAGTACTGTATAAACTTGATATGGTTATTTATCTACTGTTAAATGTGATTAAGCGATCTCGAACTGTCTGTTACAATTTTAATGCCTTTGTAGGTATATCTGAACAAAGCATAACTAAGAGAAAATTATTTGAATGATACTAGCAATTTACCGGTGACAAAAATACATAAGCGTAGAATGCCGAGACTGGCTACATACTGATACGAAAATAAAATACTAGAATAAATGCTTAAAAGCTTAAATAATGGGACGGAATCTATTCTACAATTTCAACTCAGGTTATGACAGCGAACCTTTTTTCTAAACATCATTTTCGCAACATTTTAATTGGACATATAATAAGCTACTGAATAAATTTAATTTCAAAAACATCTGACAAACCTTGTAAACAATTTTTATAGACACTAAAGTAGCCAACACGATATTTTCCAACATTTAAACATGGAAATTCGACGACAGTAGTCGACTTATCTGATATAATTGAACTATAGCAAGCAATTACATACAACCAATTCAATGGCTGTAAAGGATTAGGAATTTTCTCTGGATAAACAGCAATCCAATCGCGGTATGATCCGCTACTGTTCCAGTAATCATCCATATATGTAAATCGACATGTAAGAGGTACTACATTGTACCAATGAGGTATTTTTTCAAAGCATACTCTCCACCCAAAATGTCGTCGTGTTATTGACTCAGATAAAATAAAATGTGCACAAACCGGGAAATGGTCTGACAACGTGATCATGCGATTTGATTCATATCGCTTGCACTTCAGTGATCTACCTTTGAAAAGAATACGATCGCACCATGATGGTACTCGTTTCTGGTCGTAATAAGAGGAGCCAACCTTAAGAATAAGACCGTTAACTAACCAATAAGAGTTTTACAAAAATTTTTTCACTGAGGAGAAAACAGTTGCTGTCTCAAGTAACTATTCTTTGAAACAGAGGACGTCAATTCATATTCAAAAATATTACCAGAAGACGATAAGTGGGAGCGAAACAAATTTTCGCCTCATTATATTCCCCAAAAGCTTGACCATTCTTCTGAGCTCTTCTTAACTGATCAAATTTCTCAACTAGCGGCTCCATATGATTAAGAGAATTTGACTTCGTTAGTTCTCTGATATAGGAAAAATGGTAGTGATCACTGCACAAATAAAAACACTAATGATTTTATACCCATTAATGATTATTGAAAGGAGAATTGTTTTAGAAGATGAATAGCAGGTAAATATCTAAAATGTAATAACTAAAAAAAACCTTATCATTTCTTGAGCTGTGATTTGATCTACTCTCCAATTGAAATCACCGAGCCATATCACATTCCTTTCATCCTCATCGTTTCCTGCCATATCATTGAAAGCACAAACTTTTCCATACTCATATTGTAGACAACGTTTTTCATAATTGTTCGCATTGGGTAAAAAGTGAGAGGTTATAAAAATTAATGAGCTGTGATTCTGAAAAAGATTTCATTTAAACAAGGTCAGTTCTCACTTATTGCAACTTTAATTATCGGCTTTATTCATCTCTATTCTTGCTCCAAATTATAGTCAAATATAATAGTTTATTTACTTTTCAACTACTTTTAAAAAAAGCCTCAAAAGCAACAAACTTTAAATTTTATTCTTAGCGACACGCTTCCTTTGTGGCCAGTGAGACCTCCCAAGCTAGATCGTGACTGTCTTGAGTCAATTTCTTCTACTAAGGGGAAAACTTCAATTTGGGCAAATACTAGCAATAAATTCCAAGCAAGAGATGTTTTGCAAAGAAGTGATTTTCCGTATGCACTCATCCAAGACACAAGAAGCGATAGCCACGTCGTTTCAGTTGATAACGTACCAAATACTTCAGAATGGGAAAGCTCCTGAAGATACGAAAAAGAGATTGAAACAACAGAGAATGTGATAAGCAAAAAAGTTTCCTTTGGTGGTGTTAGCGACCTTTCAAAAAAAATGTTTTCATCATGACAATTTGCTCAAATACACTTAATAAATCAAGTGTGAAGAATCCAATGATTGACTTGAGAAACCTGCAATCCAATGGCAATAATGGCTGAATTTTTGGCATCATCATTCTTTAAAAGCTGGTATATTTGATTGTTCTCAGGTTTTTTCGTATTCACATTGAAAGTGATGCAAGCTATCCTCCAACCTCGTATGTTCATTTTCGAGATCACATCTGCAGCAAAACATAACCTATAATTAGGGATATCAAACACATCTCCAACCTCTTATTTTTATTTCTGATCATCGTTAAAATAAAGCAGATTAATATTGCGAGTAAACCCTTAATATCCCAGTAATATTTGCAGCATTATACCAACTGTTATTCCTGAATGATTGAAAACTAAGGTTTTAATAAGGTACGATTAAGGTTATCTCACTACTACACTTTGCATCAAAAATTTATGTAATGAAAAACAATCGTAGAGGTATAAAATCCTCTAGTAATAATACAAAACTGAAAATGCACCAAAATTATAATCATACTTTACGCAACACAAAAGAAGTTCTAAAACATACTGAGATTTAGATAAGGTGTACAGGAACTAATTTAAAAAAAAATCAACTATATAAGAACGTAAACATTGATACTACAGGAATAAGATGATCTAAATTCTTGCAACTTTCTCACCTGCTTTGAAATGTGAAAATGTAAAATTCTTAGAACTTTGGTATCTCAGAAAAGTTACTGCATAGTGAGATAGAACTAAAGAAAAGCACGTTTCCCACATTTTAAATCAAAATTAAAGAATGACTTTTGTTGCCTTTTATTTCATTTATAAGAACTGGTATCTAGAGTAGAACATGGTTAATAAAGGAAAAATTGTACAACACGAGAATTATACATATGCATGGAGGAAATTTTGATACAAATTTAATAGTTGAGATACATAACAATTCAATTCGTAGACACCAGAAACATACATTAGATAATAAGCGAAGTAACGTACATATTGCAAGTACAATAGTCACATATTAAATTAAAAATTCGTTCACGGAATATAGTGTGTGTTATTAAATAGACATGCTGTGTCATGACAAAATATATTTTGCATTGAAGATAGTAATTTTTTTTTCTAATTAGTTACGTCAATAATAGAAATTGAAATCACAGATTTATAAAAAAGGACCAAAAAATACCTAATTGTTCTTGTTCAAGCATAAATCCTTTATCTTTTTTTTAAATTTCAACAACGAAACCTATTGTATTTTCGCTGTTTTTTATCTTACTGCAGATCTTCGCACACGTTTCCTGAGTGGGGGCCGACTATCATTCATTACGATATTAATAGTACTAGATGAACTGCTATCTTCACTCCCACTGAAACTAAAATCTGCAGGATTTGTTGCGTTTTCACCAACTAACACTGATTCTAAAAGATCATTTGCTAATTCTGACCGTTCCCTTCTCATTTGCTTCCACTCTGCGGACCGGAGGACGTCTCGATGATGCAGCGACATATATTTTGTGCATGCCTATAAAAATCAATTTAATTACTAAGTTATAAATAAAAGGTAGAGTTAGCACTCAACTAATTCAAAAAACAGCAAGAGAAATATATTAGGATGTAAGTGGTGGAAGAAAATTCCTTTCATTCTTCAGAATAAGATTTTTAAAATATTGCTCAACACAAATTTTTTCACCTGCTTAAGAATTGAAGCAGAATAAGTGTCAGCAAACACTGCAGTAGAGGCAACATTTTTACAATTAATCGTAGAAGAAAGATATCGTTCGCATTGCTCTTTAAGTGGCAAAATTGCATATTTATCTGCTATAGCTAAAACATCTTCTGCATAACCCTCTACCAAGTCGGTTGAGCCCGTATATATATAGTCGACCATAGCTCGTACCTGCAAATTTTCTGGAAATTAAGGTCTGATGAAACAAATTGTTGGTAAGCAAACTGTCCACACTGAAATTTTTCATGTGGAAAACATATTTTCCCAGTTTGCATTTCACTGTTGTAATCCTTGATATTTAGATGACTCAATCTTAAGCTACTATTATTACCGAAGATCCTAGAGTCTTATATAATGAAGAGCAATGTTCTGATACTTACGTAACAAAACAGCTGAATAATTTTGGTGATTTACAGACTTACAGGTTCAAACCTTGAATCCTGGATATCAATGATTCCTTTTTGAGCTTCTAACATGGACTCTTGGGCAAACATTGAGCGAAAAACTTCACTATGCTGTCCCAATATGCATCGGTGAGCTTTCAGAGTTTTATTACCAACCTGCAAAGCTTCAAATAAAATAACTTTAGCAAACCATAATTGTTAAAGTTACTTGCATCCTTTAAATCCAAATTTACTTCTCTAATTGCGAAAATCAGTACTGCAAGAGTAAAAAAAAAAAAACCTTTATAGTGCAATCGGCAAAAAGTTCATTATCCAGCATGTCTTTGAGAGAATCACGAATTGAAACCTCATTTCTCTCATCAAAATCATCAACAGGCTCTGCCTCTATCGACTGTTCTACACTTATTTTCGAACCAGGTGGAAAATATTCAACCTCACAAATTAGAAGTAAAGCCCCATCAGTTTTTAAAGCTGCCATCATTTTATCCCGAGAAACCTAAGAGAGGAAAAAACATGATTTTTAAGTCCGAATTCGATTTCAAAAAAAAGACTGTTTGCTTCACTATTTGGTTAAATGTGAAAAAATAACACCTAACAAATGTTACAGCACCGATAAATATTGAAAAACTGAAACATTAAAAATTCTTTACTTCCATTTTGAATAAGATTGTACTACAATTCCAGAGCACTTTGAATATGTTTCAATTGAGGATTTATTCACGAATGTAAGAAATTAGACTTGAAAAGAAATCTTCTGCCCTTTTTTTTTCATATCGAACAGTGGTATTTTCAATTCCGTTCAACAAACCTGAAACTTCCCCCGACCTTGTTGATTCGTGAAATCTTTAGTATCTCTACAAACACTAACTCTTAAGGCATTAGCATCTAACGCGTATATTTGGAATTCTGTCATTATTGGATCTTCACCTCGCTGAAAACAATTTTTCCAGTCAGGACATATGGGTCCAAAAGAATAATGTCATTTTTTTTATCGCATCACTAAAACAACCAGTTAGTCTATTGAACGTTTTTATTCTACATTCATTTATATTATAGAAAGTATAACAAGTAATATAAGGATACTTTACCTGTAACCCTACTTGACGTAAAAAGAAAGATACATTGCCAACATCCTCTTCTCGCTTCCCATTGGGATAAACATGTAGTTCCCACGTTACAGTTGGCGCTTGTGGACATCCGAACTGCTTGCTAATAAGGTTATGTCCATTTTTGAAAAGTTTCATCAACTTCTCAAACTGAAAAAATACTAAATTTAATAATAGTAGACGAACAAACCAAATTTACTAACCTACTGCGTAAGGAGAGAAATATGAATTTCCCTACAAAGTAAAAATGAAAAATTAAGCAATTATAGCACTTGATCTATCTTCCACTCTAAACGAGTGCTAATAGCCGTGACTTTAGTAGCCTGCTTTGAAACCACTTCGAGTCGACGTGGCTGTTGTGAAGAAACGTCATCTGCTAAAATATATTGCATATTAAGTTGTGTAGTATTCAGAATTAAAATTAAAAAGATATTATATGCATTTATCAACATATAATGTCAGTTTCTTTACTGCATCAATAAAACAACCAGTTAGTCATTCATTGTAAGTTATTGTCTTCAAAATTAAATCATACAGCGTGTAGGTGTTCTCAAACTCGAAATCTGTACAGCTGTGCTCATGCGATTTGACATAATACGGAAACTGTGCCAGAAAACTGAAATGAATAGCGCAAAGATCTTTCAAACTACACCTTTATACAGTTAAACATCGGTGTTTTCATAAAATATTAAATATTCGAAATCGATTTCAATAAAACTGTATAAAGTTATCAATATGAGCTTGAATGTTTTTTCTAAGACTTATGTGATCAATAGTTAACAAAACAAAATACCGTATATCAGGATATTTCAAAAAAAAATAATCATCGCAGTATAAATCAGACAAGAAGACGAAATGTCAGATAGTGCTGATATTTTTCAAAAATATAACAGTTAATGTGTGTTATCGCACCAAATCAATGCTTTAGATATTATAAGTGTAAATTAATCACAAGACAAACACCAAAAAGTAGTGGGCAAACGAATAAAAGCCTTCCATTAAAATCTTACATAATATCTGAAATAATTTAAAAAAGTACAAAACGGTTTGGGAAAAATAATGAAATATCTGATGAGCTTATGAGTTTTCGTCCTCGCAAACTGGTAGAAAAAGAGAGCAAGTAAAAAACTGTCAATGTTCATTACGAGATTTATCAGATGAATTTAGTCCATGATACGTTTGTCCAAGTAAATATGATATATATATGACTCTTTAAAATACTCGAAAATAGTAGAAAACGAGAGGTGATGAGTGAGACAGATTAATATGTTTCAACTTTTTCCCATTAAAATGCTTATAGAAGTAAGTCTATTTAGACTTAGCTTCGGTCTCCAAAATAATCAAAGTTATTCAACGTTCATGTAAAGCTTACAACAGAGACCCGCATGAAACTGACAAACATTTTTAAAGGAAGTTTCTAGAAATAACATCGCGTAATAATTTATTATCAACTTGATAATTTGTAACACGTGAATCCAAAAATTTATTGCGGCCGGTGATAAGTTATTTGAAAAATTCGTCATCTCAATTGGTATTTGTACGATACAAAGGCTATTTCTGCGATGTTGTGATACACTAAGATTATGATTAACTTCAATGAGAGATGCAGTGTAATGCTTCTGATAAACAGAAAGCTTTAGAAATCAATTCTGACGTAATATTCTATAGTTGGAATGTGACGTCACGGATTTATTTGACAGAAAGATTTCTGTGATGCATTAAAACAATTTAAATACAAAGAAACAAACTCAACAAATTGTTTAATCAGGCAAAAATATAACTTTTTACTTTACTATTATTATTATTATTATTATTCTTGATATTGATATTGATATTATTTAAAACCATATTAGTAAGTCAGTGAACCAGTTAGAGAGCAAAATTATGTGTAAATATGCAAAATGCTAACCCATACCTTTGTTGAAATGGTAATGTATTAAACAGTAAACTCCAGCAGATATTTATAACGAAAATTTGCTATTAAATTTGCATGTGAAATTGTTACATGCATGATCAATAATCGTTTTATTTTTAGTAAAGTAATTCAAATGTCATGCTGATTACTGTGTACAAAAAGTGCGCATTACAATGAACTGATTGGAAACTATTTATTACAAATTAATATCTACACAAATGAATGAAATGTGTAATTAGCTTTCACTTTGAGTTTTTGAGCTCATTTCTTCCTGAAATTAACGCATTTATTTACTCAGTGAATTGCTTTAGTGATTCTTCTCGCTAGCCTTCTCAAGCATTATCTGTTATTATATCTCACAGATTCCAGCTTTCTTCTTAGCTGTTACTTTTGTCATTAATTTTTTTCTCTTAACTTTTATTTCAATTATTTTTTTAAAAATTATTAAAGCTTAAAACTTTGCCTTATTATTCTCTCGCGCAGTCAATTTTTGTGATGTTCTATCCTTTCTACTACTTTTTTTCATACGTTCTGTGGGAAACTGCAAACAATTTTTATTTTTTACGCAAATTACACTTAAAAAAATAAAACTAAGCCTAAATCTAAAATACA